TTGCTGACCTCTGGTTGACCCACTTAACAGAGAATATCCAGTGGATATCAATGCGCCTGTCGATAATTTATGCCGGCAATTAAACGCTGGCCATTTTCCACACAGCTAAGTGGCAAATTGCTCGCAATTAGCGCGCATACTTAATAGACGAACATACATATTTAATTCTCTCCGGCGCCCAGCTTCTTGTTTTATTTCCAGTGACCTATAAATGTTCTCTGCTGCGATTTCACTCTCGCTTTCCGAGCTGCTCTAATTCACCGATACCTGTGCTCCACATATCCTCGCTGCTCATTAGTGGCGCAAATACATATTTTTCACCTGATTTGGGGAAACTAGTTTGACAACATCTCGAAAGGCCATTAAAAAATGATAATAAAAAAGAAAGAACGAACGGAACGCACGCAGAATTCACAAAAGTCGAAACACGCTCATGTGCTCCATTTTCCAATAGCCAAATGCGAATATCTCCCTCTCTCTTTCACTACATGTATACCCCTCTCTTTCAACGGCTTTGACCCCCTCTCTTTCTGCATCTCTGGTGTTTGGTGAAATTGTGTCACCCAAGAAGTGACGTTAATGACGCCGCGCGTATCCCTGACCTGGCTGAAAATCCCCCTGATCCGCCACTTTTGGCCAGCAGCTTTTGGCCCACTTCTTTTTCGGGCAGAGCGAGTGAAGAGAGGGGTAGCGTCTGCTCGAGAGAGACAGGGAGAGAGCTCTCGAGTCGTAGGAGAACCTGAACCTGTCGCTTTCTATTACTGCGAACGAAAATTTCGCACAGTAAACTGCGTTTTCAGGTCAAGCCAATTAAACTCGTCACTTGCCACGCCCACAAGCGGTCGTCACAACATGTTAAAAACAATTAGATCAACAATTGTGACTCACAGGCAATAAATTGAGACTTATTTTTCTGTTTACTTTATCGGACAGGAGCCAATACAATTCGATTGCGGCATTTACATGGGAAGTGACCTGAATTTGGAGCTGGTTCCTCTTGAAAGCAGCAAAACTTTATAATTTGCATTTCTGTTATCGTTGAATGCATCCACTTTTCACAAACTCCCCCTTTTAACGTTTTATGTCTGTCTGCCCCATTGTGCAAATATAATTAACATAACGTAAAGTAATCACAACTTTTGAGCAAAGAAAAACGAAAATAAAAATCTTCGTTTAACTTTCTTTTGTGCGGCGACGTAGAAGTCAACTGAAGCAGAGGCCTTGCCATTGTTGTCTTTGATTTCTTCTTTAAAGTAAAAAGTATTAAAGCTTTTGCCGTTAGCTTAGGTTATTGTTGTACTCATATTTCGGGGTTTACTGCACACCGACTTCCCAAAGTTTAGTTTTCCGGAGTTCGAATCAAATTACCTGTCGTTCATAGAACTTTTTGTGCTCCGTTCGGCGTATACACTAAAATATAAACTAAACTTTATAACACTATTAGTTGTGCAAAATATTCAGAAAATTTTTAAATACGTATTTTTGCAAAAAGTTTTGCTTTATTTTAGGAATATGTATTGCAAAAATACCTTTCATAAGGGATTTTTTAAAAATGTTAATTTTTACTCAGCATATTTAGTTATTACATGTGATAAACTTATAAAAGAGCATTTCCAGTTTATTGTAGATTCCAAACTACAGTATAACTTGTAGTTTCCTAATTTAAGGAGTTTAGTTGTGTGTTTACCAGTGTAGGCCCCTTTCTAATTGTCATAACTCAACCTCAAAACCCTCTGTCCCCCGGTCAATTGCTGTCAAACTGCGAAACGGCTCTCTGTCCACTTTTGTACTCCTATTTATTTGTTTGTCGACTAGTTTTGACAGCCTTTGTATTTGCACAGGCAACGATGACGTCCATTAGAACCTGCAGCGTACGGAAAGTGTACACTTTGCTGCAAACAATGCGAACAACAAATTGAAAACACGAACTACAAACACGGTGTTCAACGAAAAGGCGCTGCGGACAGATGACACATGCACCAACACATCGCAGAATACGTACAATCGCCCGCCCGCACTCGCAGATACAGATACACATTGTATCTGGCAGCGGAGTATTTTGAACTCGTGTAATCTCTGGCATTGTGCTGAGCTTTGCAGCTGCAAAATGTAGAAAAAGTGGAAAAATGCGCCGAATTGGGTCACACTCGTTGGCTTTTATGCCAGCTTAGATTGTTGTCAATGCCTCCGCCTGCCGCCTGCAGGTTCCCAGTCGAGTGGAAACTTTTTTGACCAACTTTTTGAGAATCAGTTCTTTGAACCACTCCGCGCGAAAATACACAAAAAATGAGATTTCAAATTCCAAACAACTAAATCTTTATATATGTAATTAGCACTTGGGTTGTTTAACTATTGATTGACAATAATAGTAGCCAGGGAACAGGGCTTCTTTGCATAGGTTTATTGTAACCCATTATAAATGCACTTCAAAATCAAACTTATCATTTGAGTGAAGTAATCTAACGATCTAATCGTGGCCACTGAGCGAAATAACCACAAAAGCCAATTAAAGTCAAATTTCCCTCAGTCGGAAACGGAGTCGCGACAGAAACGGAATGTCAATGTCCGGGGCAGACAGGTTACCATGGCCAAAGAAGTGGCAGCCCGATGCAGATCTCAAATGGCAGACAAAATGCGACCCAGGCCAATTGCAAATATCAAGCGGAGAGTCAAGCTCAGGTGTATTGCTGCACAGGTAAACATCCACGCCCTCGTCGGAGTTCAATGTTTGCCATGTTTTTTCGCCATCTCTTTCGCCTCGATAAAAGCTCCTCTTCTGCTGACTTGTCAGCAAAACTCGTAATTTGTAATTGTGACCTCATAACGCGGGGTATTTTCAAACTATGACTTGCTTTGGCCCGGCAATCGGGAAATAATGAAGTTTTAGGAGATTAAGCAGTGCTGTTTGCAACCTCTTGAAATATAAATCTATTTTAAAAAGTGTATCTATTCTGCAAAGAACAATTTCAATAAAGAAAACTAACTTTAATAACAATGCCATAATCAAGAATGAGTGCAATTTATATTTGAGTGCTTGAAATGGTAATGCTTCCTGGAAAACATAAATGAATTGGTTCTTTATAATAAAACTCTGACCTCATTCGTGTGGGGATTGTGGATCTATATCAGGAGGTAAAATGGGATTGAGTGTTTATGCAGTGGACTTTGAAATCAGATAACAAAGCAAATAATGTTGACACTTTGGGGAAGCGTTGGAAACTTCGGTAATTTCCGTTGGGGGAATGACTTTGTTGGGATTTCTTCCGCACGAAATTGACACAGTGGCACCCGAGGTACCCATCTCTGGTGGCGTTTTCTCTGCCCAAGTTCGTTCACATTTCGACGCGCTTGAGCTTCATAATTAAGAGAGAATCAGTGAGCTGTTGTTGATTATGCTCGCTTGATTTTTATCACACAACTACTGGGTGTGCGTGTGTGTATCGTGCGTGCCGAAACGCCTTAACAATCTATTTTGGCCATAACGCGCAATTGGCACTCATTATCATAGTCACCCACTCTCCAAGCCCCGCGGTTTCTTGTGATGGGCCATAAAGACAAACTGTCACTTTATTTATTTTGGCCCCGCTTCGGGTTTTCTCCGCTTGAGTGTGGTCAGGATCAAAAGTGCCCCGCGGCTATGTTTATGGCCCACTTTATGCAAATCCATTGTCAAGCTAATGGGCGTGTTTCCCTGCCAGCTTCTGTAATTGCTTGAGAAATTCTCTGTTCTGATTCATCAGCTTGTTATTGTTTGGAATTAAACGGCTCTACATACCCTTTTAATTGAAAAAAAGAAAGATTACTTAATTGGTTTGAGTGATTTCCTTAATATAATAGTTGTTCCTTGATAAAAATATTTTAGTCTAATGAAAAAATATTATAATTTCGTTAGTAATATTCGGTCAACATTAACTTTTTGTCCAGTTCAGTATACCCTGTTTTAGTGCATAAACATGAGCTTTTTGTGGGCAGGGGTGGTGGGCGTGGCAGTTATGCATGGTAACCTTGCTGGCATTCAGAATTTTCGACATTTCAATTCCGTTTCCCCGTTGGCACTTGCCTGCGATTTGCGGAGCTCCTGCTCCTCTGCCACTCCTTTATGGTGGCATGCCCAGACGGGGAGTCATAACTCTCGGCTTTATGTCGGAGGTGCTTGGAGGCCGCCCGACATGCCTGTAGCATGACATAATAGTGTCATCCCCGCGGAGCCTTTGCTCGCCTAACCTCCTCCACTTCCCCATTTAATCACATGTCTCCCTCCAAATAATTCGTCATCACTGGCGTGTGTGTGTGCAAAGAAAAGAGGGTATCGTGTGAGGTCGGAGTATATAGTATGCTAAGTAGCTGTCGCTATGAATCGGGGAATCGGTGAATCGGTGAACAGGGGCTTTATGCCGGTGGGAGGTTGAGGTTGAGGAGGGGAAGCATCAAGGGTGTTATCGCCTGAAAATTGCCTCCTCTACGTGTTTCGTTTGAATACGTTTGAATCAATTCGTTTCACTGACGGGCAGTGATATAATACTCGAGTTTGGCATGCACAACAAAGCCCCAAAGTTGGGTATATAATAATGACATTCACGCATATAGATATCTGTATAATGTATGCAGCTCTGCACAGGGAGAAATATGAATAACAATACTTATATATGTAAATACGTGGGTTAGGGAAATTGTAAGTTGAGAAGTTTCCTATCATTATAAAGCAATAAGTAGTTTTATAAAGTTTTAGCAGTTTTTAACAATTATCAGTTAATATATATATATTTTAGATTTATATTAAAAACATAATAATCTATAAAACAAATGTTTTTTTAAGTCGCTTTTTTATCTAAAGACGCAGTTTCGAGAGCGGCTTGTAACGACCTCGGATGTGACTAATTCAACGGCGAACGCAACTGCCACTGAGGCTTTTAATTGCATTTCCGTTCTGTCTCCAAGCGATCTTCGTTCTGGTTCTCGTTCCTATTTTCATGCTCCTCCTCTCGATTATCTCTTTGCAGAAAGCGTCAAATCCATTCTGGGTCGCCACACAAAGATACTCGTCAAGTATATGGTCAAATTGGAGACGAAAGGCGATAAGACGGAGAATCGTGTTCTGGTAAGTGAATCCCCTTCCCGTGGTTGCTAAATTGGCCTGTCTTTCGGCCTGCTGCCTGCCAGCTACTTCAGATCTTTTGGCCCCCAGATCTGCGGACGGCCGGCAGACGCCGTCTGTCAGCGGCACAGATTCAAATTGCGGCATCTGCGGGCAGCCAGCAGTCCAATTTGAGCTGCGAAATTGCATCTCCCAGCCTAATTGCCTCAAATTCGAAGGAGGCTACCGTTTCGCCCGAAGTGCCATTAATGTAATGAATTTCCGTAAAAATGGCTCGCGAGATTTGTGTTTTTTTTTTGCACATTTGAAGTTTTTGAACGAGATTATAAAGAAAATCTGTTTAATTTTATAGTAGAAAATATATTTATGTCCCTTACGCTCAAATGAACATTTAAAGACATTAGATGTACTTACTGTGTTACTATTCAATTTAGGAAGAAACTAAGTCTGGCCTTACATTTTTCTTTAACCAAGAACAGGAATTAATATGTTATGAGATTAACTAATTTAATATGTATAGCCATAATTTCAAAATGTTTGTGGGTATTTTCTTTAGTGGTGGTTTTGCACTCCGAATAGATTTAGAGCATTGTTGTTTGACCAACATAAAACATTTTCTTTAAACATTAAATTAAATTTGCAATGCAATGCGGAGTGTGCACCCCAGAGCAAATGCACAGTCTAACTGCTCTATTAGGCAGCACACTTAGCTAAACCTCTGGAAAACTCTGAATGGGGGCAAGCGATTTCCACCTGCCTGTGGGGCTGCAATTGGCCCAGAAGCGTAAATGATATTTATAGCATACTTAGTGGCGTTGGGGCACGACTTACCTTCCGCCCTGGCTGGATTCCTTGGGGCTCGGACTATGCTAATTTCATGCCTGGCCACTTGTACGGCCGCTTGGAGAGCGCACACAGCTGGAAAATTGATTTGTGCAAGCGGCTTTAAAGGTGGCAGAGACAAAGTGTCCAATTACCAAAGTCGATGGGGCCAACTCGTCTTCTTTTCGCCAACTCCATCTGCTGTCGGCCTCTGCATTTGAGGGGCTAATCGAATTACTTGACGCACTTTGACTTTGATATGCCATTAAAAGCAGCGAACTTCTCCCAATCAATTCCCGATAGACAAAGGCCGGCCAAATTGAGTTTTGAGTCTCCGGTTATCGTGATAATGGAGTCACACTCCAATGACTGCCTGAAGAATGGTCTCCATCTGCCCCATTCCCCCGCAGTCGTAGCCAAGCATGTTGGCACGCATGTCTGGCCCGTGTTTCCTTTGCCAATTACAACGCTTTTCACTCATGTTTTCCATCTCGTCTCCTTCTTGCAGGTTTTTACCCCCGTGAGGGTCTATCTGCTCAGTGCCAAAGTGCCCACCAAGGTGAGTGTTTGTGATCCACATTTATTTTAATAACTAATTTTGTACCTATCACCCACAGATCGAATGCCATTTCCACTACCTGGACATTGTGGGAGTCGAGAGCAAGAAGTCCACCCATTTCTCCATTGTCACCAACGATCGGCCATACTCGTTTGTCACCACCGGCGATGCGGGCAATTTCAGCTCGGTAAGGCAAAACCACTTACTGGTTATTATCTGCAATGCTCCACATGTAATTATCTGCGTTTTGGTTGTGTTCATTCTGCAGAACGCTGATGTCATTCTGACCGATCTGGCCTCGGCCATCAAGCAGATATTCCCGACAGTTCCTCTAAAGTACATCATCCGAAAGGTAAGAGATATCGATGTTCAGCGGAGTAACCAAATAAAAGTAGATTAGGAATCTGAAAATTGATGAAAGTATTCTTGAAGACGTAAATTCAATATTCAATATTTATCTAGAATTTTTTACTTTGTTTATACTTTTCATTGTAACAAATGTAATGGGTTTGTAAATAATCCATGGGTTTGTAAATAATAATTGTATATTTAAAACAGTGAGATTAGTAGGTATATGTTGGGATGTATAGAGCCCCGCAGACTTAAATATTTTTACTTATAATTCATATATTGTGTTTTAAACACATGGAACATATTAAAAATGCCTAAAATAAATTTCAACTTTTCGAAGGGGTAAACTTAAATTACGAGTATGCCCCCTTCAGCTTAACCCACTGAGTATCGTCAAGTTGTGCAGTATCGACCGCTTCTTGCGCACTGACTCACGTCTGGCTTTAATTAATGTTTAATTAAATATTTAGTGAGCAGTTGTGTGTATCTGTTGTAGGTTCATGGGGACATGTTCGGTGGCGTCTCACCCACTGTGTCAGCATGCCACCCCCGCCCCTTGGTTCAATTAGGCTGTAAATGCATAAACGTCGTCATCTACGCAAGTTGGGGTTAATAATTCAATGCATTTGTAATGCTCCTGGCCCGGGTTTGTCGTAAATTATGCTGGCTACGTTTATGCAAATCGCCTGAGATCCGCCCACGAGGCACCCACGACTACGAGTTCCCTAGTTTCCCCCAACCCATTGTTGTCGTTTTGCGAGTTTTATCTAGCTATTCGACTGGCAAGTGGCAGCCACAATTGAAGCTACATGGCTCGGATAATTGCCGCAGGGCACGCGAACCGGGCGTCATCGGGTTGACGCCTTAAAATGTAGCCATCAAAATTCACATTTACCAAGAGTGTTAAATGCGAGATTAAGCTCAAGTAGAATGCAAGGGGAAAGAGAAAGAAGTGCACTTTTCGAGGAGTTTTTAGCTGGCAGTCCGAAAACTTTGCATTGTTCTTCAAGTTGGTCAACTTCAACTTTAACTTCAGCAACACAACAAAGGCGGAGGCTTGAGACCTCTGAACGCCTCCGAGAACTCTGTTAACGAATTTCTGCATCAGGTCAGTGAACTGTTTCTTTGGATCAACCTTTTTTTGCAGATCGATATACAGCCACCGGAGCGGGAGATCATTTTCTCCGAGGAATTCCGACCCTCCGATCCCCGAAATGTGGGTCCTTGTGGGGGATTCAGTGCCCAGTACGCCTGCATGTGCGACTTCCATGGAGTTCCGTATCGCGAGGAGGTGGCCTGGGATGTGGACACCATCTACCTGTCCCACGACACGCGAGTCCTCAACCTGCGCGACTTTGACCACCTGGAACCAAAGTGAGTTTTGTCATTAACGATTTCTGTAAATTATTAAATTCTCATTTTCTTCGAATTTCTATTTCAGAGACTTGATGGCCATTGTTTCGGCGCTGGAATACAACACGTTTTTTCGTGGCCTGAAGGCTGCCCACATGCGATTGTCCCACGAAACCCTGGAACGCATCCTGCATGTCCTCAAGCGTTCGATGTGGCTGGAGGAGCTGCATCTGGAGGCATTGGGTTTGAGGTGGGGTTGTCTTATAGTTTGAATTATTACTCCAATTAATAAACTCTTATCTTGTCCGTTTGGCAGATGGGATTTCCTTAACAAGTTATCGATATCTGTGATAACGAATAGCAATCCCGCCATTCGCACCATCGATCTGAGCCACAATATAATTGAGGATAAAGGTGCGTACTCAAGTCCCCGGGAGGCCGTCAACTGCCCTGTCCCTGCTGACAACGCTGCCCCAAAAAGTGCCATCGAGTTGTAACCGAGCCCCGCCTGGTGTAATCCAATTAATCCAATTCTTGTCTACCTCTCTGCTATCGTTTCTCTTCCCCATCGTTTTCTCTGTGTTGTCGTTTGTCGGTTTGCCATTTTGATTTGCGATTTGCGATTTGTGTAGGAGCAAGTTCATTGTGCGCCCTATTTGGAAAGATTGTACAAGGTTTGCAGCTACCAATAGACACCTTAGCACCACAGCCATCAAAACAAAAAAACTAAGACATTTGCATTGTTGTTGTGTTACTGCTGTATTGCTGTTACCGTTCATGTTGTTTTCCCTAAGTTTGCCATTTATTTTCCCACTTGTGTGGCCATTGTTGAGCTTCCAAATTCATTTTGAATAGATTTCACCTCTCATTATCGACGATTGCCACACAGGATCGAAATAGTTCGATAAGGTTTTCTTCATTCTCGTCTTCATATTCTGCTCTATGTAAACAAAATTAAACCATTAGCGAAACAAGTCTCTAAACACTCGAATTGGCTACAAAGATCATGCTTTTCATTCATCCTACAGTCGTTGTGTTTGGGTTTCCTTTGTGCCTATATGTAAACTAGTAAAATCTCTTGTTTTTGTGGTTCAGGTGCCATCCATCTGGCAGGACCCATAGCAAAGGTGTCCAAGGGCCTGTGCAAATTGGCCTTGGCCCACTGCGGATTAACTTCGAAGGGAGTCAACCAGATGTCGCACTCGCTGACGCTCAATCAAAGTATTTCCAACTCGCTCACGTATCTAGACCTAAGTGGTAATAGTCTCAAAGATGATATAACCGTAAGTGCTTATAAATAAGTCTAAATGCTCTATAAACTTATAATAACATATATAAATATCCACAGAATCTGCACAATTTCCTGGCTCAACCCAATGTGCTGGAGCACTTGGATCTGGCCTCGACTGACATCACGCTGGAGAACGTAAGTAAATTTGAGTTTTGAATACGTTCGAAAACCTAATTATGGCTTTTGTGTTTATCCCAGTTGTTCGGAGCTCTGTTGCGCGGCTGTGCCACGCATTTGGCCCACCTGAATGTATCGCACAACTCGTTCAGCACCAAGAAGGGCAAGGAGATCCCGCCCTCGTTCAAGCAGTTCTTCACCAGCACCTTCAGTTTGAAGCACCTCAACATCGCTGGCTGCAAACTACCCATGGAGGCGCTGAAGAACCTGCTCCTTGGTCTGGCCTGCAATGAATCCACTGCCGGACTTTACCTCGATCTCAGCAGCAACACGCTGGGCGCCCAAGGTGCCCATGTGCTGGAGTCCTGCATCCATGGCGTGCGAGTGCTGCAGAGCCTGGATATAAGCGATAATAGTAAGTTTAACACTTAGCCAGTATCAGTGAAGGTTTAGCCTTTTCACCAGAAACCAAAAATAGTCTTTATTTTGTGTCCTATGTATCATCGACTAAAAATCATGTATTTTTTTAACCTCCTTAGATCTGGATGCTGAGTTGGCATCCGTGCTGACGGCCATTTCGAAGAACCCTTCGATCCGAACGCTTCACCTCACTCGCAGCCTCACGGGCATGAAGCCGAAGTACATTCCACCCGTAATGGACGCCCTAGTGAACCTCATCCAGAAGGACGACTTCCCGCTGGCCGAGCTGGTGCTGTCAGAGAACAAACTGAAGCACGACTTGCACGACTTTATCAACGCGCTGGGCAGCAACCAGAGTCTCCAGAAGCTGGACATCAGTGGCAACTTCATGGGCGATGTGGGCGCACGCCTGCTGGCCAAAGCTCTGCAGATCAACAACAGGCTGCGCACCATTTACATGGACAAGAACGGGGTGACGCTGCAGGGCTATGCGGATATAGTGTACGCACTGGAGCACAACCACAGCATGCGCACCATTCCCTTCCCCGTCTTCGACATCGCTCCGCATCTGAAGAGCCATCCGGACAAGACGGATGCGGTGATGCGGAAGATGCAGGAGCTGCTGCAGCGCAACTGCAACGGACTGAAGCGGACCACCGGCCAGGGATTCCGGCTGCAGCACGGCTTCATGCTCTCATCCACGCACCAGCTGGTGGACAAGTTGGTGGCCGAGACCCAGGACACCATCTCGCTGGCCAAGGGAGGCAGTGAGTCCGCCTCGGCGGTGCAGCGATTGATAACCGATGCCGAGAACTGCAAGCAGCTGATGCCCAAACTTCAGGAGGCCGTTCGCAACGACAGCCACCCCATCGAGATGAAGCTGACCCGAGTGGCCAGCGAGCTGGGCTACACGATCAAGAGCTATCTGGAGGAGACGCTCGAGACGATGATGCGCACCGGCATCGAGCAGTGTCCCAAAACACTGGGCAACCAGATCGTGGTGCAGGATCTTCGCAAGGCTCTCGCCGAGCGTCTGGTGGTGCCGGATGAATTCCTGCAGGTCTGCCTACTCAACAATGCGGGCAGCGAGATCATGAACAAAGTTGGGTGAGTGTCAATCAATTTAATCGGAGTGTTTAAGAGAGCTGGTTAGAGAGAACAAACAACATGTCGGGGGGAAAGGTAAAAGGTTTATTCAAATGAGCATTTCAGCGATTTAGCTAACAAAGCAAAAGTGAGAGGAGAGAAAGCCACTTTGGAACCCATTTCATTAGTGTGTTGACACAATGACTTAAAAATGCAAAATATATATAACAAGATTAGCGTGTAGCCATAGATAAAAACAAAGATTATAAATATATGTATATAGTTATAATTCTCGATTTCGGTTATGAAGTAAGGGAAAAGTTTTGGCCACAGATAAAACTGAGTTATAAGCGAAAAAACGTAAACAGTGTGAGTAAAGTTCTTACCACATTTACATGTTATTTCTGGCAATTTGCAATAGAATTCGCACATCGCCATGAATGAGAAACAAAAAAAAACGACAGCTGAAAGTAAACACATATCTGTTTTTTGTTTGGCACACTCAACTTCCGAACGAGCTTCATTTGGAGCTCTCAGCGCGCTCTTTTCACTCCCGCCCAAGTCTGTTTATTTAGGTATTCCCAAATACCCATCGGTGGGAGAGCCAGCGCTTAGATAAGATTAAAAACAACACATGAAAACCAGAAACAGCTGAATGCTCTTCCACTGTAGCCGGGATTCCGGAGTCAAACACTTCTGCTACGAGTTAGGCCGAAAATAGGTTTATCTGTGCTTATTGGCTGGGACCAGCTCACATCCCTTCAGTTCGCTTCCAGCTGTTGGGAAAAAGCCTCTCGAGGAAATGGGTCTAATAAGCACTTTGTGCTGCTGCTTCGGTGGCCGGAATTCCAAGGCTTCGGGCACAAGTCCCGCTTACCGAGAGTGTCCCGATGAGGAGCCCTTGGAGGAGGTGGTTTTAGAAACGGAAACGGATAACCTTTCCAATAAAAAGTAGTTCAATAATCCTCTCTGTTTGACATTCTTTTGACACTAATGCGAGTATATATTGTTCTGTTCCTTCCCCCTCAGTGAGATCGAACAATCCCTGGCCGCCGCCATCTCGGATCGGGCCACAGATGAGGTGCTCGAGGCCCTGACGCGCTACCGCCGTGGCATGGGCATCGCGGAGTCGCCATCGGTGCTGCTGGACGAACCGCAGACGCCGGACATCGTGCGCAGTCGCTCCAGCCATGTAAGTCGCCATATTCGATTCGGGCTGCGATCGGATTCGGACCTATCGAGTGGGTGGCTCTTATCGGCCCCGGCTAATGTGACAAATGTGATGTCATGGCCCTAAGCCCCTCGACGGTGTTCTCCGTCGCATTCGACCCACAAAAGTGAGGCGGTTGTTATTTTGATCGGCGGTGCTGCTGCTTCGGCTCTGCTTATCAGCGCATTCGATTTCAAATATTTCACCCACTTTGGGGAGTTGCCGAATCGAACAGCTATTTAGAGTGGACCCGGACACCAACGAAATAATCCCTTTGCTCAACGTGTTTCAGGATGCGGATGGTTTGATCATACGACCGGGTGGACGAGGCTCGATACTGCCCAAACTGGGCTTGGAATCGCCCACTGTAAGTGTTGAAAATCTCTCGCTACCCAAGTGGATGCAATAGACTCCTCCGAAATCAGCCAAATGAATCGAATTAGTCCATAGCCACATCATATATAAAAGAGTATATGCGAACAGTAGAGTGCCAAGTGTCGAAAAGATATATCATATTCATGAACACCATCATCATCCACAATCATCCAATCACACGCAGTCACATATTATGCTTAGTATATCCATGTGTAACACAGAACACTTATTCCGTACCCACAATGGATGTAGATGACACATGCAAAATAAGAAAAAACCCACAAGCATCACACTTACACTTTATACTTCCCAACATACATACATACGTACATCGAATCTCATTAATAAATTACTTCAATGTGTACACCAAATGCTCATGCTCATTATTTTCTCGTGTCTTCCTGCCCTGATCTGATCATCATCATCACCACCATCAACCAAACCGAAAACGAACCAAAATCAATTGTACAAAATCGCAAATACTCGTCTCGTACTCGTTCGTTCTCTAAACATACTTTAATTAAACCTTGTCTCCAAATCATTTACATTATTGCATTTCAAAATCCAAACAAACACAAAAAGAAATTGGAATATCTCAACCTTGTAAGTAGTTTTGTATTGTTTTTAAGTCTATCTATCAGCCTTTAACTTCTTCTCTGCGGCAGTGGTTTTAAAATCAATATTTTTGATCACTGTTTTGGGGAAGGCAACTCAGATATCCTACTTAATCTATCCCTCCGTAGACTGCCCGTTTCTGTAGACTTTCTATCTGTGAACGTTTTGATTTGTAGTCCTTCTTGTGCCCCCCAAAACCCAAAAACAATCTTCATTATTTCACACACGATAAAGACTCATAAGCATCACTTAATGATTCTGCAGCGAATGCATCCTAACCCCTGATTTTACCATCTGAACAGGCCACTCCGCATCTGCCCACCAAGCGGCGCAGTCTGGCCAAGAAGGTGCGTCCACAGTCCGTGGTGGAGAATCTCAGCCTGGGCCACTTCCCCGACCTGCTGGAGTCGCCCTCCTCGCATCGCTCCAGTTCCCAGTTGTCCGCTCGGGCAGCTGCAGGTGCCGCCGCCTTGGCGGGAGCCACCAACATGACCGACAGCATCGCGGCCATCGACGACGGGGGAGTGGACGAGTGCTGCGACTCGATCACCGAGCTGCCCAGCGCTTCGTTCCAGCTGCAGCACCTGGTCAAGGGCCGGCCGAAGCGGGCCAAGACGCGTGCTCCCACCCGGCCGTTGGTCACTGCCGAGTGTGCCGGTGGGAGTCGGGAGATCGGCGAGGGATTGGAGCACTTCTTCCGTCCCGGATCGGTGACGCCCACCACTCTGACTCCTCTGGTTTCGCCCACCTCGGAGGAATGCAGCTCGCTGTCCTTCGTGGACAGTCCTACGATGAGCCGCGATGGCAACGGACACATGACCTCCGAGGAGACCACACCCATTCTGGAGGAGCGCCGACCAATCAAATTGGAGCGCCAGTCACCATTGCTCAAGAGTAAGTGCTGGCGTTAAGAGATTTTACCATTTGTTAATTATTTCGAAATGTTCCTTTCAATTCCTAGGTGCCTCATGGGCTACACGCTCCCGCTCTACGGACAATTTGGAGAAGTATTCGCCGCTGGTGGGTCGTAAATCGCCGTTGGTCAAGATGCGAACAGAAGGCGGACCTGGTTCGGGAACTGCTGGTGGAGCTGAGGAGACAGCCGCGGCCAGCTCTAACCTTCTGAAGGCAAACAACCGCGAGGACAAAACCCGTTCGCCCAGCAGCGACTCGATCAAAAGCCATGCCACCGGCGAGGGTAGTGTGATTGTGAAGACGGGCAATGGCATCCTGCGAACTCCCATTGTGCTGCAGAAGCCCCGACCCTGGTCGGTTGTTGGCAGCGAGCCAAAGGCAAGCGGAGACCTTATAACAGGCAACGGAAACGCCGACTCCAGCAAGACCACGCCGGAAAAAGTGGAGGAAGGTGGGTTTGACCAAAAGGGTTAGCATGAGGGTCGTGTAAATAATGTGGTTTCTTCCTTTTAAGATGATGTCGAGGTAGTGACCTTCGGGACGAGCTGCGGTGGCTCCATTGTGGGCATCACGCCGGGAATAGCCTTAACAGCGGGTGGCGGTGGTAGCATTGTGGGCATTACACCAGGTAGGTCGCCTAACACAAGGGTAACTTCGAGTGACTAACTTATAGAACCTTACCTTCCTTGCAGGAGCTGCCCTAGAGAAGAAGTCTGTGCGAGAACTAGCAGCGGGACTCAATAGACTGGGTAAGTTAATTGTCTTGCTTGCGCATGAGTAACTGCTTGAAGATGCCTGCCCAGCACTTAGATTGCTAATAGTTGTAGTTTAGCAACCACTTTTGATTTTCCTTGTTTCGTATTTTATTTATTTTCATATTTTGATTTGTTGTACTCGTTACTTGTAAAGAACTCCCCCTCAAGCCGCCCGTAATGCCCAGAACCCTGCTGAACGCAGCAAATGCCCGCACGAGCACCTCCTCGACGGGGTCCACCTCCAACGGTGGGTCAGTCACCTCATCCACCTCGACCTCAAGCACAACGACGACAGTATTAAACCAGAGCCAGACGCGATCGAGGATCGTCAGCTCGACGAGCAGCACTGGCAGCACCGAGACCATCACAGAGCACAGCAGCATTAGCAGCTCGTCCAGCAGCCACGAGAAGCAGCATGCCAAGGCCTGCGCGAGTCTTATTAGCAACGAGATCCTGAGCATGCGCAACGGTCAATTGGGAGCCAAGTCGGGAAGCTGTGCAGAGAGCGGCGGCGTGAAGCGGATCGCGGGAAAGGAGATCTCAACTCTATTCGAGGTTTGAACTCCGAGGCTGGAACTGAATTGTATTCATCACCGCTCAAAATTTGGTGGCCGCGCTGCTTCGTTGATTTCGGTGCTCATCCTGTGCGTTTAACATCCGCATTTGTTGCTTAGTGTGTAGTTCTTAAGTGTTGTCCATTTGCCAGTAAGCGCATGTTGCCTGTAACATAAATCACCTAATTTGTGTATGCCTGTTGAGTTCCCGTCTAAACGAGCCGCCTAATAACGTAACTACTTTCCCAATTCCCCACAGGAGACATTAGTTGAAGAACTGCAGCAGAGCATGGCGAACAGGCGCGTGTTTAGAGACTCGCCCTACACAAAGGAGGATATCGTTGATTTATAGGTGTTCTAATTATATGCTCAACATTCCCTCACATCGACCCCTAGTCCTCACCTGCCCAACCTGCGACAGTCTTGCGTGATCGATCGTAGGGCTGATGATAAGATTAAGTGATGATGATGAGAAGAAATGGACGATGGAGAAGGATGGATAGATGGAAACGAGGTTGCAACTTATTCGTACTGAACCATAATTTATGTGCAATGGCGCGTGTGTGTTGTTTTCTTTTGGCAATTTTGAATGAACGTGATTTATTTATTGATATATACCCTGATACTTTTATCCAAATTAACCTTTGCATATTTTTAAAGATGTTTTGTGTACTATATTTTATATTTTTATGTATTTTAAATGAGTTAAGTGCCAATTATATACAGAATTAACATAAATCTATTTTTAGCGCGTGCTATACAATATTTTCAATGAAACTAACGAAGATAACGCAATGAATATGATACACTATACATATTATGTAAATCGATTGCGTGCGTAAAAACTATTTTAAAGGCCTAGTCCTAAACAAATCTAAATGAAATATAATATTTTTTATAACTGCTTCCAAAACAAATTTTATCGTTTATTGTTTCCTCATTTTTATTTCTTATTCTATACACATACTTATAGTATTCAAGCGACAATCCGTTTTCAAATTTTAAAGCGCAAAGAGCCGCCAAAAACGAATGCATTTATTTAAAAACAAAACGGAGACCGACGATCTTATTGATTATTTTCTAAAAAGTTAACAATTTACGCTAAGAAACTAGGCGAAAATGAAACCGATAAAAATATTAATGAATGCATTTAAACGACAGAAAACCGAAAACTACAGAGAACTAATTATTCTATTTGCAAATCGATCAATTTCAATTTTGAAGATCTAGTAGTTTGCACCAACGACACAGGAAATTTTAAGAGAAGCGTAAAAACCAGTCCGCCACCGACCACACACTTCGAGTTTTGAGTGTTACACGATTCCCATTCAACTTAAAAACCCAAAACGAATTACGAAAAACTTAACGTGTTCATTAAAGTTAAGCAATTAAAAACTTCATTGTAATCTATTGAAATTCAAATTAAACGGAAATCGATAACGAAGCTGTTTATTTTAAAATTCTTTGTGTTCTCCAACACTTTCAGCCACTTGGGTAGGTCGCAAGCGGCAGTGCTTGTTATCGGAAAAATGTTAGCTAACATCACTTCAATTTCAACTGGAAGGTGATTCACAAAGTGGTGACATTTTAAAAATGTCTCAAAAAGCCACTCCATTTCCTATTTACGTTGACTTCTCCACAATTTTCGCCTATGTTAACTATGTTAACTCACATCACTCAAAACTAAAATACAGTGTGACCAGCGCAACAATATACGTGAACTTCAGCAAAAATCTTTGGTAGTTTTGGTATTTTGACATGAACATTTTTTGCGATATTAAAACTCGAATATTTGCCCATCGCTAATATATTTTCAAGAACCTTAGCTGCGAATTGTTTTTTCGGCGTTTTGGAAAAATAAACCGAAGATTACAATAAAAAGGGTCCTTGAACTCGAACACGGATTACAAGCACTGCCACGATGGTGAAACTAACGCCGGAGCTGATCAACCAGTCAATGCAGTACATAAACCCGTGCCGGGAGCGTGAGCTGGATTTGCGCGGCTACAAGATTCCACAGATCGAAAACCTGGGCGCTACCTTAGACCAGTTCGACACAATTGATCTCTCGGACAACGACCTGCGCAAGCTGGACAACCTGCCGCACCTGCCTCGTCTGAAATGCCTGCTGCTGAACAACAACCGTATCTTGCGTATCAGCGAGGGACTGGAGGATGCGGTGCCAAATCTGAGTTCAATTATTCTCACTGGCAACAACCTCCAGGAGCTGAGTGACTTGGAGCCACTGACCGCATTCTCAAAGCTGGACACCGTTTGCCTGCTCATCAATCCGGTATCCACGAAACCCAATTACCGGGAGTACATGGCCTTTAAGTTCCCGCAGCTGCGGCTGCTCGACTTTCGGAAGATTAAGCAGAAGGATCGCCAGGCGGCACAGGAGTTCTTTCGCACCAAGCAGGGAAAGGACATGCTGAAGGAGGTTAGCCGGAAGTCAAAGATGAGCGCCGCCGCTGCTCTGGCGGCCGAGGCGGGGACTGGAAAAGGAAGAGGATCGGACGGCGGACGACTGGCCAATCCGGAGGACATGCAGCGCATCCGCGAGGCCATTAAGAGGGCCAGCTCGCTGGCGGAGGTGGAGCGGCTGTCGCAAATCCTGCAGAGCGGCCAGCTGCCAGAGAAATTTCAACACGAGCAGGAGACGCCGCAGAACGGAGCGGGGCACAACGGCTCTGGCGACGTGGCCATGGAATACTAGAATCCGCCGTACATCCGTCAGACACCTTATAATCGTACACCAACATTTTATAATAAAACACCTCCACAAGTTGATTCATCGTATTCTGCATTCTGGACATACACAAATATATATAGTATCTTTTGTTCTCAACTAAGGCTGCCGGCCGCAGGATCTTTCACGGAAAGAGCTGGGAAACTTGGCCACCGTAGAAATGCATTTACATGAACGTAATTGGCTAAAAGTTTAACAATCTACAGCGAGTACAAAGGGGACAAAACAGGAGGACGCTGGGCTGGCTTATTTAAAAAGAACGGGAATCGGGATGTGGCTCCTGGAGTCTGATATGGCTAGGCGGTGCTATTAAGACCCTTTCGCCGCCATTATGGTGTCGTAGTGCAGACCCGTGTAAAAGATGATCCACGTGACCAAAAACCCGGCGAACGACGTCATAAATCCCTCTTTGACCAGCTCCCAAACGCCTCCGTAGGCATCCTCGTCCACGTTCTGGAAATTTATGGCGTATAAGTAGACGATCCCACAGCTAATGCCGGCGAATCTGGAAGACAGAGTGGAGGGTCAAATGAAGTGACTGTTTCGGCTATTTATAGGTTATAGGTACTCACAGTACGAGGCCCAGAAAACCTTTAAGCGGCACTATGCCCCAGATGACTCCTAGAAAGATGCCAAATACCTGCCGAGACCAATAGATCACGTCCAGAAACTCCTCCTGCGGGGACCGAGGGAATTAGCATGCGGGTTTTACGATCTGGAACTTTGCTCACCTTGTCCTCCCACTCCGATTTTGTGATGGCGCGCGCCCAAATTTCCCGCAACGTTGAGGTTTTGGCCGGGTGCCCGTTGCGCTCAATCGTACTCGTTTTTGTGGCCATAATTTGATTCAGCTTTGACCCAATTCACTTTAAATAATTTGTAATTAATTTTTTTCAGAGCCTAGTGCTGGAACCAAAGCCGATATTTGCGATACTATCGTGGGCTGAGGAAATTCGGAATCGTTATTGGCAGCTCTTTATCTATAATATGGGCTACGCTGGCAACCCTGCTATCAGCTGTTTGGTTATGTGAATTAATTTTTTCTATTCTACTTGTTAAATTTTAATAAAAAAATGCTGCAAATCACAAGGAATTGCCTGGCTAAAACTGCCACAGCTACAGGTGACTTATTTTGCTTTGTAAAATTTATTATAATTCATAAAATGTCTGCATTACAGTAACTCAGAGGGGCATTGCTCTTACGGCCGCTCGATCCATCGATCAAAAGTGGCGTGCAGGCAAGGGATTGCCGGAAAACCCGAATGCTTTTGGCCCGCTCACCAATTTGCCAGACTTTACGTACCTTGATGGAAGACCTACGCCCCTGGGAGTGTGTATAGACCTTAAGCGACACAGATTTCATCTTAACACTCCCATGTTTTTTAGGCCAACCAAAAGAGACGACTGCTGAAACAACAGGAGATTGCCACAAAGATCGTTGAGCTAAGTGGGGAGCTGGAATTCGCCAAGCAGCGGCATGAACGGCTAAAGGAGGCTGCCGCATCTGAAAAACAGCGCCTCATCCAGAACAAACTGAAGCCCAAGGGCCACCTGCTTCTCAAGAAGTAGTTTCCCAAACATTAGCTTGTACATGTTTATGATAAGTCGCTTAGTGAATGGAGACGATAATATACGATGGTCTTGTGATGTGGACACATGTTTGCCCAAAACACGTTTTAAAAACGTTTTCCAAATGGCAAGCGTGGCGCAGTCAACGGTTCATTAGACGAAACGCTAATGAGGATTTAATTGCATCTGTGCGACTCACCTGCCGCACTTTAATTAAGTGTTAAAACGCTTGTGACGCACATTCTGAACTAACGTGTCCTGACAATTGGGCAAGTTGAAAGCGCCTCCCGCTTTTTCCGAGGGGCATAAGATTAGCCCTTGAGGTGGGAGTGGGCTCCCCATTCACACATAAGCTGCTAATAGAAGGCTTACGCTCGCGTATTCGAGTCAGTCCTCAAACTATTTGGGTAAACAAGGAAGTCGGGAGACTTTTGTTTATGTGTAAGCAATTGTCCAAGGTCATTTACAGCCTGAATTTGTCATCTTCCGGCCTGCGCAATGTGGCACACATCCCAGTGGGGCAGCCTGGAGAGATTTACAAATCGATCGTGCCAGCGATGGCAGCCAAGCGGAGCAAATATCATTTGTTTTGTTTGCCTTTATCAGTAAATATGTACCATCGTTTACCAGCCAAATATTTGCGCACCTTGCCAGTGGGGCTCCCTTGTTTTTCCGAGTGTTTGACTTTTCGGTTAGGATATCAAGAATTTTGCACGGCACGCAAATGTTTGCCTTCGATTCGGCTGATCGAGCCTTTAAAAGCCAAGTAGCCGAATAATAAAGCCCACAAAAAACGTGCTCCACTTAGGCGTGTTTTCGAAAAATTAAGTAAAGGCATGGTTTCTTAAAGCTTTAAACAGCCTATTTAGCCTAAATTAGGGTTCGGAAACATCCGACTTTGCTGGGCTTCACACTTCCCGAAAAAACATCAACACAACTAAAGATTCATCGATCCCCTAGGTGGCAGACATAAAAATTTCCATAACTCTTTGTTACTGCCAACTCACACCAGGCTGAAATTGGTAAAAGTGGCAATTAAATAAACGGATAATGTGCCACTGTAAATATTAAAATATTGCAGGGTGCAAATTTAGCTATTTACGTTCGCACATCCAGCTAACAAAGAAATCAAGTCTGAGGAAATTTTCTAAGCAGATGATAGTCACTTGGCGATCGCTTGGAGTGCAGAATGTTTGTCGCACTTCTTGCAGAAATTAGCCGAGTAGTATGAAATTTGGCACAGTCTTTCAAGTTTTCAGTGCCTAGTGGGTGTGACAAAAATAAAAGAAAAACGTGAGCGCTGGAGCTCTCAATCAAAAGGCAGAAATCGCTGCGCTGAGCTTAAATGCAACCAATCGTGCGTATACGTAATGCGATCTGAATCCAACTGGATTGTTTATGTTTCCTTTATCTCTGGCAAATCTCACACCTTTTTGTTGTTGTTGACGATGTTTTGGGTGTGCAAAAATATTTACCCCCAGTAAAATGGCATGGAAAAAGGTGATGTTGTGGAAAACAACTGAAATTTGTTATTGCCCCAGCTTCAGCCCGGGATTTATATTTATATAATTGTATAAATTTATTTAATTAGCGGGTTTATATTTACGACCGAAACTTTTGGAAACGGTCTGCGATAAACAAGTGCAAATTGGTTTGGGTCCAGGTCTCTTCCTCAAATTGGCCTGCTAAACGATGCGATACAAAAGTCTAGCTAAACGATGCGTTACAAAAGTCTAGTTGGCAGAGGCCTTTGATTCATCTTCTCTTTGAGTGCAGGCCCCACAAACTGAAGTCATGCCCCTTTTTTAAAGCCTCAATGAAAACCCCCACCTCAGGCGGGTCGAGTTGGTTTGTTAATTATTTCCCTGCTCCCGAAAGCCACTCATGTTTTTCTAGAAAATTGCGGTATTTATCACTTCCTGAGTCAGCCGGCCACATTTTTACGGTGAATTAATTACCGTGACATGAACCATTGCGGTTTCATATGTATTTTTAAAGTCAGCCGTATTTATAGACGCCGTCCTATTTGCGTGTCTATGCTGATTTTTATAAAAACGCCGAATTTCATTACAACGACATTTGAAGTCTGGATTTAGACTTAGCGTGTGACCACACAAAAATTACCACCCGGCGATCACAGCGCCTGGTACACATATTACTCATACGCCGTGTGCCCGAAAACCTTTCCAACCGAAAGTCAAACGCAGAAAGCCCCTAATTACTTTCGTCCATTCACTGACGACGTCAGAGCGCCAAAAAACAAATTAATAACTTTGATTAGTCTAAATCAAAACAAAATAGTCCCAGACAATGGGCAAATTCTGGGGGACCGTATCTTTCCGCATTGTAAAAACTTTTCCGAACCAAACTGGCTCCACGCTAACCGAAACAGTGCTCCGGCAATTAGAGCTTTTTGTCCCGGCGGGTCCCACAGAGATAAGACACACAGAGTTGTTTGCCAAGTCACAGCATCCGCGCATGCGCAAAACCCAGACGTCGACGGAACGGATTGCGAAAACCGAAGAGAGTTTGTCAAAAATGTCGCTGCGTTTCCTCCGGACTTGCGTCACAATTAAAGCATCGGCCCGACCCGAAAGCAAATTTTCACGTTTGGGTGCGAATATGGCGAGCGGTGCGTATATAAGGAAAGGGTTCTCCACAGTCAAGCACACAGAACACACCAGTCGTTCAGAGCAATCAGATCAATCGCCTGCCAAAAATCAAAGGATAATACTCCACTGCCCAAACAAGATTTTCCAGATAAAAACCAGTTTAAAACAAGAAACACAATGGACCTTAAGGTAATATGATATATGATATATCCCAGAGAATCCAGCTAACTCGGTTTTTCTCCCCTGTAGCAATTGTACTCTTGCGTCTGCCTGCTGATTAGCATCATCATCTGCAAAGTGTCGCAGTCCAGTGCCAAGCCTACCTATTACGACCTGGATAGCTACGAGACCTACGACACAGATCGCTATGACAGTGGTTCCTACGCCCTGAGCTACGGAAAACCCCTCACGGATAACCGCCTCAAGAAGCTCAGCCCGGGCTACTACTATGTGGACGATGGGTACATTGCCCCGGTGGCCGCCAGTGCTGGATACACACGCCGCGAAGACGGCATCTCGGAGAGCGGAGCCCTGCCCCACAATGTCAAGTTCACCCCGATTGTGCGAGTCCGCCAGACGAAGACCAAGCGCAAGAAGCTCTTTGTGCCCAACTTCTTCGGCTAGAAGATGACCATCTCACGGTCCATCTGCCGGGACTGAGAGTACAGACTGAGGATGATTAGAATAGGCTTAGTCGTAGTATTAGTCGCGTGGCTCCCACACCAAAAAGTACCTTATACTATTATCTATATTTTATACGCGGCCAAATTGATGACCAAATTATATTTATATACCCAAAACCTACTAAATATATACGCAAATTGTTGAAATAATTTACCAACAAAATAATTATTTTTTGCGGTTAAAGAGCTAACCACACGAAATGGAAATCGTAAAAACAAAATTAAAATTTATTTTTAGAAACAATGGCGACACGCAGATCGGGATTGTAATTTACAGTTGAGAAACAGCAATAATTCTCTGCTGCCTATTCGGATTTATTCGGTTATTAAAGGTATGTTGTTGTGAATTAAAATCCTCAGAAAGATCGAAAACAAACTAAACGTTCTAGTAACTTATAACCGAACATATAGCTTGCCAGGAAACGCATTCATGGATAACGCCCCCACGATTTAATGAAAAGTGCCGTAGAGAACTTGATGAGCCGCAAAGTGTCTATTTAATTTGACGATTTGGTGCTAATTGACCACTTAGGCGATTTAATAAAATCAGAATGGCATTTGTTATTATTTATACTTGATGTACAGTAAACTTTTCTTGATGATGTGATCGTTTAAAATAAAATATATGCGTAAACCAAAATCATATTTTTTATCAGCGGGTCCGTAAATCATAAATACAAAATCATAAAAAAATTAGTACAAATTTAATAGTAGGACAAGTTTACCCAAGTTTTACTTTGTAATAGTTGCACAATTGAATACGTCGCTGCAACAATAATTGCATTTTTTATCACAGAAAGAAATAGCAAAATAAAATTAAGCAAATATTTTGCATATTTAATGTAATTATTTAAAGTAGTTAAGTCAGCTTTTATTGAATTCAACCAAACTTAGTAAAAGAGTGTAGTATTCTACTGTTCAAAATATAAGTTTAGTTTTTCCTTACTAAATATTATCACCTTACAGATTTAAATCTTAAGTCGTGATAACAGGTGGTGATAACAAAAATTGAAATTACCTCCCAATGTGTAGTGTTGTTCAGCGCTAGTCGTGACTGGCCAATGAAACATCGATCTATCGATATGTCAGCTGTCGTCATTTGTGAAAGAAGAAGAGGAGAAAGAGAGATTTGCAAATTTACAAAGGAAGCAGGGAAAAATCAGCGTCGTCAACGATGAGCTTCATGCAACCAAGTCCCGTTAAGTACGCGTGCTCCTGTGGCATCCTGAATCCGATCAACAAGCTCTTCTTCTGTCGCCACTGCCCCAAGCTGCGCTGTGGCTTCTGCGTGACGCACGAGATCGAGTCGCACTTCTGCTCAAATTGCCTGGAGAATATCCCTTCCACGGAGGCGCGGCACAAGAAAAACTGCTGCGCCAACTGCTTCGACTGTCCCTGCTGCCAGCACACTCTGTCGGCCAGAGCCTCTACAGTCCCAGTGGTGCGCAAGACAGAGGAGGCGAAGGAAGTCAAAGAAGCAAAGGATGGAGACTCCACGGCCGAAACCCCGCCCCCTGTCCCGGCAAGCAGCAAACCCTCTGCGGTGCCCACCACCAAGAAGATGTACTATCTGTCGTGCCTCTCATGCCGCTGGACTACGCGAGACGTGGGCATTCCCGACCAGGGCGTGGCCACGGGCACCTGGCCGGACAACGAGTGTCTGTACCAGGCGCGATTCAATGCCCTGGTTGAATACTTCCAGGCGGTGGTGCTGCAGGAGAAGCAGGAGAAACTGGAGTTCATGCGGCGTAAGGCGCCAAAGCAGCACAAGTTTCCCAGCTTGACGGATCGCACTGGCCTAACCGTTTCACTCATTCGCCGCCAGATCGGCTGGAACGACAAAGTGCCCAAGGCCAAGGCCGTGATTACGCCGGCGGTGGCCACGGCGGAGGTGGAGGGTCTGCCGGCAAACATCTTCACGGAACCGCTGAACTTGCGCAATGTCACGACCATTGCCCAACGTCACAGCCAACCTGCCGATCAGCCCACGGCTGTTGGCAGTCTTTATCCGCAACGGCGATCGCTGTGGATCAAGCGATCTCTGCGCTGCCGCCAGTGCGAGCACAATCTGATCAAGCCGGAGTATCATCCAACGTCGATCAAGTATCGCATCCAGCTTTTTGCCAGCTACCATGTTCCCGAAGTGGTGATGGTGCGCTGCGAGCAACCGCTGATTCCTGGCAAGAGCAACGCCATTCTGCTGAAGCTAACCAATCCGACGATGTACGACATGACTATTCGATTATTAACTACAGCTCCTCCGGAGGATCCGCAACTGGAGGAACCGATTTCTTCCTCACCACTACTCAAGGCTGTTGGCATCACCTTGTCGCGTCAGAATTCTACTCGAGAGGTAAAGCGTGAGGTGACAGATGTGTCTAATGCCGAGATTGTTCCGCTGGAAAGTGAGTTTGTGCTCAGCCAACGCGATGACTCCAAGGAGTTTGACGAGTATGTGCAGCTGCCCACCGAGGAGCCCAAGTTCATTGTTTGGCGAAAGGGCAACAAGGTTCTCTTAAGGCTGCAGTTCACACCGGCAAAGGAGCTTCCTCCGAGCACAAACGTTGTGCTTGGCTTCTTCATGCAGTACACGTACGTTAACACCGTAGCCAATGCGCCTGAGAAGAAGGAGCCCACCACTCATGCACTCAATTCGAGGGTGTTCATAAACGCGGGGGCAACTGAGCACAAGGCCAACTGAATTATAAACTCATAAGCTGAATGGAATACTAATCGAACTTATCAGAAACCTAAAAAATGCTTTTTGAAAGCTAGGAAATTATTTATTTATTAATAATCGTGAAAAAGCCGCTGGTATTAAAATTGAATAAACCCTACTCGGGATCTTTAACATCTGCAACCTTATCTTTTCCAGGTGTAACGGGCACAGTCCATTGATCGTATTTACAAGTTTAAACTTTAGTCCCTCTCGTTTATCAGTTGCGTTTTTTATTTTAGGAGTTTTGGTCTCGGAATAAACTTTTTCACTTCGGTATCGGCTCATCAGTTTCATTTTTGGCTGTCGGGCTTATCCAATCCAGTCCACTTTTCGCTCTCAGTCCACAGGAACTTTCCTATAGCTTTGTCTAAAGCTGCAGGAGCAACAGTCTTGGGCTTGCAGTCGCTGAAGTACAATCCAGTCACATCCTTCAGTTCCGGATCCAGAGCGGCATAAAGGGATGTCTGTGCTCCGCTTTTAGGTGTCTTCAAAAGCGGCCAAATCATTGGCTTGATGAAGTACCTAAAGATTGGAATATTACTAACAACATTTTTTCTTTTTACTCCCCACTTACTGCACCAAGTTGGTCTGGAAGAAGGCCCAGTTCCTTCCCAGCTCAGTGTCCACAACACCAGGATGAAGAGAATTGACCGTGACTCCACTACCTTCTAAGCGCGTTGCTAGTTCCCTAGTGAAAAGGACATTGGCCAGCTTGCTCTGGCTATAGGCTAGTCCCTCATCATAGGTCTTCTCGCTATTTAAATCGGCCACATTAATAGAGCCACGTGCATGGGCCAGGCTGGAAACGACGACTATGCGACTAGGAGCCGATTTCTGGAAAATTTACCCAAGTGTTATCTCAAATCGAAATTTATGAATGTCATCCTTTACCTTCAACAAATCGAGCAGCAAGTTAGTCAGCAAAAAATGCCCAATATGGTTTACACCCAACTGCAATTCAATGCCTTCCTTAGTTAACGTCTTTGGACAACGCATCACACCGGCGTTGTTGATCAGGACATCTAGCTTATTCTGCTCCTTCTTGAAGCTAATTTATAAGGGAACCGTTTAATAGGAGGTGAACTCTTAAATACCATTTCTTACAAGCTTACCCTGCTACAAATGCACGGATCGAGTCCTGGGAGCTTAAGTCGAGCTCTCGGGAGAATACATTCTGATTATTTGTCTCTTTGACGATTTCCTTACGCGCTCTTTCGCATCGGTTCAAGTCCCTGCAAGCCATATAGACGGTTCCGCCGCGTCTGGCGATCTCCAGAGCTGTCTCCTTGCCGATTCCCGTGTTGGCTCCCGTGACAATAAATACCTTGCCGGTTTCATCGGTGTTCTTTGTGAACTTGCCACCCTGCATGTACTCCCTAAAAATACCAGTAGGAATTACATAGCTGCAAGCCCTTATCTATCTCTGCAATCACTATTGCGACTCACGACTGCTTCGTCATTGCGCATTTCATAATTTCCAGAACATGTTTGGGAAACTTACTTCAAGAGGTAGATGGACACCCCGATTATAGCCGGCCACAGTATTAATGGGCTTAATAAACAGTCGATAAAACAGCCCATTTTAAATAATTTTAACTCTGTTTTTTTTTGGGTTCTGGAAGATATTAATTCCTTCGATGAAGGCGAGCAAGTTAGCTTGAACAGCACAGCAGCTGTTGTATTTATACGAACCCGACTACTACGCCAAATTATGAAACAGCTTTTTCTCTCTGAGTGTAAAGTGAAATGGGGAAAATCAGAAAATGTTCTTGCTTGAAGAGAAGGCAAAGAGAGGCTAAGAGAGAAAGCTCTTTATTATTCCGATCGATTCGTATTTGTTGATTGATAAAGGGGAAATATATGTATATATATGTATATATAAGCAAATAAATGTAATCCCACAAAGGAATTTTGTTAATTACTGTTTGACGCAATCATTTGGTATTTTATGGTGGTAAAGAGACGCGTAGCTATATACTGCTATCGGTAAAAGTACGTTTTGGAACATTTAAATTTTAAAACGTACGACTATCGAGTTAAGAACAACGAATTCAAAAGTCGAACGTGCATATCAAATAGCTACCAGTTATTCCTTGCCCTACTTCAGCATTTCCTGAATATTTTAATAAACAAATGTGGTACCCAAAATCAAAGCATATTTTATTACCGATTTTATCCGCATTTTTTAATAAAAATAATATAAGAAAATAAAGTAAAATGAAAAATAAACAAGTTAAAGCTATAAGAGATGGTAACTTGTTGTGTGCAGCTATTTATCGAGTTTTTATAATAAATTTGTTTAAGTTGTAATTTGTATGATTTAACCTTAACCTAGCCCAAAATAAACTAGCATTAGTTAGTATCGAGCTACAACAATGCCACTCACCGAACCATTAATTGTTTATGTTATATTATTGTTACTCTCGAAGTTATGATAGCATTTTCAGAATCCTAAACCCCAAACATCGTACCAGAAAATTAAACGGTTATAGGAAATTGTTGAATGAACTGTTCATTAAAAATCAATCCTTTAATTCAGTATAACGTATCTTGTAATTTTTTGTTTACTAATCATAAAAATAATAAATAATAAAATGGAGGTTGAAGGAAGAGGTATAATTTTTAGTCTACTTTGGAAGTATTGACGCCTGTCCACTTCTCGCTCTCTGCCCACAGAAACTTTGCGGTTTTGTCGTCCTTGGCAGCAGGTGCCACATCCTTTGGCTTGCAGTCGCTGAAGTAGAGTCCAGATACCTCCTTCAACTCAGGATCCAAAGCAGCGTATAGAGTAGTCTGCGCTCCGTTCTTTGCTGTCTTGAAGAATACCCATTGCAGAGGATTGAGCAAAAGCCTAAAAAACGAAAATGATTACCTTATGCACCAGATCTTCTTCACTTATCACTTACTGGACGAAGGCATAATCCAAAAACTCCCAATTCCTCTGAAGCTCAGTGTTCACAGCACCAGGATGAAGGGAATTGACTGTGACTCCAGTTCCCTCCAAGCGTTTGGCCAATTCCCTTGTGAATAGAACGTTGGCCAACTTGCTTTGGCTGTAGGCATCGATCCTACTGTACGACTTTTCACTGTTCAAATCTCCAGTATTAATGGTGCCCTGTGTATGTGCCAGACTGGAAACATTTACGATGCGACTGGGTGCAGTTTTCTAAGGAGCATAAGGTTAACAAAATGTTAAAAACCTTTTAGGCTGTCAATACCTTCAAAACGTCCAGCAACAAGTGCGTAAGCAGGAAATGTCCCATATGATTTACACCCAACTGCATTTCGAAACCGTCCTTGGTCAAAGATTTTTTGCAATGCATAACTCCTGCATTGTTGATTAGCACATGGAGCTTGTCCTGCTCTTTTTTGAAACTAATAAAAGCATTTAGTAGAAATAAGATTTGTTTCTCTGTCATTCTTATATGCTTACCCAGCAGCGAATTTTCGAATGGAGTCCAGCGAACTCAAGTCCAGTTCGCGAGCAAATATGTTGGTATTGTTTGACTCCCTGACGATATCCTGGCGGGCCTTTTCACATCGGTTCATGTCCCTGCAGGCCATATAGACGGTTCCTCCGCGCTTGGCAATCTCCAGGACTGTCTCCTTGCCAATTCCCGTGTTGGCTCCCGTGACGATAAATACTTTGCCTGTTTCATCTGTTTGCTTGGTGAACGTTCCGCCCTGCATGTATTTTCTGAAATTAGGTATGTTAATATTTTACTCTAGCTACAAAAAGTTTAAACAGAAAATAGCCAGTCATTGCAGTATTACTCATTCGAAATTTAACTATTTCGTGCAAAAATTACCTCAGAAAATACACAGCTGTGCCGATTAAAGCCGGCCAAAAAAGGAGGGGGCACAACAAACAACTCATTTTGTTTAGGCTTCTATCAGTTGTGTTTAGCAGTTTATAGCCGGGAGACCTCTAAGCAAATGAGAACTAGGCAGTCTACAGCGGTCGTTTAAATACTACGAGCGCTATCTGTGAGAAAATACACGACAGCTATAACATGCTAACTCACGATGAGTATAATTCGAAAATACGAGAAGAGAACGAAAAAGTTAGAGAGAAATGTGAAATACAATTCGCAATGTTTGAAAGTGTAACGTATGCGTACTAATTATCAATGAGAACAAACATTGTCAGGTTCTGGCAAACAGATTATAAATGAGGATCAGAACAGATCAGCTAACTGTAATTAAAATACAACAAAAACCATTGCTAATATGTCTTTGGTATCGGGCACTATTTTTATTTTTTTTTTTTTTTGTAGAAGTATGTATGTACATATATACGCTATGCATATTCTTGATGAGCATAACCATTGGAATCAAAAAAGCCAAAAATTAGCGTTACGAGGTTTATGGACGGCCCCATACATAGAAAAGCCTCTTTGTTCAGTTTTTTTTTGAAGCACAGTAGTTAATGAGACAGGAAGCTTAAACATTTTTTTTATAATAATGTTAACCGATTTCGACAAAAACTTTTGATATATGTATTTAAACTTCCTTGTCTTCTTGCTAATTATTATTTTTAACACGGATGTTATTTAAAGAATACTATATATAAAAATATTTAATATTGAAAATATTATCGCAAAGTTAATGTTTAACGTTGCACACTGGCAAATTTGTATCCCCACAGCATTTGGTAAGGCCTGTCCACCTCTCGCTCTCTGCCCACAGAAACTTTCCAGTGTTGTCGTCCTTGGCAGCAGGAGCCACATCCTTTGGCTTGCAGTCGCTGAAGTAAAGTCCAGATACCACCTTCAAGTCGGGATCCAAAGCAGCATAAAGAGATGTTTGCGCTCCGTTCTTTGGTGTCTTCAAAAGCGTCCATTGCAGAGGCTTGACCAATAACCTAAAACATAAAAATGATTACCAAATTCACCAGATTTTCTTAATCTGTTACGTACTGAACAAAGATGTTCTGCAGAATCTTCCAATTTCTCAACAGCTCGGTGTCCACAACACCGGGATGAAGGGAATTAACCGTGACTCCAGTTCCCTCCAAGCGTTTGGCCAACTCCCGGGTGAACAAAACGTTGGCTAATTTACTTTGACTGTAGGCATCGATCCTACTGTACGACTTTTCACTGTTCAAATCGCCAATATTAATGGTGCCTTGAGTGTGTGCCAGACTGGAAACATTTATGATGCGACTGGGTGCAGTTTCCTAAGAGTTTAAAGGTTAACGACTGGTCACAAATGTATTTTAAGGGTTGGGACTACTTGAAAGGCCTGTGTATATGTTGCTTAGCATTTTTTTAATTACATTAAAAGTATGTAACTTAACACATTTAAGCAAATGGTTTTATTAAAAGATTAATTAGCTTTTTAAACATTAGAACTATTTTAATGATTTAATAATTTTTTTTTTTTTATAACTTGCATGGAGTATATTGACATTTAAAATTGGGTGTAAGTTTGGCCAAGTTAGTTTTAAAACGTTAAACAAATTTTTTGTGTTGGTATGAGTCATTTAGATTTAAAAATATCCTTTCGAAATGTACGCACTTTAAGTTTTAACTTTGATGGTACAAGAAATACATTTTCCACTTTTAAACTCTCGCTTAATTTTGCCCGGACCGACATAAAATTTTGCGGACACACTTTGAGCCATTTAGGTAAGAAATAAATTGTAATAGGCTTAAATATATATTTAAAAGTCGTAAGTGGTGCTAGCCTTAAAAGACGCCAAAATACCTTCAAAACGTCCATTAGCAAATGGGTAAGCAGAAAATGGCCAATATGATTTACACCCAACTGCATTTCGATGCCCTCCTTGGTCAAAGTTTTGGGGCAATGCATAACTCCTGCGTTGTTGATCAGCACATGGAGCTTGTCCTGCTCTTTTTTGAAACTAATAAAAGCATTTAGTAGAAATACGATTTGTTTCTCAGTCATTTTTATATGCTTACCCAGCAGCGAATTTTCGAACGGAGTCCAGCGAACTCAAGTCCAGTTCGCGAGCAAATATGTTGGAATTGTTTGACTCCCTGACGATATCCTGGCGGGCCTTTTCACAACGGTTCATGTCCCTGCAGGCCATATAGACGGTTCCTCCGCGCTTGGCAATCTCCAGGACTGTCTCCTTGCCAATTCCCGTGTTGGCTCCCGTGACGATAAATACTTTGCCTGTTTCATCTGTTTGCTTGGTGAACTGTCCGCCCTGCATGTATTTTCTGAAATTAGATCATTAACGTTAATGAAAGCTCTGAATTGGGTAAATTGATTTTAAAATACCTTAAAAAATACGCAGCTAAGCCAATGCCAACCGGAGTTAGGACAATAAAGCCCAAAAACACTGAGCCAAGAAGAATGGGGCAGACCAAACACAATATTATTATCGGGCACAAAAGTAAAGGGTACAGCAAAATCTCGACACAGCACATTTTGCTTGAATATTGTTTTAGGTGTTCAGCAGTTGTTTCTAGTTTTGGAATCTCACAGCAAGTGCGTTTTTGACAGTTTCGCTGCCGCTTAAATACTTTACGCTCAATCTGTTGTAGAAATCTTAGAGTGCTTACTCACGAAGAGAAGAATTTAAAAACAAAAAATATCTGTAAATGTTAGAAAGGAAGTGCACATTGATTCACTATGTTTTGAAAACATAGAAGTGAGTGTATTTTTTGGTTTCATTTAGGAATGTCACCCATTGTTCTACAATACACAATTCGAATTTTATCGCATTACATAGTTGTTTGCAAACATATTTTTTCAATGCGTTGGTAGTCTCTTAACCAGGAAGCTTCGTTTTAAGTTATTTATTAAAAGTTTGGCTTTTTTAAATTAATTGTTTTAAATTTACTGCTGGCAGTTATGGACTTGCTATGTTCTTTCTTAAGAATAGTATTTGCTATTTCTTTATTCTGTTATACAAATGCTGTAACGTTCACTGCTCTCTGAACCGTTCCGATTTTGTTACAATATAACTGGAAAAATAGCGAGAGAGCGGAGAGCTGCAACAGTTTTTGTACATGTGTTACAGTCGTTATTCAATTATCACCATTTGCACGGGGCACACCTACAAGTTCTATTAAAGTTTTAAGAGCGGGATAACCACCTGTATGATAATAAAGCTCTTAGAACTAAATCGCTTCATTTTCCGGCTGAGATAAGAGCTTATGGTATTTGTAAAAGTAAAGAAATACAGAGAAATTTCTATTTTTATGCATAAAATTGTGGCACTGTATAAAATGTTATTCCACAAGCTTTAATACATTTTATGTAGCTTAATACATTTTATAACATCATTTTAGTTAGTAATTAAACTTATTAGAAGTGACGAGTATTAACACCAGTCCAGCTTTCACTCTCTGCCCAAAGAAATTCGGCATCATCGTCATATTGTCCAGCAGAACCAACATTTTTTGTCTTGCAATCACTGAAATATTGTCCTGATACATTTTTCAAATCAGGATCTAGAGCTACAAACAGGGACGTCTGAGCTCCGCTTTTTGAAGTCTTAATAAAAATCCAAATTAGCGGAGCTATAAGTAATCTAGAACAAAACAATAAATGAATCTCGTTATTACGTCCAACAAACAATTAACATACTTCCCGATCTTCGATCCGAGGAATGAAGTGTTTCGAAAGAGCTCTGTGTTTACTAGTCCAGGATGTAATGCATTCACCGTGATTCCAGTTCCTTTAATGCGCTTGGACAGCTCCCTGGTGAAAAGGATATTGGCTAACTTGCTCTGGCAGTAAGCCAACTTTTGATCATAGGACCTTTCGCTGTTCAGATCCTCTCTGTTGATTCTTCCAAATCGGTGGGCCATGCTGGACAGGACCACAATTCTGCTGGGTGCGGAACTCTTCAAGACATCGAGAAGTAGCAGAGTGAGCAGGAAGTGACCCATGTGATTCACACCTATTTGCATTTCAAACCCGTCCTGTGTTAGCATTTTGGGGCAGTCCATCATGCCGGCGTTGTTGATAAGAATGTGAAGATTATTCTGCTCCCGCTTAAAGCTTTATAAAATAAATTGAATAAGTTTCTTTACTGTTTTGGAAGGCAATCAGGACAATAATTACCTAGCTACAAAGCTTCTTATAGATTGCATAGAACTCAGATCCAGTTCACGTGAGAACACATTTTGGTTGTTGGTCTCATTGATAATCTCTCTACGTGCCTGATCGCATTTTTTCATATTACGACAAGCCATATAAATAGTGGCTCCCCTGCGAGCCAGTTCCAGTACGGTTTCCTTACCAATTCCCTGATTGCAGTAACAATCACTACTCGGCCAGCTTCATCAGTTTTCTTGGTGAATTGGGCTCCTTGCATGTATTGCCTAAAGCGCAGAGGTTAAAGGAACTTCGTTGAAAGTCATTGAAATTCACCTGAGAAAATATATTCCAATCGCAGAAAGGGCTGACCCGTACACCAGCGGGCTTAACAGGTAATCGGTGATTCCACTCATGTTTTCTTCGCTCCGAATGCTACCAGCTTTAAGTGTCGACTGGTGAGGTGGGAGCACTTACACTTTTCTTTATTCAGATAATATCAAAATCTTGGAATGCACATACTTGGCATTAACATATACGAACCGGTATAAAAGATCATTGTTTAAGGTCGGAAAGTTTACGATACTGAGGCCTTATTGTTGTCTTGTCAAAATTTGATGTAATGGGAATTTAAGCATTTGCTCTTATAGTTGCAGAGTTTTTTTTTGTATAATTGTTATAATATAATTTGTTTGTTTTTGCAGCTTTAAGAATGGTTAGTCCAAAGAGTTGTTCCATTTGTTATCTTGTTTAAACTTCAATTAATTAATTACCTTTCTTTTCTACTTAATAATTAAAAAAAAAATTTTAATCAAGTGCTTACAGATTTTATTTAGTAAAAGGTCAAAATCAAACGCCTATTTAATGAAACTATGCAACCTAACAAAATAACATTTGGTAAAACTGGTCTGTCTCCTAATTCAAGATTTCATATTTGGTTTTTATTTTAATGGAATGATTTAAAATAATTTAAATGATTAGAAAAAAAGTAAACTGACTTTTAATTTATCTTAATGTTACTAATAAATGTTGTATGCAGGAAATAAGTTATGATAAGTGAAGTTTTGTTTTGTTCTTCTTCGGAAAAAAATATAAAGATTAAAAACTTTGTTTTACATTCTCAAGCTATTGACTCATTTTTATAAAAGACTAACTCTCTGTCTACATAAGCTCGAATAAAAGTATAGAAACTCGTTGTGTTATGTGCCCGCAATAATTATTTTGTTTTGAATAAATAGCCCATTATTAGTGTTAATCGAGCTGCACATTTTTATCACAGGTGAAAGGGTATACAAATTTCGGCTAAACAAGGGAAGCTTTCTTACTTTTTTTGTGGATTCCTTTTCGATTAATTTGAGGACTTTGCATTAATGAGAGTGACATTAACACCTAAATTTCACTCGATTAACTGACCGAAGGCAAATAAGCTTTCGCTAAAATTCATTAACTTGCGGAACCATGTCGAATAACGATGATTTTCGACGACACCGTAAAAAGCCATCGCAGATTGTTAATCGTTTTATTTTTAAAGGGAGTGCTTGGGTCATTTACGCGATCGCCCACGGACTCCACTTCTTTAAGTTGCGATACAATGAGCGTTCAAATCAATTGGAGGAAGTTCAGCACCACCGAATATGGTCGAAGATTGTGGTTGCCATCAAGGTACTGCTAATTGCTGGCCAATATGTGCACTACTTCGTGCTCGTAGTGGCCATATACATTTACACAAGGTTGATGAATGGAAGTACTGCCCAGAACTTGGTCATGAGTGTTCTTATGCAGGGAATAGGAATCAACGTTCTGCGACGCTTGGTAATCTTTCTGCACGCAAAAAGTGATCGGAGACTTGTGAAGCATATAGTAAACGAGATCCTAAAAATCACCAGCGTGATAGAGCGAAAGATCGGAATGGTATACAGCTGCGATCCAGTTCTACTTACAGTATATCTGTGCAAACTGTGGTTACTCTACATCCTGCTGGACTCCCTGTGGAACCATTCCTACTTCCTGCTGCTCAACTTTCTCTACTGGGTGCTACTGGAGTACTGCTTCGCTGGATATTTTATGTACCAACTGATACTTTTAAGCTGGTACAGCAGCATTATCAGATTTCTGCAGCGTTTCATCGACGACAATGAGAACCGAATGGACATTGAGAGCCAATATCATCGGCGATTGTTCTTGCTTCTGGAGTTGCATCTCCGCATTAACAATTTGCACAAATGTATCAAGGACGAATTGAGTTGGCTTTTGACATCCATTTACCTGATGATCTTCACAAGCATCTTCAATATGGAACTGCTTATCGAGTGCACTCTTTTTGCCGAGGACGAGCTGGAGAACAAGCTTTACATCATTGCAGATGGATGTTTGGGACCTGTGTTTATTCCGATCCTATATGTTCTTATCCTGGGGATGTGTACTGACCGGTTTCGTGATGCTGAACTGCAACTGCAACAGCTCATTGTAATCATTCAAGGGCTTTATACGAGAAAAGCAAAACCACGAACTCTAGCCGTTATTGTTCTTGACAACGAGGTAAAATCCCTTTTAATCTGCGAAGTTTTTTTATAACTATGTACCTATAACTGGACGTAACAAATTTTCCAGCATACCTCTTTAATACTGCATCAGAAACTAGAGCCACTACAAAATAGGATAATCTTAGGCACCACCTGCGATCGTCAGTTTGTCATGGAGTATATTTTAACCGTGATACTAACGGCACTTTCGCTTGTACAGTACACTATATCATGTGGCCAATCTATAAGCGAGTGTGTGACCCATAAGTAAAACCTAATAGCTTGTCGGCGGCTAAACTTCTTAAGTACAAATTAAATAATACGTAAAACATCTGGATTTTCATTACAATCGCGGTGTTTCTTTACTGATAAAATGGGAAAAAGTCACATAATTATAGTTTATGACGTACGCTCAATCATACTTGACCTTATCGACAAGGAGGTAATAATAATAGTATAATTTTGTTTTGCTCAATGTAGTATTTGTTTATTTATTTTTAATAACACAAATATGAAATAAGGACGGATTTACCTCGTTCTCATTGTCACAAATTTCTTAAAAATATCTTGAAAACTTTTATTCCGTAAAATATTGTTACCTGCATTAAATTTTTTTATAAATATCAATGGCATTCAATGCCAATTCATTTGGCTAAAATAGCGACTAGCTAAACAACATAACCCGTACCAGCCAACTTAGAGTGAAATTCCTGCCCACTTTTCGGACTGGGCCCACAACCACTTGGCCATCTCGTCGTCCAGGGCAGCGGGGGCTACAGGTGCTAATTTGCAATCGCTGAAGTATTGCCCTGATATCTTTTCGAGATCGGGATCCAACGCGGCATATAATGTCGTCTGCGACCCGTTCTTGGGGCTTTTCATCGCTGACCATAGAAGCGGTTTCAGGATTGTTCTGTAAATACACATAATTAATTCTTGTAATATTGATGAATAATTTGAAGAGGACACACTCTACTACATACTGAGCAAACTTGGTTTGGAAGAAGATCATATTCCGTGCTATTTCAGTGTCAGCTAGGCCAGGATTAAGGGCGTTGACCGTGACACCCGTTCCCTCCAGCCTCTTGGCCAATTCACGAGTAAATAGTATGTTGGCCAGCTTACTTTGGCAGTAGGCAACTCCCTCGTCGTAGAATTCCTTGCCGTTGATGTCATCCACGTAAATCTGACCCCGTTCATGAGCCTTGCTGGCCACTACTACCACCCGGCTGGGAGCCGACCTCTTCAGCACATCCAGCAAAAGGTTGGTCATCAGAAAGTGGCCAATATGGTTTACTCCCAGATGCATTTCGAATCCCTCCTTCGTCAGTCTACGTGGTTCCCAAAATACACCGGCATTGTTAATCAAGATATGCAGCTCCCTCTGCTCTTTCTTGAAGCTTTTAAAAATTACCGATCAGGTTAAAGGAAAGCTAAATGGTTTATTTTATGACTCACTCTTCCACAAACTTCCGAATGGAATCCATAGAGGACAGGTCGCATTCCCGGGAGAAAACTTTCGAGTTTCCAGTCTTCTTAACGATTTCCTGCCGTGCTCGTTCACCTTTTTCTTTATCCCGGCAGGCCATGTAAACGGTGGCTCCTCGTCTGGCCAACTCCAAAACCGTTTCCCTGCCAAGACCCGTGTTTCCGCCAGTGACGATGGCGACCTTTCCCGTCTCATCGGTCTGCTTCCTGAACTTTCCCCCCTGCATATACAGCCTAAATCGGGGTAAAAATTATGCCTGTTAATCGGTGATAACTATTTTGTCGTCACGGGTAAACGCCGTTGATAATGCTTCTCAGCGTTACATTTCAAATCGACGCTTCGACTTACCTCACACAGAAGGCGATAATGCCCACAATTCCATGGGCCAGAAATACGGGGGCAACTTTGTGAAACAAATTTATAATGATTTCCATGCCAGTTAATAGTTCCGGCCGAATTCGCGGTCTATTCAAGAGTGCCACCGCGGGCGAAATTAGTTGAGTTTTAAAGTGATTGCCGCAGCGATTACTGGACGACAACTGATAAAATTGATAGTGAGGGTTTCTATGAGTAGCCTGTAATCAGAAACCCGCTCTTCAACACATTTAGCATAGATAACTGCGACAAGAAGCCGAAAACCGAGTTACTTTCACGAGAGCGTGAGTGCTTAATACTGATGAAATGACCCTAAACTTTTGGACCGAAGGCTCAAGCTAAAATGTAATGGATATACATATTTATTTTAAGCAAATGATGTAGAAATTGCCCCTAACCGGTTTCCGAGTATAGACATTCGTACACATTCAAATCTTGAGCTTTCAACTGTCTTTAGATGGCTTAGGATGAAGTAAGTCAAGTTAACATAACTAAAGTAAGATAAATTAAGGAAATTTTGACTGTAAAAAACTGAAAATTTATGCGAAGTAACATAATGACTGCCAGAAACATTTTTTTTTAAATACAAACTAGGCTATTTTAATAATCGTTGGCTTGGTCCACTTTTCACTGACTGCCCAGAGCCACTTGGCAGTTTGTGTATCCGTGGCCGCAGGTGCCATTTCCTTAAGCTTGCAGTCACTGAAGTATTGACCTGTCACCTTTTCCAGTTCAGGATCCAGAGCCACATATAAAGTGGTCTGGGCACCATTCTTGGGAGTCTTTACAAAAGGCCAAAACAAGGGCTTGACAAATAGACTAAAAAAAAAATATAATCATTAATCAATATGTTTTGAAGGCATTCACCTTTTACCAACCCTGCAAAGAAATTATTGAATAGGCCCATGTGCCTGATTATTTCTGTGTCCACCACACCCGGATGCAGAGCATTTGCTGTTACTTTAGTACCCTCCAATCTTTTGGCCAATTCCCTTGTAAAGAGAACATTGGCCAATTTACTCTGACTGTAGGCTTTGCCTTCGTCATAGGATTTATCGCTATTCAAATCGCCTGTGTTAATTTCTCCACGGGTGTGCGCCAAACTGGACACATTTACAATTCGACTAGGCGAAGATTTCTAAAGAAAAAAGGATGATTGTAGGTTTCATATGTTGAAAGGCTTCTGTGCACCTTTAGAAGATCCAATAGCAAATTGGTGAGCAGGAAATGACCCATGTGATTAACTCCTAGCTGCAGTTCGATGCCATCAGAGGTAAGAGATCTTGGACAGCGCATGACACCGGCGTTATTGATCAGTACGTGCAGGTGGTCCTGTTCCCGTTTGAAGCTGAGGGTATTCATTTTAGAATATATTCATGTCGTTAGAGCTCACGACCTACGCGGCAACAAAGTGTCGGATGGATTCCTGGGAAGCCAGATCACATTGGCGGCAGTACACATATTTGTTCTTTGTTTCCAAAACTATTTCCTCGCGCGCCTGTGATAAGAAACTTGTATGACATGTTTAAGGTAAAACTGTATACAGAGAGCATACCTCCTCACATTTTTTTAGGTTCCTGCATGCCATATAGACGGTACCTCCACGTTTTGCTATCTCCCTAACCGTTTCCTTGCCAATTCCGGTGTTTGCCCCTGTCACAATGACCACTTTGCCGGTTTCATCAGTTTCTTTGGTGAATTTCCCGCCTTGCATAAGGTCCCTGGAAGACGAAATGTGGTTAAAAATAGTGACTTCTGTGAGGGAAACGGAGGACCAACTTGACGAAGAAGGCCAGACCCGTTGCGGAAGTGGAAAGGCTCAGCCAGAACACGGTGCGGCTCTTCAAAAATGCAAGAATCGACATTTTACTTAATCAAAATATAAAAATTGCTTGGTAACCGAAAACAAATTCGGATCTGAGTGACCGTATTTGCATGTGATGTGCCGATTATTGCAGTCGTCTGGTGGCGGATTATTGCAAATACGGTCACTCAAATCCGAATTTGTACTACAAATCGCATCTTTAATTGTTAATAACAAAAAAAAACGGTGCACTCTCCGCCAACGGATTTCGAAGTTTTAGAAAAAAACACATCGTTTCCATATTTTACTTTATTTTTTTAAGCTGTATTTACCGTGCACCGCACTTGTAAACATTTATCGCTTTGGTATTTTTGTGGTCACACCTTTTCTAAATACCGAAAGTACCCACTAAAATCGCAAACGCCTTTTCTTCGGTCGTTCCAATATAAATTCTCAATTAAAAATAAAAAAAAAGAACACACGCAGCCAGAGAGCTATAATGAATTTAAGCCCCAAACCAAATCAGCAGAGTCCACATGTAGAGCATCAAAACCGCACCACAGACTGCGATCAGGGTCTCAAGGTGAGGGGGTGGGCAAGTGAACCGCTCCAGGCGAACCGAACTGTCCCTTTCTTTGGCATTGTTTGGGACTCTATTACATGACTTTCGATTTTCTTCTGGACAGCTGACAAACGGTCATGTCATGACAGACCCAAGAAGCAGTCGGTGCCATGATACGCTCTTCACCGGATCGCTCAACTCGTTGGCCAGGAGGGAAGACGGGGACGGGGACGAAGATGAAGCAACGGGTTCGGGCACAGGACTCGTGGGTCTGCAAAATCTGGCCAACACATGCTACATGAACTCCGCGCTGCAAGCACTGAGCAACCTGCCGCCGATGACGCACTACTTTATCAACTGCAGCGATCTCGTGGAGTACATTTCGGAGCAGAGCGCCCGTCGCTGCAAGCCCGCCGGTCTGGCCAAGAGCTATCGCCGCCTTATGCAGGACATTTGGCAGGATGTCGATGATCCCAAAGGTTCAGCCCCACTCATCTTTACCGGAAAAATTACTAAACCTTGAGATTTTGCAGAGTTTATTGCCCCGCGCGGCATTTTGTACGGCATTCGCTCGGTGCATCCCATGTTTCGAGGTTACCAGCAGCACGACACCCAGGAATTCCTGCGTTGCTTCATGGACCAGCTACACGAGGAGCTCACTGAGCAGGTTTCCCTGCAGCCACAGATTCAAAACCAAGCGCACCCGCAATCCCAACCACACCAGCAGCAACCACCCAGCGAAACGGACGACGACAACGAGGATGAGGTCGCGCCTGCGTCCTTGACGCCTGCTGCCTCCGAGAGTGAATACGACACCTGTGAGAGCAGCATGTCGGAGCGGTCGGCAGAGGTTCTCCTGAAGACCGAGTACTTTGTTACGCCCTGCCGAAAGAATAGTTCAAACAGCACCCTGCCAGAAGCTCATCCAGTGCACCTGCAACCGCCCCCTCTGCAGCACCAACAGATGAATAGTTCCACCACCGAACAGAAGCCCGTTGAGGCGGCTCGCTCCATTATAAGCGACGTCTTCGACGGCAAGCTTCTGTCCTCCGTGCAGTGTTTAACCTGCGATCGCGTTTCAACGCGCGAGGAAACATTCCAGGACCTCTCGCTGCCCATTCCTAACCGCGATTTTCTTAACGTTCTTCACCAGACACATAGCTTAAGCGTCCAGAGCCTAAATGCCGCAGAAACGTCCGCAAGGAGCAACGAAGGATGGCTGGCGTGGATGTGGAACATGCTGCGCTCCTGGATCTACGGACCCTCGGTGACGCTCTACGACTGCATGGCCAGTTTCTTCAGCGCCGACGAGCTCAAGGGCGATAATATGTATAGGTAAGCCTGCGGATTTAATTTTAAAGGTCTAAAATGTGTAGCATTTTTTTTTCAGTTGCGAGCGTTGCAACAAACTGCGCACGGGTATAAAGTACTCCCGAGTCCTCACCCTGCCCGAGGTATTGTGCATCCACCTGAAACGCTTTCGACACGATCTGTCCTACAGCTCGAAAATTTCGTCGGACGTTTTCTTTCCGCTGGAGGGCTTCGACATGCGCCCGTACATTCACAAGGACTGCAAGAGCCTGGTGCCTATTTACAACCTTTCGTCCGTGATTTGTCACCATGGAGGAGTCGGTGGTGGCCATTATACCTGTTATGCTCGGAATGCGCTGAACGGAAAGTGGTACGAGTTCGATGACCAGCACGTGGGGGAAGTGCCTGCGGAGGTGGTGCAGACGTGCCAGGCGTATGTGCTCTTCTACCAAAAGCACAATCCGCAGATGAAGCTAGTGCGTGAACAGGCTATGACTTTGTCAACCACCCATCCGCTGTGCGATTCCGACATCCAGTTCTACGTAACGCGAGAATGGCTCTCCAGACTGGCCACCTTTTCCGAACCAGGTCCGATTAACAACCAGGAGATGCTCTGCCCCCACGGAGGGATTCTACATTCCAAGACGGAGATGATCAGCCAGATTGCGGTGCCCATCTCTCAACCCTTGTGGGACTATCTCTATCGTACCTTTGGCGGCGGGCCAGCAGTGAACATAATCTTTGAGTGCGAGATTTGTAAGAGGGCGGCGGAGACCCTGTCGCGTCGCCAGCAGTACGAGCTTAATGAGTTTACGAAGTACAACGGGCTGCAGAACGAATTCGATTCGACGGCCATCTATGCCATTGCAATGCCTTGGCTTCGCTCCTGGCAGCAGTTTTCGCGAGGAAAGACCCCAAAGGAACCCGGACCGATTTCCAACGAAGGAATCGCTGCTCCCACCGAAAATGGCTCTCTAAATGGAACGACAACTGTGAGCTGCGTGCGTTTGGGTTCCGATTATGCGCAGCTGAATGCTCGACTGTGGCGATTCCTGCATAATATATACGGCGGTGGGCCAGAAATTATGCTGCGTCAGGCACTTTCGGATGACGACGATGCCGAGGAGATAGAAATCATCGATCAGGACGATGAGTGCGACGACGATGACGAGGATCAGGAGGAAGACGAAGACGAGGAGGTTGCGACCACCAATTACCAGCACAATCATTCCGACACCGAAAGCAATTTAGGCCGACGTACAAGTCCGAGTCCAAGTCTCAGTCCCAGTCCAAGTTTGAAGACCAAGCGTCAGCCGGTGGAGGCGGAGTCGGATCTGCGACCAAATAGCCCAAAGTCCAAGCGCAGCAGATCCAAGATGAAGGTCTCCGCCTTGCGTTTGAATATGCGAAAGAGAGGCAAGCGTAATCGCAGTGCCTTTAAACAGCATGCCGAGATGTTTGGAGCCAAAGGTGGGTAATTGTGTGTAGCTATTAGCAATCGGTTTTTAAATCAAAGGTTAGACGTTAACTAACAAATTTATAGAGACTCGAACTTAAGACCTTTTAATGACCGAGCTATAATTGTTTGTTTTTAGGGAACTACAATGCCAACACCAATGCCGATCCCCCAGTTGTCGAGCAGCGGGATAGAGACAAGGATAAGGACAAGGACCGAACTGTTGCATTTCAGAGCGACTACAGCTTACCCATATCGATACCATTCCAAAGCGACAATTTCCAGGTGAACGGTGTGCAGGAAAAGTCTCGCGACAAGGGCAAACTGCGAAGTGGGTCCAGGAGCAGCGGCAACGCCACCACTAAGGAGAACGTCACGCTGCAGAAGTTCGTGACCCTGCGCGAGGCCAATGGGCCAAGCGAAGAGACTGATATTTGATCGACGGCGCCGGTGGAACGGGGAGAGTTAGAAAAAAAAGGATTGGGAACCAGTGCCCCTGGCCAGAATCACAGAATGTCACCGCCGAAATGCAGGCCTAAATCAAAGTTTAGGCGTAAGCGAAAGCGTTAGTAGTTTTATACCTCAGTGTATTGTTGGGGTGGAGGCTATATAAAGTATGTAAAAATTGTATTTATAAATTAATCGTATCGCTGTTCCCCATCCGGCGCCATACCAGTTATGTTATCCCAGCTCCTGGCCAGGGGTCGTTTTGTATATAGTGTGTGGGAGTGCTTTAAATCGGTGTAACAATAGAAAATAAATCGTAGAAATCTTGGTCAAGCTAAGGGCTGAGCGAATCTAGGCTTTCAGCGTGGGCCAGATAAACACAAAAAAAAAAAAAAAATCTTTTGTTTTACTTCAATTTACGGTTAGGGTGGCCCGCCACCGCACCGCATTGGTCCACTCGAGAGCGGCGTATTCGAGCTATTTATAGAGGACAGAGCACAGTAGCAGAAGCAGCAGCAGCAGATGTGTGTATTGCTCTTCAGCTGGCCCAGTTTATAGAGATTCAGTGAGGCGTGCGGAGGTGGATGCACATCTAGCGGCTGTGTGAGAGTTCGGCTGAGGTTCTCTGGCTGAAAAACCATCTCTTTGCATAGTACAATTGCCCAGCCACCATGAATCCCTGCCATGTGTGCGAGGAGCCGACGAAGAACAAGTGCTCCAACTGTAACCAGGTGTCCTACTGCACTGTCCAGCACCAGAAGCAGGATTGGAAAACGCACAAGCCCAGCTGCCATCCATTCAAGGTGGGCCTCATTTCTGATGCCATCGAAAAAGACGGCCCTACATAACCTCAACCCCCTTGCAGATCGCCCACAATGAGCAGCTAGGCCGGCATCTGGTGGCCACGCGCACCATCAAGCCCTATGAGATAATCCTCAGGGAAGCCCCTCTGGTGCGTGGCCCCGCCCAGATCTCCGCCCCCGTCTGCCTGGGCTGTCTGAACGGCATCGAGGCGGAGGATCACATCGAGTGCCAGCAGTGCGGTTGGCCACTGTGCGGACCGGAGTGCAAGTCCTTGGACGAGCACAAGGCCGAGTGTCGTCTCACCAAGGACCGGGGCCAGAAGGCCAACGTGCAGGAGTTCAACGGGCCCCATCCCCTCTACACGTGCCTGAGCACCGTGCGATGTCTGCTGATTGGGGAAACCAGTGCGGAGAAGGCGAGTAAGTTCCAGGAGCTGGAGTCACTCGAGTCCACCAGAAGGGGCTCCAATCAATGGAAGGCGGATTTGGCCAGCATCGGACAGTTTATTCCCAAGTAGGTACTTAGTAGGTCTACATAATCATAATGTTATAGTAACTACTAGTGTAGGCATTCATCTCAATAGAAAGAAAACTTTCATCACCCATATTTTTCCACATATAAATTTGATTTCACAAATTCACGCTTACCGAGTGAAAGGAAAAGATCGAATAAGTAAAAGTAAACACTCTTATCTTATCTGCCCTTTATGCGAGTCTATCTACCGTAACTTTGGTGTTATTATCTAAGGTCATAAATAATTATCAATAGGTCCCTATCAAAATAGTAATATAAAGTCATAAAATTATATGTAACCCCCCTCAATTATGATTTTATATTATTATTTATTTTGTTTGATAAACTAAATTATACTTATCTGTATACCCTTTTAGGTTCTTCAAAACCCAAAAGTTCAGCGAGGAGGAGATCATGAGAACCGTGGGTGCTCTGCAGATTAACGGACACGAGGTGCCAACTACTGATCCACCTCATGTGGCTGTCTTCTACACGGCCTCCTTCACGGAGAACTCCTGTCTGCCCAATCTGGCCAAGAGTTTCAACAAGAATGGCCATTGCATCTTGTGGGCACCGCGTGAGATCAAGAAGAACGCCCACTTGAGCATCTGCTACTCGGATGCCGTTTGGGGCACCGCCGATCGTCAGAGACACCTGATGCAGACCAAGTTGTTCAAGTGCGCCTGCGAGAGATGTGTGGATGTCACTGAGTTGGGCACAGATTACAGCGCCATAAAATGCGAGGATCGCCAATGCGGAGGACTGATGCTGCCCAGCAAAGCTGATGACTGGAACGGTAGTTGGCGGTGGGTATTTCTAAGCTATTTCCATGGTTCCAAGCTTAACTGATTTCTTGATCCTCTCCAGCTGCCGTGAATGCCACAAACAAGTCCAGAAGCACTACGTCGAAAGGATCTTGGAACGGGCTGGCAAGGATATCCAGAGCATGGAGAAGAACGTTGAAAATGGCTTAAAGTAAGTCAAATATAATTTGTCAACCATCATGAAATCGGAATTCTATAACTCTAGTGACTATACCTTACTTAAACATTTTTCTTTTACTTTATAGATACCTAAAACACTACGAGAAGTGGCTGCCTCCTCAACATTTTCACATGAGTGAGATCAAAATCCTGCTCGTCCAGCTCCTGGCCAAGGATCAAAAGGAGCTGATGGTTATTTCAGACGACAAGCTGCTGCTGAAGCTACAATACGCCCGCGAACTCGTTGAGTTGTACGAAAAGCTTACGCCGTGTAAGTGTTATTGTTGATAATTACGTATACGCAGCGTTATCTCAAGTGGTTGATTGGTGTTTTTCGTATTTACTCAACAGGCGAAGTTCGCACGCTTGGCACGCTTTGCTTCGAGTTGCACTCGGCAATTGCCGAGCAGACCCGTCGTGTTGCTCTGGAAACGAGCCTGTCGCCCAAGGATCGGCTCGAGGAGTCCTTGTTCTATGTGGAAAAGTGTGTCAACTATTTGCAGTACGAGTCGGACATATTCATTGAAGGTCACATGCTGAAGCAGGCCAAGATTAACCGCGACGCCCTGCGAATGGTCACGAGGATCTCCTAAAAAGCTAATGCAATCAAATAAGTTCCCACCAAAAAGCCTTTTATCGAAATAACCAATAAATTGTCATTACTTGATCCCATAAATTGTAGTTCATTGGTGCTAACCCACCGTGAAATTGGCCAGTCATGTCATCACTCATGGGTCCAACGTCATTAATGGCTGCTCCATTGTATTGTATATGTGAATTTTGGATTGTGAGTAAGCTACGCTGACAGTCTAGCGATAAGGATAAGATATTTTGATTAGTATGTGTTAGCCGTGACATTATAAATTTGTTTAATTCTCTAACAGGTGGTCGTTATAAAATTCTTTACTTTTCTTACCCATTCAAATAATCTTCATTCATTGGAAATCCATAAGCAATAACTCATTAAAAGCCGGTGCAATCTTATATCTAACTGAGTAACTTATCATTATCCAGGCTGCCTGATAATGATGACTTTTCTTTATCTAAAGACCCTTATTGTGGGAAACTTTCTTTACTTATCTGTGCCAAAACATTCTGCTCATTTATAACCATTTGAAATTAGATGTTGGGTTTCCCTAAGGCAAGCGAAAAGTTATTGGATTCTAGTTTGATAGTATAGTATTTATTTTTATATTGTAAATTTTGTATTTAATGGCTAAAACACTGACCTAGGGTTATACAATTATCTGAACAAAAAAGTCTCTGAAGACCCCCCACAGGTGAATCACTTTATTTAGTTTTTATCGCCAATTTTAATCATTTTGGGTTCACGTGCAGCCATTAAATTCCATTGGACCACGAATTTCACAAGCAGACCTAAACTCACCGTTAGTCTTAAGAATTTTATACATGTTCAATATATTGATAAACACACATTATCAGTTGATAAGGCCTCACTTTGGTTCCGCAGGCATTCAAATATAAAGCGATACCTGCTGCCACATTCTAATAGTCTGATTTAGTCTGTACTGCCTTCAGGTCCTCTAGCCCATGTGATACCAACAGTCCAAACGAATTGCCAAATACAAAGTGTTAGCCTTCGAATTGTATATATACAATGACCGTTAAAAACGGGGACGTCGTCAAGGACGATGGGAATTCGCGATCGCAGTACAAAACAAATATCGTCCTGAGCACCAAATTAGAGGATTCCGAACGAGATCGGAAGAGCTTGTGAGTTTTAAGTGATTTAATTTACAGAAAAATCCTTTAAGGATATACAACGGAAGATTTTGTGAATATAATTGTGGGAAAAGTGGTTTTTGTGATTTTAGTGAGGAATTAAGCTTAAGAAATCTTTTAGCGATCATTTAATAATAACTAATTATTCTTGTTCAGTCTAATCTCTTGATAAAGGATTAGAATCTATACTGTGACTAATTGGCATGTTTTCGTAGAGTGCTCAATTAAATTTGTATAACAAATTCCATTGAAGTTTTTCACCTATGACAAAATTGCTCTTCAATGATGACAATGCTAATTTTTTCGTATACAATGGTTGGGTGTCATGTGTACTTTAATTCGTCTATACCCTTTATAAAATTGGGTTAACTAATTTAGTAAAAGTCAACAGAGTAAAAGTAAAAAAAAAATAAATTGAGATCTTTAAAAGGATTTTTTTGGCCACATAACTTTACAGATTTAAGAAAAGGTTTTATTCATTAAAAAGATTGCTCCATTACAAAAATTTTATTTAAATGGAAACCCACAACTAAAATATTGGAAGTAAACTTTAAAACAGTGAAGCTATAATATTATTTTTAAACTATGGCTTTAAATGGCCAAATTACACGCTTAACTAAATCTTGCAATAATCAGTTATTAAGTGTGCCAGGAAGTCGTTTAAATTTTTTTGCGAGCTATGACTTTATCTTTCATTGATTGCTAATGCAATAAATGTCCACCAAATAAAAGAGAGCCAACGCACAAGGTAGTCTGTATAAACGACTCTCTCATATTATAGATATAGATAGTGAATTCGTCGGGAAAAACGAAGCGTGGCCGTAATGCCATTGGCTGTTTGGAACCACTTCCCTTGGCGGGTGTCATGGGCAGATAAGGATTGGACAACGGGTTCAGGGCTATGGCGTCAATATAAACAACTTACTGATAACCATCGGTGATTGGTGTATGCGCGACACCCTTTATTATTATTGCAGTGAGCCCAACAAATCGAAAAAGAAGTCAAAGCATGACGAGGCAGGTGAAAGCGATGAGGAGGAGGAGTTCCAGTACAAGGAGGAAGTAAAGCAGGTCGGCTACTTCCAGATGTTCCGGTATGCCACCACCCAGGATCGCATGCTTTATGTGATTGGAATACTGTCTGCCGTGGCCACTGGTCTTACCACACCCGCCAACAGTTTGATCTTCGGCAATCTGGCTAATGTGAGTTGCATTTGCATGTTTGGCAACATAATTCTTAACTTTAAACCCTCTTAATACTTAGGACATGATCGATTTGGGCGGCTTGGCAGCGGGAGGGAAATCCTATCGAGCCACTGATGATGCTAGTACTATGCTGCTGGACAAAGTGCGACAGTTCTCTCTGCAGAACACCTATATCGGCATCGTTATGCTGGTGTGTTCCTATCTCTCGATCACCTGCTTCAACTACGCCGCCCACTCCCAAATCCTGACCATCCGCTCGAAGTTCTTTCGCTCCATTCTTCATCAGGACATGAAGTGGTACGACTTTAACCAGAGTGGTGAAGTGGCTAGCCGAATGAATGAGTAAGTAATTTGAGTTTCCTATCAATCTCATACTTAATCACGGACTATCATAATTGCCTATCGATTCCGGCTAGCTTTCATATCAACAAGTTTCTTGCCTTTATCTTATCACTTTGTTGAGTAAGAGACATCCACATGATTTTGGAATTCCCTATGAGCTCTCATAAAAATAAAATAGTCCAAAATCTAATTCAATACTAAGATATCATTATCTTACCAAACCGCTAAACTGTGTTTACCTTTTTCAGAGATCTCTCTAAGATGGAGGATGGACTGGCTGAGAAAGTGGTGATGTTTATTCATTACCTGGTTTCCTTCGTGGGATCTTTGGTCCTTGCTTTTGTCAAGGGCTGGCAATTGTCGCTGGTCTGCTTGACCAGTCTGCCGCTGACCTTTATCGCCATGGGTCTGGTATCTGTGGCCACATCCCGTTTGGCCAAAAAGGAGGTCTCCATGTACGCCGGAGCCGCCGTGGTAGCAGAAGGAGCTCTGTCCGGGATTCGCACAGTGAAAGCCTTCGAGGGCGAAGAAAAAGAGGCTGCTGCCTACAAGAAAAGCGTGGTGGCTGCCAAGCTCTTAAACATCAAGAGGAACATGTTCTCCGGAATCGGATTCGGGTTGCTTTGGTTCTTTATCTACGCCTCCTATGCTCTGGCCTTCTGGTATGGAGTGGGCCTAGTACTGAAGGGATACAACGACCCCGCATATGAGAACTACGATCCCGGTACCATGATCACCGTGTTCTTCTCGGTGATGATGGGTTCCATGAATATTGGCATGGCCGCTCCTTATATCGAGGCCTTTGGCATCGCAAAGGGCGCCAGTGCCAAGGTATTCCACATCATTGAGCAGATTCCCACCATAAATCCCATTGATGCTGGGGGTAAAAAGTTGAACGAACCACTTACCACCATTGAGTTTAAGGATGTGGAGTTCCAGTATCCCACTCGACCAGAGATTCCCATTCTGAACCGATTGAACCTGAAGATCCATCGTGGCCAAACAGTGGCTTTGGTCGGACCCTCCGGTTGTGGCAAGTCCACCTGCATCCAACTGATCCAGCGTTTCTACGATCCGCAGGCTGGCGATCTCTACTTCAATGGTTCCAATATCAAGGACATCGACATCAACTGGCTGCGCTCTAGGATCGGAGTGGTGGGTCAGGAGCCCGTACTCTTTGGCACGTCCATCTATGAAAACATTCGGTACGGAAGGGAGGATGCCACCCGGGAGGAGATCGAGGCAGCTGCTGCCGCTGCCAATGCTGCTGTATTCATCAAGAAACTTCCCAAAGGTTATGACACTCTGGTGGGAGAGAGAGGAGCTCAGCTGTCCGGTGGTCAGAAGCAGAGGATAGCCATAGCTCGTGCCCTGATTCGTGATCCCGAGATCTTGTTGTTGGACGAGGCCACCTCTGCTCTGGACACCGCCAGTGAGGCCAAGGTGCAAGCTGCTCTGGAGAAAGTAAGTGCTGGAAGAACGACCATCGTTGTGGCCCATCGATTGTCCACTGTGCGAAGGGCTGACAGGATTGTGGTGATAAACCAGGGTGAAGTGGTGGAGAGTGGAACCCACCAAGAATTGATGGGCCTGAAGGATCACTACTACAACCTGGTCACCACCCAACTGGGCGACGATGATGGCTCAGTTTTGAGTCCCACTGGCGACATCTACAAGAACTTTGACATTAAGGACGAGGACGAGGAGGAGATCAAGGTACTCTCAGAGGATGAGGACGAAGAAGAGGAGGTGTCCGACAAGAAGGACAAGAAAAAGAAGAAGAAGGTCAAGGACCCCAACGAAGTGAAACCCATGACGGAGGTGATGAAGATGAGCAAGCCGGAGTATCTGCAGATCACAGTGGGCTGTATCTCCTCCGTGATCATGGGCTGTGCCATGCCCATCTTTGCTGTGCTCTTCGGCAGCATCCTGCAGGTGCTCTCGGTCAAGGACAACGATGAATACGTGCGCGAGAACTCGAACCAGTACAGTTTGTACTTCCTGATTGCCGGAATCGTGGTGGGCATTGCCACCTTCTTCCAGATCTACTTCTTCGGAATCGCCGGCGAGAGGCTTACGGAACGCCTCCGAGGACTCATGTTTGAAGCTATGTTGCGCCAGGAAGTTGCCTGGTTCGATGATAAGGCCAATGGAACCGGAAGTCTTTGCGCTCGACTTTCCGGAGATGCTGCTGCAGTTCAGGGTGTAAGTAGTTAAATTTAAATAACTTACTTTGCCAACCTTTTATAACTTATTTAATAATCTTTAGGCCACTGGACAACGAATTGGAACCATCATCCAATCGATTTCTACTCTTGCCCTGGGTATTGGCCTATCCATGTACTACGAATGGAGTCTGGGATTGGTGGCTCTAGCTTTCACTCCTTTCATTCTGATTGCCTTCTACATGCAGCGCACCCTAATGGCAAAGGAGAACATGGGATCCGCCAAGACCATGGAGAACTCTACCAAGTTGGCCGTGGAAGTGGTTTCCAATATTCGTACTGTCGTTTCTTTGGGTCGCGAAGAAATGTTCCACCAGACCTACATTGGCATGCTGATTCCAGCTGTGGAGGTATGTACCTTAAAGGCGGATATATAGTAAGCATTTAAAGATTTAAATCCTAACTAATGCATTTTCATGTTCCTAATTTCAGATTTCCAAGAGGAACACTCACTTCCGCGGATTGGTTTACGGTCTTGCCCGATCCCTGATGTTCTTCGCTTATGCCGCCTGTATGTATTATGGAACCTGGTGTGTGATCAACCGTGGAATAGAGTTTGGAGATGTGTTCAAGTGAGTGAAGAGATTTGCACAGTCAATCAAGAAGGGTTTCCTAACACCTGCTTTTCTTTTTAGGGTATCCCAAGCACTGATCATGGGCACAGCTTCCATTGCCAACGCCTTGGCTTTTGCTCCGAATATGCAGAAGGGTGTTTCGGCAGCCAAGACCATCTTTACGTTCCTGCGTCGTCAGCCAATGATTGTGGACCGACCGGGAGTGTCTCGTGATCCGTGGCACTGTGAAGGAAGTGTTGGCTACGACAAGGTGGAGTTTAGTTACCCCACGCGTCGCGAGGTTCAGGTGCTCAAGGGTTTGAATCTCAGGGTGGGCAAGGGTCAGAAGGTCGCCCTGGTGGGTCCTTCAGGTTGTGGAAAGTCCACGTGCATCCAGCTCATACAGAGATTCTACGACGTGGATGAGGGTGCTACTCTGATAGATAACCACGATGTGCGAGACGTTTCCATGACAAATCTGCGCAACCAGTTGGGAATCGTCTCCCAGGAGCCGATCCTCTTCGATCGCACAATCCGGGAAAACGTAGCCTACGGTGATAACTCGAGGAGTGTCACAGACCAGGAGATTATCTCCGCCTGCAAAAAGTCAAATATACACGATTTCATTTCTAACCTTCCATTGGTAAGTTATCTAATATGGATTCTTATTTGGATTTATAATAAAATGTTGTTTCTTTGTAGGGTTACGACACGCGAATGGGTGAGAAGGGTGCCCAGTTGTCCGGAGGACAGAAGCAGCGCATCGCCATTGCAAGAGCTCTCATCAGGAACCCCAAGATCATGCTGCTCGACGAGGCCACCTCAGCCTTGGACGCTGAAAGTGAAAAGGTGGGTGTAAAAATCTCTACAATTCATTAAACCCTTATTCAACAACATAAACTACTAACAGGTTGTCCAAGATGCACTTGATGCCGCCTCTGAGGGTCGTACTACGATCAGTATAGCCCATCGACTGTCCACAGTTGTCCACTCGGACGTGATCTTTGTGTTTGAGAACGGAGTGGTCTGTGAAACAGGAGACCACAAGCAACTGCTCGCGAATCGAGGACTCTATTACACACTCTACAAACTGCAGAGTGGAGCCATGTAGATATCCACATCACCTAGCTAAGTGAACTGCGAACAACGACACTGTCTAGTATTTGTACAAAAAGTCAATAGTTAAGTTAGGCTAAGATTATTTATCACCGCTCATTACTGAATATCTCCGGGAATTTATAAATGAATTTTAAATGACACTACACTTCAATATTGTAGGAAATATATAGATATTTTTGTATGTAAATGTTTGTTTTTGTTTTATTTTAAGTTTACATCGATTTGTTTAAATTTAATTGCATATTACCCAGTCGAATTGGTTGTCCACTGGAAACCAACATACAATTTAGCTTAAAGTAGGACCTCCAAATGATCATATGTTCAGTTGTCCGCGTCTCGAACGCCGTGGCCGCCTTGCGATGAGTTTTTGTGCTGTGCTCGTTATTGTACAACTACAACTAGTTTAGAATATACGTAAAAATAATCAAAATCTTACAGGAACACAACACAACAGAGACCACGCGATCCAGATAAGGGGCGAATATCGTTCGATTGCATAACAAACAATTAAAACTTTATGCACTCAATCGTTTCGACTCCTTGGCGGCTTGGTCTACGTCTTTCTGCTTGGAAGTCACATCGTCTGATTTGACCTGATCGCATCGGATAGATTTTACTACACATTTTTTGGGTAAATGCTTGTGGCTTTGTGTGATTCATGATTCAGAAAAGGAATATGAAGTGTTTTGTGTTTAACGTAGAACTTAATCGAAATCCAGAAGCGGTTATTATTAAATAGGGGAACAACAACTATGACTATGGTTGCCTAATTTAGTTCTTCTCTTCCTTCTTGGCCTCGCCAGAAGTATCGCTCGAACTGCTGCTGTCGGAAGAGCCGGATCCGGCGTTGCTCTCGCGCTCAGCGGACATCTAAAAGAAAGAAAGTTTGTCAGTACAGAGTATTACACCAGTAAACGGGCTAAGGACACACCTTCTTGTAGGCCAGCTCGAAGAGCTTCAGGGATGACTGCTGCAGCGAGGAGGTGGCCTTCCTGACTTCCTCGAGGTCGGCGGTTTCCTTGTTGGCCAGCAACGTGCGCAGATCGGCAATCTCCTTCTTCAGCTTCTCGCACTGAAAGAATATTTTGGTATTATTATTTTAAGCGGAGGTCATAGTTTCCTCGTTAATTACCTCCTCGGCGGGCAGCTGGCTCTTGAACTCCTCCATCTTGGTCTCGGTGTCATGAACTATGCTCTCGCCCTGGTTGACGATCTCGATCAGCTCACGTTTCTGCTTGTCGGCGGTGGCGTACTCCTCGGCCTTCTTGATCATGTTCTCGATTTCATCCTTGCTCAGACCACCGCTGGACTGGATTACAATCTGTTGCTCCTTGCCGGTTCCCTTGTCCTTGGCCGAAACGTGCACAATACCGTTGGCATCGATATCGAACACCACTTCAATCTGGGGCACACCGCGGGGTGCCGGGGGAATTCCAACCAGTGTGAAGGAGCCCAGAAGCTTGTTGTCGTTGGCCATCTCACGCTCGCCCTGGTGCACCTTGATCTCCACCTGGGTCTGGCCATCGCTGGCAGTCGAGAAGACCTGCGACTTCTTGGTGGGAATAGTAGTGTTGCGGGAAATCAGACGGGTGAACACTCCGCCCAGGGTCTCAATACCCAGCGACAGAGGGGTGACGTCGAGCAGGAGCACATCAGTGACATCTCCGGCCAACACACCACCCTGGACGGCGGCACCAACGGCCACAGCCTCATCGGGGTTCACAGAGCGCGAGGGCTGGCGTCCGAACAGCTCCTGCACGGTGGACTGCACCTTGGGCATACGGGTCATACCGCCAACCAGCAGCACCTCTCCGATCTCCGACTTGGAGACCTCGGCATCAGACAAAGCCTTCTGGCAGGGCTGGATGGTACGCTTGATCAGATCGCCCACCAGGCTCTCCAGCTTGGCGCGGGTCAGCTTGAGGTTCATGTGCTGGGGTCCGGCGGCATCCATGGTCAGATAGGGAAGATTGATGTCGGTCTGCTGGGAGGAGGACAATTCACACTTGGCCTTCTCGGCCGCCTCCTTCAGGCGCTGCATGGCAATGTTGTCTTTGCGGATGTCGATGCCGCTGTCCTTCTTGAACTCGGCCACCAGGAAGTTGACAATATGATTGTCGAAGTCCTCACCACCCAGAAGGGTGTCACCGTTGGTCGACTTGACCTCGAACACGCCCTTCTGGATCTCCAGGATCGAGATATCGAAGGTGCCACCACCCAAATCATAAACGGCAATGCTGCAAGGATATTAATTGGTTTAAGATAAATGTCATGGTCCGAAATAAAGCTTTTTGATTTTTTTTGTTTATGTCTTTCCTCTATTAATTAAATTAAAAACAAAGATTCTAACAAAGACTACCAAAATACATTGAAAACAATGATAAGGATAATAATAATCTGAAAGTAGCTGATTAATACTCACATTTTGTCCTCCGTCTTGTCCATTCCATAGGCCAGAGCGGCAGCAGTGGGCTCGTTAATAACACGCAGCACATTGAGTCCAGCGATCTGTCCGGCATCCTTGGTGGCCTGTCGCTGGGAGTCGTTGAAGTAGGCAGGCACTGTGACTACGGCGTTCTTCACGGGAGTGTTCAGGTAAGCCTCGGCGGTCTCCTTCATCTTAATCAGGATGAAGGCACCAATCTGCGAGGGAGAGTACACTTTTCCATCGGTGGACGAGACCCAGGCATCGCCATTAGAGGCCTTGACGACCTTGTAGGACAAGTTGGTGATATCCTTCTTCACCTCGGGGTCATCGAAACGACGGCCGATCAGACGCTTGGTGGCGTAGAAGGTGTTGGCCGAGTTGGTCACAGCCTGGCGCTTAGCGGGCATGCCCACCAATCGCTCGCCATCCTTGGTGAAGGCGACGTGGGAGGGTGTGGTACGGGCTCCCTCGGCGTTTTCGATAACCTTGGCCTGCTTGCCCTCCATAACGGCCAAACAGGAGTTGGTGGTACCCAGATCGATGCCAATAACAGCACCTTTGACCTCGCCGGACCTGCAAAAGGGGGAGGGGCATTTGTTATACACAGAATAAAGTGGGCTGATAAGGCCGCCGGCAACAAGTGCAGATAAGGGCCACGTTTCTAACTCTAGATATTTCCAAATATCATAGCTTATTTCTTAAAAGAAGTATCCTGTGTTATGATGCAACCTTAAGGTGGTTTCTGGAAATTCTTATGTTTGCCAAGTGCTTACATAAGTGTGGTCTGGTATTTGGAGAAATCTATAAAATAATATCTATTTTACTTACTTGTAACGCAGTTGGGAAGCCAATCCATTGCTAGCACCTGGCAGGTTCTGCAAAAAAAGAAGGGTGCTCCGATGTAGAATCTTCCCGTAAAACATGAACCGCTCGCCGCATGCCGCAATTTATATAATAGTCGAAGGGGGTAGGGGGGTGAAAGTACTTACGCGGAACATGCTAGAAGCTCCCGAAATGTTGGAGGGCACCACGCCGGCCTGGCGGGCGAGACGGGGGAGAAACTTGGGAACGCGCAGCATTTTGTCTTTTCACTTCTGCAATTTCACGTGAGCAATTGTCAAATTAAAAGCAAAACTTTCGTCACAAAACGGCGGAGCACGTTTCTTCCCGTGAGCGGTTTGTAGGTAAGTGATGGGTTCGGTTCTCGCGGACTGTGCGATAGTTGGCCGCGGTACGTGTTCCAGAGTTGCCAACGCGTGTCGTGGTGTTTCTTCAATTTCGATTTCGAGTTCCTAGCGTGTGTATAAATATTTAAACAACTTACTTCGAGCAGAATGTCGTTTTAAAACATTGTGAATGAAAGTTAACTAGATGTGTCATGTTTTTAAGAGCGCGTAAGTCGTTATATTGGCCTATTTTGAACTGATTTTGAAAAATCTATTAAAAAAAACCTGAAGAGTTTAATACCATTACTATTATAATTTGCAAGTTAAGAGAAAATATGAAGTATAATTGGTTAGAACGACACAACAGAAACAATTTGTCATCTCCAACAAGAAACTAAACTTCTAAACTTGCGATAGTTGGTAGGAACTTTTACTTCCATCTCCAATCCACCGCAGTATGACCGTACTCCACAACAAACCCCGATTGAAGCAGACTATCGGCACATTCAACACATGTATAGTCATTGCGTAAAAGTAGCCAACAATTTCAAAATCCCAAATTAACATAGAAAGCCGGTGAGGCCCGTGCGCTGCCCCGTCCCAGCCCCTCTTTGAATCCGAGCAGCTACCGCGGGACCAGTCACCCTCATCCTCACAGACATGGCATCGGATCACGAGGAGTCCGACGCAGAGCTCGACGAGAACTACTATACGTTTCTGAATTTGCCTCGGGATGTAAGTGCAGCGTCACCGGCCGGTAGTAGAAAACCCCTTGAAATAATCCACACCCGATACGCAGGCCACCGCGGAGCAGATCAACACGGCGTACCGAAAACAGAGCCGAATCTTTCATCCGGACAAGCACATGGAGCCGGAGAGCAAGAAGCAGGCCGAGATCATGTTCAACCGCACCAAGAAGGCCTACGAGGTGCTCTCTGATCCCCAGCAACGAGCAATATATGACTCGGTGGGAGAGAAGGGTTTGCGCACCGAGGGATGGGAGATTCTCCATCGGACAAAGACTCCGGAAGAGATCCGGGAGGAGTACGAGCGGCTGGCTCAGGCAGCCGCCGAACGCCGACTGCAGCAGCGGACGAATCCGCGTGGCAACATTACGATCAACGTAAACGCAACGGAGATTTTTGCACCGTACGACGATTCGGAAATGCCACGTGTGGAAATCGGTTCCATGAGCATTGCCCAGTCCATTGAGGCGCCGATAACGCGCAAAGATATGATCATTATGAGTGGTAACTTGTATTCCTCCAATGGTAATGGCAGTGGGGGGCTTCGTGGTCGCAGGACGCCGGCTGCTCAACAAGGGCTGGCTTGAACTGTGCGCCGGAGCAGGAAATGGCTTCCTATTAGGGCTTAAAGGTAAGGTGAACATATCTGGTTTATGAAGAAAACTAAGATTGCTTCTTTAAGGTGGCCGCACGCTTAGCCAAAAGGTGACACTGAATGGGGGCACAAATCTTAATTTCCGAGACCACGGTGTCATACCCGCATTGTTTTCCACTCTGGCCGTGCAGCTGGATAAGCACACGATGGGTAGCCTCACTTTAAACGCCGGTCCACAGTCCTCTATGTCCACGCAGATCGATCACTCGAAGGAAACGTACTCCGTGAGCTCGTCCCTAGTGATCGGCACTCCACACGTGTACTTCGGGCTGTCTTACACCCGTAAGCTGATGGAGAACGAGTTGAAGCTGAAGCTGGCTGCCAAGTAAGAGGAAGCGAAATCTAATCATACATTTTTTTAATATTTTCTTTTACAGGGTGGGAACCTTTGGGTTTATGGGCGAGTATGGAGTGGAGAAGAAGGTTTCCAAATACAGTTCAGTGACGGCCACGGTTTCAGTTGGCGTGCCTTCCGGAGTAATACTCAAATTCAAGTGGGTGAATCTATTTAAACACCTAAAGCCTCTCTTACCAACATTCCCTTACACAGAATACTACGTTCAAATCAATCGTACGTGTTTCCCATCCACCTGGCCGATGAGATTGTGCCTGCGGCCGTTTTTTATGCCTCGGTGACCCCGGTCATTGCGTGGTTCTTCATAAAAAAGACTGTAATGGACCCCATGGAGGCGGAGCGCAAGAGTATTGAGGTAGAGCGAACGAAGCGGCAGAACGAGCAAAGGCTTTCCGCAAAGCGGCAGGAGGCGAGTGCTGCTATCCACCTAATGCAGGCCACCTACCATCGGATTATGACAGAGGAGCTAGCGAGGAAGGGCCTGATTGTCACGCGAGCTGTCTACGGCTGCACGGCGGAAGGGGGCAGTCAGTTTAAGCCAGATCAGTCGCTGGATGTCACTGTGCCTATTCAGTGTATGGTTAAAGACGGAACCCTGCATTTGCACGACTCCTCAAAGGTGGGACTTGACATTGATTTTACTTTTTATGAGACCTTATTTGATTATTTATATCTTACAGAGCGACCTGCCCGGCTTCTATGATCCAAGCATCGGGGAGGAGAAGATTCTGCGCATAGAGTACACCTATGAAAACCAGTTCAAAGTGATCAACGTCAAGGACAATGAGGCTCTTCGACTGCCATTGCCAGGATAGTCAAGCCTCGGTGATCCACGCTGCAATTAGTTTAAATCTTCAGTTGTGTTTGTAACTTGTTTTTATTCTTGATAGAAAAAACCCATTCCCAGGACTTGGGGGCAAATATCGAATCTTCAAATATTTCCCCAGTTTACAATACCACTCTGTAACTCGCTTTTTGTGGGATGCCTATATGATCCGAACAGCGCAATAAACCAATAAAACAAAGAAGTTCGGACTAGAGTACAAAAGTTATTTGAATTATCTTTTATGTAGATAGAGTATTTTTTCAAAAAGAGTTATTCAAACTATGTATTTTTTAAGTTAATTTATTTTATTAAAAATAGAAAAATCTTATGAAAACAATATAAGCTTTGTTGAAATCGAAAACATTCAGAAACTGTCGATAATTATTTGAAATTAAGCGCCATCAGCTATCGATAGTCCCAAAGTGAATTACTTTAGCTATCGGGCAACGCTGACAACCCTGGCTTTGGGGGAGATTCAGCTGACTTTTCTTATTGGACATTTTAACGCTTTTTATTGGGTGGGCGAATGTTTTTCGCTTAAAAATGTCATTTCGCAGCGCCACGGGGTCGAGAAAGGTATGATGCAATCCACAGACCATGTCCCTGTTCACAAAGGCGAATCTCATCCGCTTCCTGGCCGGCGCTATTTGCTTGTTGCTGGTGCTTAACTTTGTGGGCTTCCGCACCGACGGAGCCAGTGGAACGTCCCTCAGCAAACTCAGGTAGCTTATCTTTAAGTGCTTCTTAATCTTGATGTAACCGTCTTTGTTTAAAGCATCCGGCGCGTGCACAAGTATGCTCATATCTACGGGAACGGCAGCAGCGAAGGTGGAGGAGGATCCATACTGCCCGCTGCTCCGCTTGCCTTGTCCAAGGATAGGGAGCAGGATCGGGACCTCCATGGCGGACCTAACTCCACCTCAACCACTGTGATTGCCACGGCAAACTTTACTTCCATTCCACAAGACTTAACGCGCTTCCTGCTGGGGACGCGCAAGCCGCTGCCCCCGGGACAGAAATCCACGTCCGCCCTCCTCGCCAACTGCACTGATCCCGATCCTCGCGATGGTGGACCCATCACGCCCAATATCACCCTCGAATCGCTGGATGTAATCGAAGCCGAGTTGGGTCCCCTCCTGCGCCCTGGTGGCGCCTTCGAGCCGGACAATTGCCAGGCCCAGCACCATGTGGCCATTGTAGTGCCCTTTCGCGATCGATACGCCCATCTTTCCGTCTTCCTGCGCAACATCCACCCATTCCTTATGAAGCAACGCATTGCCTATCGTATATTCATTGTGGAACAGACCAACGGAAAGCCTTTCAATCGGGCTGCCATGATGAACATTGGTTATTTGGAGGCCTTAAAGCTGTACCAGTGGGACTGTTTTATATTCCACGATGTAGATCTTCTGCCTTTGGACGACCGCAATCTCTACAACTGTCCACGTCAGCCACGGCATATGTCGGTGGCTATAGATACGCTGAACTTCAGGTAAGCATTGCCACAAATAGATAAGAGTGTTTAAAATGTATTCGTATTGTCACATTTAGGTTGCCTTATCGATCAATATTTGGAGGCGTTTCTGCGATGACGCGTGAGCACTTCCAGGCCGTTAATGGGTTCTCCAACTCGTTCTTTGGCTGGGGTGGCGAGGATGACGACATGTCCAATCGGTTGAAGCACGCCAACCTATTCATATCAAGGTACCCCGTGAACATAGCACGCTACAAGATGCTTAAGCATCAAAAAGAGAAGGCCAATCCAAAGCGGTCAGTTAACTTATGAAAATCCTTGTGCAAAAACCTAATTTACCTGACCTTTAACAGCTATGAAAACCTCCAAAACGGCATGAGTAAAATAGAACAGGACGGAATCAACTCGATCAAGTATGCCATCTACAGCATTAAGCAGTTCCCGACCTTTACTTGGTATTTAGCTGAGCTAAAGAACTCCGAGCGCAAGAGTTAGCCTGCAAAAAGACAGCGTTACAATACGTGACCTTTCCAACTATCTATATGCGTATGTACAAAGGACAACATTACTTTCACGAACGGTAGAGTCTCTTTTAATAGTATGTCAAATCATGGCAACATGATTAGTATATTAGACACATATTGTGTACTTGGTAGAGAGTCCAGTAACTATACTCATATTACGATATAGTATACTTTTAATCCATCATTTAGCTTCAATTCGTACTTAAAAAACAACAGTAAGAACTCGTCTCTGTAGCAATAATACTCCCGTTCACTACTCAAAGTGCTCAATGATACTTATATATCTTATACACCTATGTTGATTTGTTTTTGTTTTTGTTTTTGCGTTCTTTTTGGTTATTTGTTATTCGACTATTGTACTTTATTAACTTCTCAAAAGACAGCTACACCTACTCCTAAAAGGTGAAATGTAGATATTACTTTTGTGATATGCAAATTGTTATTCGATCAGAACGATTTATACCAAAATAAACTTATAAAAACTTTTACTATACCAAAATTGAAAGCTTCGCCTATGCCCACGCAAATCAATCCATCCAAAAACGCAATCAAACAGTTCATCGCTTCGTTTGTTAGATCTCGTTTTTATTATGGTTACTACGTGTATTAGAGATAGTATTTATGGCTCTGTAACGACTGGGTTACCTTTTAAGTCGCAGTTACGATTATGGTTTATGATTAGTGGGTATTTGGGGGCGCTGGCGAAACGAATAATATTGGGGGAATTGGAGTCCACGGCTCATTTATTAGTGTTTGGTATGCGGTATGCAAATTACAGTTAAAACAATTGGCATCGAGTAATCATTTTGGGTATCCACTGGCAAAATTTAAATGCTTGAGCAACAATTTTGAGCAATCTACCTTGGGGCGAACTACCAAATCCGAAATAAAATTATAACAATCGGGCCATCCGTAGACGCCGCTTTACAAATTATATACATAGACAATAACGTATAGATATATAGACATATAAAATTTGGCAAAACAAATTACGCGTACAACGATTAGAGCAACCAATTGACAAGCAAACCCAATAGAAGTTAGAAGACCTAGTAGAGAGCAATTAAAGACGCGGGGCAGGATATAGCGTTAGACCTATTAACGGCAAATATTAGAAACCTATATACAAGTTACGATACTCCGGCGATGACCGATGACCCGCCTACATGATGGAGCAGGGCATGGCACAGCAGAGGGGCAGGCACAAGGGCACCACGGCGCCACCTGACTTGGTTTTCGTCTTTGACTTAGAGCCGGACTCGTACTCGTACATTCCGGAACCCTTGGCCCAGCGACCCTGGAACATCGGATAAGGTTAATGCTGGATAATGCCACTTCAAGGTTTTAGGTTCTCACCCCTGAAGCAGATCCAGCGTGCATCTCCTCGCGCTTCATGACGATGGTGTCGTGTCCCGGCGGGTAGTACACCTCCTTGCCCGCCTTGTTCACGGATGGCACGTGCTGCTGGTTGGGCGAGGCCACCGCCGTTTCGATTTCGCGCTTGCGCACTGGCGTCTCGATGTCCACGCGATCCACATGGTCAGTGGTCTGAAAAAGCAAACAGAAGATTCAGTAAGCCACAATAAACAGAAGGTGTGATTTGTACACCCTAATTTAAGTCATCAAACAGCAATTAGGGTACAATTAACGCCTTAGAACTTTAATCTCTTGCTAGCGTTTTCGGCAACTAACTTTTATCAATTACTGCTTTTTTAAGTACCGTGATTATGATATCGTAAGCTCTTATCTGCCACTATTTTTACAGGCCCACTTTATCGGTAATTATCTATTTTATTGTTATGATTTGTAAATCACTAATGCCTGTAAATGTACAGATTTAATACAGACTTTGGGCAAATATTTTACAATTTTAGGAGTAAATTACTTTGTATTGAGCTGAGAAACTATCTTTAAAATGTAAGATAATTTCTATTATATACATATACTTACAGTTGCGAAGGTCTGCATCAGATCGTCCACTCGCTGGGGAGGATTGCTGTTCACCGGATACTCGACTCCGTCGACGGGGAACGGAGAGGGCGAGCCGTAGTCCGGACCACGTCGGTTGTTCGTGTTGGTGGTCGAGGAGTACTTGTAGCTGTAAGTGGTCGTGTTCGGTGGGTAGCCATTGCCATTGGCTGGCTGCTGTGGTGGATACGCGTTGCTGGGTGGCAGCTGCTTCAGCGGAGCGGGTTGGGGCAGACCCGGCTCGTAAGGTCCGCCGTTGGGCGGTCCATGGATGCTGTTGACCGTGTTCGAGGTCTCCGTCTCCTTGTAGTAGTAGCGGTTCACTCCCGGCTGCAGCGGCGGACTCTGGGGTCCTGTACCGTAGTTGGGACTGTGCGCCGGACTGTGCGGCGGATAGCGCTGCTGCGGCGGCAGCTCGTTGACTGTGTTCACGTGATCCGTCTTGTGGATGTTGTAGATAACCGTACGGTTGCCCGGCGGGGTACCCGCTGGACCCGATCCCAAAGGCAGCTGGCGAGGCTGCGGACTGACGCCGCGCGTGGTGGTCTCCTTGTGCTCCCGGATCTCGTAGGACTGGTTGCTCACCACCGGGCGATCGTTGGGCCGATTGAGTGTGGAGTAGCTCTCCGTGTTGTAGACCACGGTCTGTGGCACGTGCGACGGCTGCGGCTGTGGGTGCGGAATCGGCGACAACTGCGAGAAGTTCTGGCTGGAGTTGTGGCTCTCGTGGAGCTTGTAGCTGCTGTTCAGCGTGTTCGAGTTGTTCAGCGTGTGCGTGCGGTTAATGGTGCTGGTGTTGCTGCCGGGTCCTGTGGCCGGGATCTCGTACGTGTAGGTCCTCACCGTGGTGGTCACCTTGGTGCCCGGAGCGGGCAGGATGCCATCGCTCAAGGCGATGTCCTGCAGCTCCTTATCGATGGTGGTGCCGCTGGTCAACGTCTGGTGGGTGCTGCTCGTGGCGGGCAGCAGCTCCACGTTGTTGTTAATGGTGCGATTGCTCTCGTAGATCTTCGACTTGCTCTCGTAGTGTCCACCACCGGGGGAGTGGGCTAAATAATGTTTAAATTAAAGGTTAATTAAACCATTTTCTTAATTTAAACTTAAATTTATTGCTGCTTAATTGTTGTTCAATATTTAAATTCTTACCCAGAGTATAGGGCTTATCCTTGGTCTGGTATTCATCCCTCTTCAAGCTCGAATACTTGGCCGTGGACTGCAGGGTGCTGTAATCGGTGGGACTGAAGGTCTCCACATCATCGATAAACGGCTGCTGGCCTCCAGAGCCGGAGCTCTTGGTAGTCTTGACCACTCGCGTAGTCCTCGTTACGGTGCCCGAAGGATCAGTGCGTTCACTAAATGAAAATAACATTAATTATCGTTAGGATGTGATTTAATTACAACATTTAATAGTACTCACAGTGTTCTATAGGTCGTGCCATTGCTGGGGAGCAGATCGCGTTCCCTGTTGGTGATCTGGCGCTCCTGCTTAAGGTCCTCCAGCAGGGCATCCAGTTGATCTATGTTCTGGTCGGGCGATTTGCCCTGATACGAAACATTGTTGTCGCCAGAACTGGAGTATTGGTAGGATGACTTCTTATAGGCGTAGTTCTTGTCGTTCTGTTAAATTAATAGTGACGTATTAGTAAGTTATCACCGTGTAGATCATTGATCAATGTCTCACCCTGCCCCATTTCGAAGGCTTGTCCCGCAACGAGGATGAGTAATTTTCCGAACTGCTCGAGTACTGCATATCCAATTAGTTTTTCGCTGAAACGGAAACCAGTATCATTCATAAATTATTCAAATTCTACGTGTGAGTAAGTTAAGACGACTCGTGGGTGTCTGCGAGACACGTAATCACGGATTGCGACCCCGAATGGCAGGTTGATTCCGCTCCAAGGCGATTCGCAAGAATCCCAAGCATTTTTCCCACCCACGCGACCATTCGAAAATGGCCGCATTCGGCATTCTGAAGTGAGAACTTTTGGCGCATTAATGGAGGCTTAAGTCATCTGAAGTGGGCATCACTTGAGCACACAAAGCAGGGAATGCCAAACAACAGTGAACACCAGCAGGCGGAGGCTGTCATCCGAAGATGAAATGCTCTGGAAAGCGGCACAAGTGGTTCTAAAACGATTAGCTCCACAAAGAAGATACTGTAGCATGTATACATATCGAATGATTCGTAATAGAAAAAACAGATTAAAATTAGAAAAGTTACGGACTTTGTCAATTTTCAGCAAACCCATTTTCTTGCAAATTTGTCATAAAAAATGTCAAAACATCGACCAAAAAATGGAAAATAAACTATTGATGGAGTTTTTAAGATATTTTAATAACATATTCAACTCATAACTCATAAACCAGATTTTAATTAGAAACTTTATGGGCTTAGAAGTACTGGGATCTGGTTACTTTTCTAAAAATCCTGAACAAATCTTTTATCATTTCCCGTAATGTGTAGCCCTCAAAAACTAAAATACCTTTTAGCAGAGGAACCCCAAAAATTGCTGGCATTGATTTTCAGAACTGGCACACACACAAAAACAAGACAAAAGACAAAGGCAAAAAGTCGAAATTTCAATGTCAAACTGGTTTTCACTTTCGGCGTGTCCTTAAACTCCTTTTTTGTCTGGGCCGGAACACAAGGTGCACATACATGCACGAGAATATACACATGTATATAGTTTATTTTTTGTCGATTTTTAGCGATAACCTTGGGGTGAGAGATAGTCTGAGATGATGCAAAAATTCGAGAAGGATGACCGACCGGCGATGATGTCATGAGACGGAGCTTTTGACAGCAACTGCATTAAACGTCAACGCTAACTGGCTTAAGTAATCAAATCAAGGCGAGCTAAATAAATCACCTTTTCGAATGGAAATCGGGGGATGCTACGCCATATGGTCAACGGAATAGAGCTAATAAAGACACAAAACACAAATAATAATGCCTCACGTCAGAGAAATACACACATAAAATAGCATAAAATAAATAAAAGGCCAAATCTAATTGATGTCGCCGACCCCGCCTCCCCACCCACCCACTATATATCTCAGTATCTGCGTATCTCTCGGTTTCCCCGATCTCAGCACGTTTTTAGCCGTTCTCTGGGCCTCACTTTTGGCGACGAAAACAAAAACAAATAAAAAACCCGGAGAGCCGAGCGCGTGTTTTGTTTTTGCATATGTACATTGTACACACGCAGGTCAGAAATGATCTCATATAGTCGGATCGAAGCTCTGGGCAAACATGTTGTCGTCCGTCTGGCGATTTGAATTAACCCGCTCAACCACTACGTGCCATATTTGTAGTAAATATGCTAGTAAAGACTGATCACTTAGACATTTTTATTCGATTTTATGAATGAAATACTTATCGTAAAGTTATATTTTATTGATTATGTTAGTACGTTAATTGCACAGATTATATGAAACGGATGTATTTTATTCCACTTCGTTTTATAAATGCTTTCCGCTTTCTAGTGTGCAAATTGAGGCTAACGTTCACCTTAAATTTAATATTGGCCTACTCTTATAAGGTGCGTGAATTGTTTCTCCATTAGGAAAAACGGAACCTTAATACGTTAAAAAAAAAAAAAATCATTTGAACATAAACTTTTGAAAAAAGATATATAAAAGTGCGAAAAAATGACGAACAGATTTACTTTATTTAAATTTCTAAAAACAAACTAGAAGTTTAATCGTGACAAAAGAAAAACTACTCATTCCAAAATTCCCTTGAAATGCATCAGACAAACAGGATTGTTATGAATCAGAGGACTAAATATGGAAAAACTTTTGAGATTTTCACATGCCTCTCTTAGATCATTTTTGGAAAAAGAAACGGTAATGTAATAAGTTAAGAACCTACAATCAAGTGCATTTCCCGTTGGCGATAATATTTATAAATAGTATTTTTCAAAAAAAAAAAAATAAGATGGAGAAGATGAATTGCGAAGGGTTAAGTCATTGAAGTGGGCGAGGTCTCGAAAGGGGGAAGCCAGATTGCTGATCACAAATCGCCAAATGCCAGATCGCATACGTAGGCAATAGCAAACAAACTCGTAAAATAAACAAATATCGGACTAACAACGAGTTTGAAATGGACGAAAAAAAAGCGAAGGTGTTGTTGTCGTCGCCGCCGTTCTGTTGTTGAAATTTCCGAAAATCAAATCGAAACGTAGGCGAAATTTAACGTCTATATATGCGCCAGGCATGTATCATTATCTATATATGTTCTAGACACCCGTGTGCTGCGTATCTGTGTGTCGAGTTGCCAATTTGTGGCACCCACACAGGCCAAAACAATGCCCGAGTTCAAGCCAAGCGGACATAAACACGATATAGACGCCGTTTGAACTTGGCTAAATTAAACGAAAGTTTAGCGAGCGCCGTCGTCATACAGATACAAAGATACACAGATACATTTTACTGGGCGAATTTCCGAGCACTTTTTCGACTTTTGCCGAGCCATTTTTACGTTTTTTTTTTTTTTTTTGGTCCGTCGGTATATGAAAACAAATAATTCTATTTTTAGTTCACTGCCACTGTTCTTTCAATTTGAATACTGCGCCGTCTTGTTCGTCTCGGGAGGAAATAAATCGAGTGTACGTACGAGAGTGCCCACCGTACATGAATCATCTGGCCAAGAAGAGATATACACAACCCATCTGCCAGATACATCGCAACATAGTCGAGGAGGATGCGTTTCTGCTGCTTTTCGAATTTCACTTCAAAAAGCGAGTACTTCCACGTACGTGAAGAAACAGACGACAACTCGTAGGGAAAACTCGTTTCTATCTGCGGTTTCAAGCTCGTCTTCCATTTAGACCAAAAAAGCAGAAACAACGGCCCACACACTCTCTCTCTATCGCCCTGTCTATCGCACAAATATACTTGCAGCACTCACTGTGCGCTTTTCCAAAACTCCAAAAACGCAACTATCAGGTACAGTTCACTGGGGAGGGAAAATCTCTTCGATGTGCGGGAAATTCGTTGGTAAGTGTATTAGTGGTCGATCGCTCCCAGCACAAGAGTGTAACGGTTCGCGCAGTGTAAGTGGTTCGGTGTGGTAACGGTTCGGCTCTTAACGCGTCGCCAGCTCTTTCGGTACTGAGTGCTCCGATCCGCACTTGCCACCAACGATCCCCGCCAGTGCGATCCGATCCGATCCGATCCCGTCCCATCCAATCCGAGGGCAACTTGCTCCGGAGACGCAGCTCGGACCTGTTCGCCCGAGAGCGCCGCATCATGGGGAAACAGCCAATGCCGCTCTCGCTTTTGCCTCCAAAGCTTACGAAGAGCTTTTCGCTCTCCAACTAATGCCAATTGATCAAACAATAGAGAGAAAAAGTAAAGTGTATTTGATCGCAAATACTAAATACTCTTGGTAACTTCAAAATATTCAGTTACGATCTTTACCTATTCAAAAACTAAAAAGTTAAAATACACTCTCCAGATAAGAGTCTAAAAAATGTATAGATCAGTGATAACTCTATACTGATTTCCAATATAAATATGTTGTTTATGTTTTGGCCCATTGTTAAAATAGTACCTGATAACCCGATCTTAAATTTGAACTCTAAAACAAAGATTCTATGATTAAAATTCACATAAACCTCTACGAATTAGACTTCCAAAACGCGTGCTTGGTTTCATTAGCAAGCGCTTGTTAACCCTATTAGCAAACAAATTTAGAATTTGATGTTAGCAAAGTTTTAATTCCAAAGTGCGACCATATAAGTACATCAACTTAACAAAAACAAAATGCATTCAAAGCGTTAAATGGGTCAAATGGATCAAATTTAAAATATTTAAATGAAAGCAGACTGTTCAATAGGCATAGAATTCGAAGATGCTCCAGTTTTTGCCAAGCTATGATGCGCGATAATTTAATAACAAAAGTTTACTTATAAAAAGCTCTCTCGAATGCCCCGCTGCCCCCGAAAAATCCGTTCTCGTTCGTTTACTCGATACAAAAGAGTCAAGTGTTTCCATTTTATTCACTCGTATTGCGGTAGCGACGTCCATGATTATAGTGATCAGAGAATCTGGTGTTGATAAGCTTTTTCATAAAAAACAAAGACCGATGATGCCGGTTACAACTGAGGGGAGCAGCAGTTACGTTAAAATTACGATACTTAAGGTAGACGAAAGCGGTCAGGCTGGTCAATCGGGGCGAACAACCTAATCCTTGGCGGGCACCTCGATGACGCGCGGCTTGTCGATGATGCGGGCGGTCTTGTTGCCCTTCTCAACGATGCCAATGATCCAGGCCTGGTAGCCCTCCTGCTTTTCGATGTCCTTGCAATAGGCGGCGGCCTGCTCGCGCGGCAGGCAGATCAGTAATCCGCCAGAGGTCTCAGCCGAGTGGCCCTGCAGCAGCTGGAACATGTTGCCGCAGGCCTTGGCCACCGCGGCCATCTTGGCGATCACCGGCAGATTGTGTATGACAAACGAAACATCCTTCTTCTGGTGGGCTGCCAGAGTTTGCGCGTGTCCAAGCAGTCCGAATCCAGTGATGTCGGTGGCTCCGTGGGCATTGTACTTGTGCATGAGGCGAGCGGCCACTCGATTCAGCCGCGACATGGAGTTCATGGCTCGGTGGTATGCTTTGCGCACGTCCTCCTCGGACACCACCAGCTTGATGCGGTTCCAGCGCTCCGGCTGGTCAATCCATTGGTGGGCATTGACGGCCACCTGGGTGCCCAGCGGTTTGGTCAGCACCAGCACGTCTCCCACTACCGCGTTATCCGGTACTATGTACTCGTTCGGCTGGCAAATGGTCGACGCCACCCCACCAATGGTGCACCACGGATTGACCACGCTCTGGCCTCCTGTTACAGTGGTGCCCGCCTCCAGGGCTGAGTCCTTGAAGCCCCGCATGATCAGCGGGATGACCACATCACGCTCCTTCTCAGTCATCTTGGTGCTGACCGCCAGCAGCATTAGCATGTTGTCGCAATCGGTGACGCCCATGGCGTACAGATCGCTCAGCACATTGGCGCACGCGATCTTGCCCATCATGTAGGGATCGTCGACGATGGGATAAAAGAAGTCGGTGGTCTGCACTAGGCAAAGACCGCCGTGTCGCAGTGGAATCACCGAACAGTCCAGTCCAATTCCGATTCGGGGGATCGCCACGTTGAGGAACTGCGGCTCTTGGTCCTGGGCGGAGTAATCCTGCTGCAGAGCGGACACCAGCTTGGAGAGCACATCCTGAGGCACCTTGCATCCACGACCTTTCAGATCCGCAAATCGGGTGAGACGGAAGGAGGCATCCAGGTCGTGGGCCGTGGGATCAAATGGACGACGAAGCTCGGCATCGCCGCCGCCGTGGAGCTCCAAGTGGGCCGAGTTTAAAACATCAGCGGCGTAGCTCATCTTGCTTTATAGCTAAAGCATAAATAATACAAAAATTGGGGGGTTACTATTGGGTACCATCAATTAATGCACTTTTGCCGCGCAACAAAAACATAATGGGTCGCTCTATGCAGCGAGTAACTCGCGTTCTCCCCGGCCACGAATACAACAGCGCTCAGACGTGTATGTACACGATTTTTCTGCCGCGTGTGTGTAGCGCGTGCCGTGATTGGCTGATGCCGCGATGGCGGCTAAAACGGGCGAAGTCAGTATTTCTCCCCGTCTGCGAGGCGAGAACGTGAACAATGCCCACTCATTTCAATTGCAAAATGCCAAAAAGTGTGCACTTTGAACTTTTGTACTTAGTAGCTAACGATTTCTAAACTGTTGTACTTACGTTTGCTTGTGCGAATGTACAACGAAAATTGTATGCGGCCGAAAGTAATTTTATTTATTTTGCGCCTGCTTTTGCTTTTCCAACGAGCGAGATGTCACAACAGGGTTGCATTTGCTTATGCGGGCGATTCAATATGTGGGCAAGCGATAGTCAAACGCGATATTTGTTCACAGAGCTGCCAACTTGCCTGAAAGCTATCGATAAAAACGCGCGCCGAAGAAATAATAAAGAAAAATATGTTAAAAAAGCGAAATAAAAGAGGGATATCGAGAGGAAATGCCGACTCTCAGTGGTCTATCCACAAGAAACACTCTCAACACTATAAAACTAAATAACTGATAGTATAAACAGCTATGTTGAGAGCGCTTCGAAGATACCCAATGAGTGGTCTCGCAAACCTGTTGCGCTAGCAGAGTGAAAAGTAAAAGTGAGTTGGAGACCACGAATTTATTTACCTTTGTTCGTTGATAAGGCAAGTAAACTTTTGCAGCGTGGAAAATCATAATCGTTGGAGCGGAAAATCGGATAAACAAAGAACTACAACTGCCTGGAACGCTGTGACCACAAAAGACTTGGGCAACAAACTTGGTTTTGGGCCATGGGCTAAACTAAATTAAAACGCTGACGAAATTCCATAAACATGATTCAGCTACGCCTGCGCAGTCTGATTTTGCTGCAATTTCTTGCCCTGGCCAGTTCGGAATATGTTTATGGCGAGCCCAAGTTCAAGTGCCCCAAAAAGTAAGCTTTCTTGTTTAAATATTAAATGTTTGTAAAATAATTTTTGTTTAAAACAGATCCAAGGTCTTGTACCCCTGCGAATGTATAAAGGGCAGTGATGATGGCCTTTTTATACGTTGTGAGAACGTCAATTTGGCCACCTTATCTGTGGCCCTCCAAAATTTGGCCTCTTTTCAAATGCCTATTGAGGAGTTGACCATCTACAGAGGACATTTCGGTGTGTTTCATGACAGAATCTTAATTTGGTATTTTTATAATAATATTAATTTTAGTGCGTTTATATGGTCCTCTGTTCGCCCACATCAAGGCCCGTTTGCTGATCATAGAGGAAACGCCAGTAGCTACAATTGAGGATTATGTATTCTATGGTGTAAACAATACTTTGGAGCAATTAAAACTACTCCGAACGAATCTCAGCCACGTAGGACCGCTAGGATTTGGCGTAAGCACAACATTAACAACCGAAAACTAAATTTAAAAACCCAATACGTTCACAGATTCTTGGAAAAGCGAAGGAATTGGTAATCGTCGGCCATGCCTTTGTACAGCTCCCCAAGGATCTTTTTGCTGGCCAAGAGATTGCAAATAGTCTGGGAATTATAAGAGTGACCAATGGCAATCTGAGCGATCTGCCCGTAGAGACTTTCCAGCCTTTGAAGAAACTAAAAACGCTGGATTTGCATGGCAATCAGTTGGAGAATCTAAAACGCAATCAATTCAAAAACCTTAGAGAGCTTGAAGTCCTGGATATAAGTCACAACAATATCAAAAAGCTCGAGGCCCAGCACATAGCTGATCTGACAAAGATGGGCTGGTGTAATGTTTCCCATAACGCCTTAAACGAACTAAGTCGCGGAACTTTTGCAAGAAACTCTGTGCTTAAAGTACTTCATTTGTCCCACAATAATATTGCCCGTCTGGATGCGAATAGCTTTAGGGGAATGCGTTTCCTACGACGACTCTTCCTTAGCGATAATGTGCTTACAGATATTGGACGCGGTACTTTTGGCTCAGTTGCTCGCATTGGAACTATAGATTTGGCTCGAAACCAACTGAAAAAGGTCGAATATCAGATGTTTACGCAGATGAACTATGTGGAGGTGGGCTTTCTAAAAATATAAATATGTATTTAATATACTCACTAAAAGTTGTAAATTTCAGTTGCTGGATTTGGCGGAAAACAACATAACCAAGATTGAAAAAAACTCTTTTAAGGATATTTACCAGGCTGTGATCAACATTTCGCATAATGCCTTGGAACTGATAGAAACCGGGGCCTTTGAAAACTGTGTTAACATAACAGTTCTTGACCTGTCTCATAATCGTTTAACCAATTTTTCACGCCGAAGTTTTGACGAGACAACTTTTGCCACCTATTTTCAACTTAGCTACAATAATCTCACCAATCTAGCTCAGGTAAAAGTCCTATGATTTCCGTGTTAATAATCTCACTAAGTGTCTTTTATTTTCCAGATTCCCATTCAAAATATGACGGGATTAAAAGTACTCAATGCGTCGCACAACAGCATAAGCGAAATACCCAAAAATTGTTTTCCGAAACTCTATGAACTGCACACCATTGATGTTTCGCATAATAATATATCCAGTATATTTAATGGAGTTTTTCAAACGCTTTTCTCGCTACGCACCATTGACCTGAGTCACAATAGCATGCGGGAGATCAAGTCATCAACCTTTGGCACTTTGCCTACTCTCCTGTGGATGGATCTGAGTCACAATGAACTGGTTTCCGTAGTCCGAGGATCGCTGGCCAAATTGACCAGCATGCGGCAGCTGTACTTAAATAACAATCAATTGGAAAAACTCTTCCAGTTACCCATTTCTTTGAACGAGTTGCATTTCAGCCATAATAAATTGAGTGAAATCCCAGCGGGCACATGGCCAGTGATGAATTCCCTGATCTACTTGGATCTGAGCCATAATCAACTGGGTGATAGTCTTAATGGCCAAAGTTTTACTGGTCTGTTGGTGGTGCAACGTTTAAAACTTCAGAATAATGGAATAAGCCAGCCACCAATGGAGGCGGTATCGGTCATGTCAACGCTGCAGTATTTGTATTTGGAGGTGAGTAAATAGAACAAAAAAAAAGTAATTTAAATTCATATTTTATTCCTTCCAGAACAACAACATAACCACGCTCGAGCGCAGTGCCTTTGGCAAGTTGCCCGTATTGTTCGAGCTGAATCTGTATGGTAATCAAGTTAAGGATATAAGGTAGGTTGTTGTTTGATTTTTAATTTAATAATCAACCGCAATATTTAATCATTAATGTAGCAAACGAGCATTTGAGGGCCTGCTGCAACTGCTCACTCTGAACCTATCATCCAACGGAATTCAGCAGTTGCAAAATGACATCTTTATTGGATTGCCCTCGCTGCGAAATCTTGATTTGTCCTTTAATTCCCTGACTAAATTGGACAACAAAACCAATGGCGTTTTGGACGATTTACTTAGCTTGGAAACCTTGGATCTGAGTCACAATCGTATAAGTTTTGTGACAAAAAAACCTTTCCGTCCCATCAGTATATTCCTTACAATCTAAGGAACCTTAACCTGAGCTACAATCAAATGCCCGTGCTTACTTATGATATAACCTTTGGGACCAAGAAGCTGTATAAGTTGGATGTATCTCATAACCAGATCAATGACTTGAGAAGGGGAGTTCTATCCAATTTTACTTCTCTCCACAGTCTGGACATGTCCCACAATGAACTTGCCAATTTGGCATCCGAGGAGCACATATTCGACCTTCCTCAAAATCTGAGTAGCCTGGATCTGTCCCACAACCAAATCTACCACCTGCCCTTCGCCAATATAGTGAAAGTAAACTCATTAAAATATGTTGATCTTACCAACAATAGTTTGGAGGATGTGCCTGCCTCCATAGTGGGCAGCATGAGGAACGGCAGCGAAGTGCTTTTGGCGGGAAATCCCTTATACTGCGGCTGTAATGCGCGCCCTCTGAAGTACTTCATGCTGCAGCAAACGTCGCCTGGTGAGGATTTACAGAGCATTTACTGCAGTACACCAGCATTGATCAAGGACAAACAGCTTCTCTCCCTGGATGATGAGTATCTGCACTGCGCCGAGGACGAGCGGGAAATCTATAAGGGCTTCGACTATGAACAGCTTACTGATGTTCGATTCCGTGAAGTGCAAGCGTAAGCATGACATCTTTGATTTCGATTTAAGTGTACAAAGTATAAGATATATAAATCTGCCTTTTTTACAGAACCAAATCTGGCATGTTGACCCTGAGCTGGTTTGTTTCCGGTACTTCAGACGTCGCTGACTTCCACGTTTATATACGCAGCAGTAGCAACGAGGTGCTTCACCAGTCAGATTACGCCTACAACAATCGGACTGCCAAGATTCCAGTGGAAGAACTCATCGAGCTCGGAGAGGAGAAACTCCGTGGCGCGGAGATATGTATAGTATCACGGGATAGCGACGGCAACACCCGCAAGTGGTTCTCCGGTCAGTGTCAGCAGCTGCCTTCGCTGAAGCGTCCCCGCACTTTCTTCTTTGGGAACTTTCAGGTCAGAGGAGGAGTTTCCGCAATGTCCAGCAGCCTACCTCATTGCCTTTTGTATATAATACTCGTCTTGTTTGTTGCCCGCTTGTAAAAACAATAATCTTTTTAAACTTAAAGATGTAAAAACCTTGTAGCGTTTACTAATTTGTTCATATAAATATTGTGATTAATATGTATGTACTTTCTAAGATCCAATTGAATTTTTGTCAGGTAGAAAAGTTTTAAGTTTCTATCGATTCTGAGGCTTTAACGATCAATTCGACCTTGATCTTTGATCCTTTTGTTGGCCGTGTAAATGTGTCTCTGTGGCCATGGCTCACTGTAAGGACACGCTGTGCTCTGACCTTACAGCTAAACATGTGCGCGACGCCCTATTATCACAACCGTGCGCACATGTATTTGTTTACTTGGACGCCGCCTCGCGTGGGCAGCGCAATTGAGAAAGCGTTGAAGCCCACAGCCAACCAAACGGGCCAGCTGATGGCCGTTGGCCCAGGCTGGCGGACTTTCATTCAGGGCAAAAACACAAAGGCAGTAATCCGAACAGCTCCTCGGCGCGGCGATTCATTTCGGCCTCGGCTCCTGTTTGTGCAGCGGGAGCGTGTGAGCGGACGAAAGGACTCGCCCGAGAACCTGCCAAATGCGCACTCGCGCTCTTAGCCAAAAAGGCAAGCGAAGATTACAGTGGAGGCCGTTAATGTTGGTACAGCTACAGTATTGGGAGACTCCTGAAAGTATACTACGGATTATATTTGACCATTTATAAAATTCTTAAGTTATCCTCTGCCGTTTCTTTGCTTTATTTAAGTTTTCATAAATATTTTATTCAATATGGAAAAAAAATTTCTCTAAATAACGGGTTTTTAAATAAATATTATTGTATTATTATTTGTTTCCTAATACTTTTGTAACTTTGTGAAACTTTTATTGGAGCACAGATAACTGTTCCATCTGAACAACAATTACTTGATGAATATTAAAGCAAACATAAATGTTTAAGAGAGAGCTGCCATATTTGGGGAACTCCACTGTGCGGCAGGACACGAGACACTCAGGACATGTGCACTTTCACTGCCGCGCCACCCACAAGCTCTCGGTTTCACTTTGGCCGCAGAAGAATGTGCTTTTGTGCCGTTCGCCTTTGCCATAGTCATATCCTGGCCCCCTCCAAGGACCCCTCCTTTGCATTTTTGGCAGGCGACTTTGCCTGTCCTTATCGATTTTCAGCGAATCTCGCAGGCTCAACTCAACTCGGCTCGGCTGTTTCTGCCTCCGTTTCTGTTTCTGTTTCCGTTGCCACGGCGCACGTCAGTGGCATGCGAATCGGAAAGCCAAGTCTCACTTGTCGCGCTGAGTTCGTTCGTGTCGCAGCAGCAGCAGCAGCAGCAGCGCAGCAGTGGCAGTGTCAGCAGCTACTATTCCGTTCGTTACATAAAGAAGAGATTTCAAATAGCAAGTTTAAGTGCGCTGCTCGGTTGCGAATGGCATAAATCATTCAGCGAAGTCAGCATTGTGATAAACACTTAGGCGAAATTGAAAACGAAAGGAGCCAGCGCGACCCACAAAATAAAAAAAAAAGAGAATCGAAATCGAAATTGAAAGTAAAGAAAGAATGTTATAATACGAGTTTCGAGAAGCAGTGACTGTGTATCTGGTACATAGAGCCCGAAAAAAAGAATATATGAAATATTAAATGTGCCGTAACACGGGCGTTGAAAAAAGTACCAGGTAGTCGTGGGTTCAGGAAAAAACGAGGAGTTCAAGGAGCAAGAAGAGGAGGAGGGGAAAAGGTGGCGAAGAAAGACGAAAGGCGAACGAAAATGTAATAGAGGTCAAAAGAAGCATTGATTTAACGTGTGCACTTCCTCCCACTTTCACCTCCACTCCTCTGGCTTCCTCTTCTTCTTCCTCCTCGATGGCTCCTTGTTATCCTCCCACCACCGCCACTACCACCATCGCCACCCACAAGGTGTCCTGTGTGTCCTGTGCGCTGTTTTTCGTGCCACGACTGTTGTGCGTGTCTCTCTCGCAATATTTGCGTGTGCGTGCCTGTGTCTCTGTGTGTTATAAATAATTTGTTTAAAATTCGTCAAATCGCTTGACGTTTCATTCAATAAATTTCACCCACCATGGCATAGAAACAGACACACACACACACTCATACACACACACACACATGTGGACATGCCGCTCCGTGTGGCGCCCGTGAATCGTGTATGTATGTGCGAAAAATGTTGATGACGAACCACTTACGTCTATCGCAAACCCACGAAACCAACGAAACCACCACAAACACAGCCGCAGCAGCTGAAAAAATCGCATGTAACACACCAACACACCCGCACACCACACACACTGAGACACAGACACACACGTTGCCCTAGGACACACGTACAGTTCAATATCCAATAAGAAACCAAGCATAATTACATAATCAAATAGAACGACTGGCAAAAAAATAAAAATAAAACAGACAAAAGACAAAAACGAATAAATAGAATCGGAGCAACAAAAGCGGAAATCAGCGCAAACAAGGACAAGAAAGCAAACTCGAAAAATCAACGCAAAGTGCAGAATTATTTAATCAACGCCAGCCAGCAGTCAGTCAGCAAGTGGAAAACCCTGGAAACGCCTATAAATAAAGGACACGCGATAACCAAAAATAGAAAGTAATGATAAACCAAAACCAAAGTACCTGCAACAATGAAATTGAGCAAATCTTAAAGGCATAACCAAAAAAGCAAACCGAAGATTAGAATTACTTTTAAAAATATACAAAGGACACTCGCTATATACAAAAGTGCTATAGATAAACGATAAACGCTAACCACATAAGCAAAAAACAATACAAAAAAAAACACAAATCTGTAGTTCGTTGCCGTTTGTTCACCGCCGGATGATAATACAATATACAGCCCAAGGATATAGAGCGTAATCCCCGTTGAGATAGTGTAATGGAACTAACCTCGTAGTTTGTAGAGAGACGAGCGTCTCTGCCCATAGGACAGCAAATAAAGAAATTCAGATAACCGCAACATAAACGCACTTAACGACTAACTAAAACTACCAAGTAGTTGCCTCTCTATATACAATATATATATATATATATATACACCTACGAGATATATACAAGAATACCTAGCCGTAGCGAATAGATAAACGCCAGTCTGTATATCTACCTATATGGATTTATTTTTATAATGCCGCTAAAGCAAAACTCGATCCCGAACCCAGCCCCGCCCTCGACCTAGGCCTTTCAAATTGCATCTGAATAAGTAACGAGGGCGATTAATGCATTAATTGGGTGGCGAAGGACGTCGCCACACGGAGTCCCAAGGAGGGACTGTCGCCGGGTCCGGATTTGGATCGGGGTCCTTTGCGTGTGGCTCGTGTAGCCAGATACACACGTATACCCACGGAGGCATACAAACGTACAGGACGAAATCGAGCTACCTGCTTTGGGTTTCCCGTGTTGCGCTGCCTTGACGCAACTCCGCCTTAACTCGCGTCGCTTCCATTTGCCACAAAGTAAAAAAAACACAAAATAAAAAAGGCGACCGCAAAGCCAAAACTGCGGTGCGTTCGTTAAACTTTCATGACCAAACATTAACTTAAGCAGGACGAGAGGACAGGAGTGGAGCGGAGCGGCTAGAGGGTTGAAAAGCGGCGGATAGCATACATTTCGGAGCAAGGAAACTGAGCTGTCATCATCACAAGCCCAAAAAAACCAACCCACACCCCCTTCCAACAGCTAGTTTGTTTTTGTGATAAATAATTTAACGATCCATACTTGGATCCCGATCCTGCCGACCATCCCACGTTCAGCTCCAGTTACCGTTATCGTTACCGTTACCGTTACCGTTACCGCTACAGTTATAGCTCCAACTCCAGTTCCAGTTCCAGTTCCAAGGCCCCACCATCACATCCGTACACCACCAACCGAGAAGCAACAATAACTATACACCCTAGAGGTTAAACGACATTTATAATCCAGAGTACAAAACGAATAGCCCCGAAAAACGCTGTAAACTAAACTAAAAAAAGAAACCAAAAAGCTAAACTATAAATAGTAACATATGGTATTATTATACACGCAACTCAAACAGATAAAGCCATCAAGTCAGAGTCACATAACCTCAAACGAATGAGAGCCTATAAAACAAAAACGAATCGAAACGAAAAGTGAAGAATTATAAGCAATACAAGCAGTGCTGTTGACTATTTTAGAGGCCACCTTTTAGATACCCTCACCCAACCTACGTTATTCAACCAAACACCTAAGAACCCACCAAAATCGAAAACCTAACCTAAAAGCTAAAACCTACAACCTACAACCTAAAACACGGATAAGAAAAACAAGCCCCATGTGCGAGTGAGATAGCTAGAGCGGACAGAAAGAGAGAGAGAGTGTGTAACACAACGAAAAGCAATTTATTTTTGTTTACGTGTCCGTGTGCCTCAGCCTTGGACCTGTATTAGTTAATGCCAAATATCGAAGCGGAAGTTGCACCAACACCTGCACACACAACTACTAATACTACTAGCGCTAGACACTTACACACACTCAGCCGTTATGACAAGGCCAAGAATTGCAGCGGGCATTGCGGGGCCTTCCCGGCGGCACTAGCAACACCCTCAGAAAGGCGAATAATAAAAAAAGTAAAACCAGAAATATCCCCGTGAACAACAACCACGTTACGTTACGTTACGTTAGCGAAGGTGGCGCGAGTGGTTCGATGTGGTTCGAACTCGAGTTCGAGTGCAGGTGGTGACGTGACAGCGGCGGCGTCGTGGGTCCAAGAAAATGCACGTTAAACACACTCAGCGCCGAGTCAGCGGTCCTGGAGCCTTCGGAACCTTTACCAACGATCAACGGTAGGCGTTACCAACTCACTTGTACTCATCTTTGTATGTCCTTGTACTGTTGTTGTGCACGATGTACGTTGTACTGGTGTGGGAGAGCATCCGCGACTCTCGGATCAAATAAAATTGATTCTGATCTGGGATCTCCCACACCGCGCTGTACAGTTTTGAGATGAATGTATTTCTGTTCCGTTTTTATGTGATCCTTAGGGTGGAACCTTTAAAAACCACATATAGATGATGTAAATTTAAAGGTTATAATTTTTAGCAAAGTTGAAGTAAACATAAATCTTTATGAAATGAAATCTCAAAGGGAAAGTAGTCAACATTGCGTATGAGCAATTTTTATATAATTATTACTCATACGCAGCGTTGACTATTTTCCGAAATTTTCAAACACCATATTCTTTTTTTTTTTTTTTGTGAAAATGGCAACTAAGCTATGCATTGAAAATCTTTTATGATGACATTTTCTAAAAGAATATTTGAAGGTTTGAGGTCCACCCTGGGATCCTGTTTATTGTGTTGTTCGTTTTGTATCGTTTCGTTTCGTACCGTTTTGTTCGATGTCTGTTTCTGTTCCTTGTCTCTTGAGTTACCCTGTTATTGTTGTTGATGTTGTTGCTGCTGCTGCCACAGTTGCTGTTGTTGTTGTTACTGTTCACAATCATCCGCGTGTGTGTGAGTGAGGCTAAGTGGGCGTGGGTGTGTGCGTGTGAGTGAGTTGCCAAGTGGTCTCCTTGTTGGCCCGCTGTGAACTGATTTCCTGCTCCTGCTCCTCCGCCCCACCACCGCCCCGTTCCTATTTTCAGGGGGTCATCCGTCATCCAGTCAATGCAATTACGAAACTAGATTAAAAGTCCAGCCAGGCCAGCAACAACAATGGCCACACACCAATACCAACACGAGCGGACAATCGCACCAATACAATGAATCGCGCATCGCTTGAGAATAGTGTCAAAGTACTTTAAGTGCAATCGCACGCAGTGTTGCATACATTCGGGGGCCACTGTTCATGTAATTGCAGTTGTGTGGGTGTGTGTTTGAATGAGCGGAAGCTTTCGCTTTTACTTCAATGATTAAACCACTGACCGAATTTCGGCTGGCATTATGCTTGTCTTGGTGTGTGTTTGTATGTATCGATAAGCGCTTGCCGACTTACTGCATTGTTGTTGCCTCCCACATAGACACACACTCACACATACTCATAGCTTATTCACCGACAGAAACACACTCACACACATGATAAAAGACAGAGACAACGACAGTGAGCGAGTGAAGCAGAGGGCCAGATAAGCTGTTCTTTTCTTTTGTGCCAAAAAGGAAGACCGATGTTTCCAATTGAGCTAGTTCTAGTTCCACATTTCCATACACTCGACAGCAACAAAAAATCACACACACACACATACAGCCACACAGAAAATACAGAGACAAACACATACAAAACATGGGCAGGACCCTCTCGTGTCTGTGTGCTTTGTGCAGTTAATTTAATTTCTTATCCCCCAAACGAATCTCATTTAAGTTATTTCCCGCTCAGTTTGTTAGTTTTTCAGTTTCGTTTCCTTCATTTCTCGTTTATTATTTCCATTTGGTGCTCGTCACGTGAATAACTTGGATTTATTTCGTGTCCTTGTCGTTGTTGTTTTGCAGAAAAACTTTGCTTAAAAGTACAAAAAACGTTGAAAACAGAAAGTAAGAACCAACCAAACTGAAACCAAAACCAAAACCAGATAAGAATAAAAGCCACAAACCGAAATTTTGCAACTCACATATTGCTGTGGAGCGATCTTAGACATCACCAGTGAAGGTACCGCCGACCAAGTTTCGAATATTCCCCATACTTTCTTTCTATCTCTCTCTTTTTGTCTCTCAGTGTCTCTGCCTCTCTCTCTATATAGATCGTAGTCTCTGTATGGTACTTCTACTAATACTACTACTACTTAAACTTACTACCTATACTTACTACTTAACGTTACAAATACAACTGCAACACTGATATAAGATACACATTTAATGCTACTAACTTTCCTGCTCGTTACTAGAAACTTCCCCAAAAAACCAAACCCCACCCCCTACAAGTTTCAACTTTTGAGCTTCACAATTTCTGGTTGCAAGCGAAAGTAAATTCATTAATTTTGATGCACTTTGCTAACAAACCCGTTCCACAAAAGTCAACCAAAAAAGAGATAAACGAATGCATCGCTTTAATGACTTTTTCCCCGCCTGCTTAAGATCTTTAGTAAACCCACACTCGTCTGACCCCTTAGATGCTACCCCGACTCCCATATATCACCCAAGTCGAGTTCAAATTTATTTACAATTGGCATGCCAAGTGGTTGTGATGTAGCATTTCTTTGTTTGTTGACTCCACTGATTTCCCTAACCCCCGGCCCGCAATCCAGATTTATTAATTGCTCGGCTGTCGTTATAATTAATGGATAATTTTGGCGGAATTCTGGTTAGCCGAAAATCGTGTTATTTATAGACGAGCTAAGCTCTCATCGAGTTCTGTGTTCATTTGCCTGTCCAGCCGGAAATCTTTTGAAGTCGAAATTTAATTACTGCCTGCGCAGTGTATTTAAAATGGCATTTCCATACAAACAACATTAGATGACCCATTGGTAACCTCAGCTCGTTATTGCAATGACCTTAAATGGGCCAAAACCGGAGAGTTTCGGATTGGCAAGGTCGTTTCGGACCCGTTCTGATTATCAACTGAAGCCTTTGTTATATTTTGGGGTGATAAAAATTTGTATTTCAGAAATATTTTTATTAGGATATAACTCGAAATTCGGGTCTTTTGTCAAGTGCCTTGGAAATTTCCACACTTTGCTTGAAAAATAAAAAATTAAGGGATTAAAATTTGGTGCTGGAAGCCATAAAATAAGATAAATAAACATGTTCAGCCTATTTTCTAGTTATAAAAAGGAATAAAATATTTAATGGCCCTCTATTTCCGGACGTGCCTCTTGAAAGTATTTATAAAGCTTCTTAGTTTATATAAAGGAAATCGTAACCATCTAATTTATATGCCATTTTTCTGATTCACTTTCTCTTATACAAAGAAAAACTCGTAAGTTTATATTTGATCAAATAAAATCCGCCTGACTGCACAGGCTTTGTAGATTGGCACGATGGTAAACAATTGTGCACTAAAAATGGAAATTTTCGTAATGTGTTTACACGGAAATGTGTATCGAGTGGCATGTTTGGCAATTTGCTTTCAATTTTGTTTGATTTTGTTGGCGGGAGCTTTCAGCTCATGGGCAATTAAATGCATATTGAACATTTTCCAAAATATTCGCCCGGATTGAATGCTAAAATAGCACCAGCGGGCAGGTTAAGTGTTTCAAAGTTCAAGACCACCAAAGTGTTCCACATTAGACATTGGGGTTCAGGGAAGTGCGAGTGCTGCGGACTGAGTGGCACATTACCATCTCCATTGAGGCCAGCAGCTCAGATGTAAATAGAGTTGTGGATCCCCCATTTGGGGGCTCACAGCTGCACTTGATTTAATATCGATGAACGAAGTGGAATGCAGGCAGGCAGCGACTCAATTACGTACGCCTTACGAATTTACGCTTAATGCCTTCAATTGGCTTTTGAATTATTAATTGAGGCACATTGTGTCTCAGTCGCGGGTGGAGCGGTGGAGCAGTGGCGATTTCGATGGCGGAAACCTGCTCCGCCAGACTCGTTTGGCCCCCAGTTCCACGCTCTCGAGGATCGGCAGCACATGCTCCCAGCTTCACGGCTAATCCCCTGGCCAGAAGGCCACTCCATTGCGCCAAAAGTTCACATTGAACAAGGGCCGCAAAAAAAAGAGCAGTCGGAAAAAACAATTTAAAATAGGCCTAGTAACTCAGCAGTTATTGGCTTTTGGCTTTGATAAAAAAACCAATGAAAATGTGACATAGCAACAAGATATCTGTTAAAGCTTCTTTCAATATAATTTTCACAAAAATAGAGATTACTTCAAGTAAACAATCTTCTTCTAAACAAATTTTAATGGGTGCTTTTTTTAGATTATACTGATTTGGTAGTAAATAAAAGCAGATGGAATTTATTTTTCTCTGTGCAGACAAGGTTGTCTTATTAGTTCACCCAGCCCAAAAACTGGGCCCGAACCCAAACTGCCGTCGCTACTTTGTCTGCGAAAAGGGGCAAGGGCGACTTTTGACTGCAGCACTTGACAGGTGGCAAACACTCGAAGCCGAGATGAAAAAGCCATCAGATACGAGGAACCCCAATCCAAACCCAAACCCAAGCCCAAGTCCAAAGAGCTGGAATTCCCTCGAGCTGTCGATGCTTTCGCTTTGATTTGGCTCGGCGTCGCCTCCTCGAAAGTGACTTTCGGCCAGATTAGGTCCGAGATTGGCAAGAGGCCGCCACTCGGCAGCGGATGTATCTCGGATTGTATCTCGCTCGTTCGGTATCTTTGTATCCGAGTATCTGTGGAGCGAAGTGCACACTCACCGGCGGAACATTAGCGTGCAAATATTTGACATATTTACTTATATTTGCTCAAATGACGATTTGATTCCAAAATCCAATTCCGATTCCGATTCGCATTCAAATTCGATTCAGAGCCGGGATAATTGCGCCGCTGGCGTGAGGGAGCCGCTGCCTAATTGACCGAAATTGATTCGACTCCGATTTGATGCCGGTGCTGGGAAAATGCTGTTTGCTCTGCACCATTTTCCCCCATTTTTCGCACTCAACTATAGTAGAGGAAATAATAGAGGGGGAAATCGGAATCGGATTTGGAATCAGAATCGGATAAGTTCGATGCACGCACACCGAGAATAGGGCTCCAATTGTTTTCCCTTTGTTCGAGAGCGGGGGGGCAGTGTTCAGCAATGTCAACAATAGTTTGCCTCACGTTTCGCAGCATTGATTGCCCGGCGGCACAGTGGGCCAGATCGCTCCGGTTACCCGCATTTCCATATCATCTGTAAATAAAGCATACAGCCTCCCCTTTTGCGCCATTGTAACTAACGCTTTGCTCCCACGGCTTATCAGTCCTGTTCTTCTGTTTCTTCTGTTCTTCTGTCGCAACCTTATCTTATCTCGGCCTTTTGGCCATTTGATTTAGGGCACTTCCGCCGCCCATCGTGCGGAATGGTTGTGTGTACCATCCGGCACGCGTTGCCATATATTCACCCACCTAGCCATATATCTTATATTATATCTCTATCTGCCCAATATCGAATCGGTGTGTATCCGTATCTGTATCTGTATCTGTATCTCCGTGTAGCCGTTTGTTACCGCTTGTGTATCTGTATCTGTGACTCTATCACTGCTTGGCCTGCGTGCCGCCATACATTAATTTAGTTGAATTTTTCGCGCGATCAGAAACCAGATGAGCATGTCAACCATTGTATATAGATGTCTCTATAAATTGTATCACACATTGCTCTTACAGAGGGCACTTGATATGGGCGAAGTGTTAGAACCAAGCATAAAGTAAAGTAAATTCTCTAAAGCGCTTTACACTTATTGCAAACTCCAAATAAAACAGCTGGTTATTAAAAGTAATGATGCGATTAAGTCACTCTCTGTCTAAATTGTTTCTATTAGTGTTACTAGTTAGATTGTGTGAATCATTTACAAAGTAATGATCAGATAACGCCACACTTAATCTAATATTTCTAATGAAGTCACGTGTCGTCTCAAGGCGACAGCAATTAGCAGATGAGCCTGTGATCTATTTCCACCGCAAAACCAGGCAATTGGAATCTGAAATTCAGAATCGAACCATATCAAGTGTCCCCTGTGCGATGAACTCACATACACGCCGGGAATGCGATACTCCTCCACCCCCCAAAACGCTCCTCACCGCTCACATGTTGCACAATCAATATTTATAATTAAGAATTTTCTTTGTTTGTCTCGCGGTTTTCCACACACTCGCACACTCGCACACTCGCACACTCGCACACTCTGTTTCCTGCTCACTTTAGCGTGGCCCTCTGAACCACGGAACCTGCGTTCCGTGCCGTCTCCCCACAATGCCTGCTTGCCAATTTGAAATAGATAAATTTGAGTGTTTGCCAGCGGCGCTGGCCATTCGATGCCACTGTGCTTTCCACGCGGTACTCATTGAAGTCTCCTCTTTCTTCCTCCTCCTGCGTCTCCTCTTCCTTGCTGGTGATCCCGCCAGCAGTGCCAGCCGCGACAACTTGTGCCCGGACAACCAGCCGAATCAGCAGCAGCAGCCGCACCACCAGCAGCGCCACTCTCACTCGCACCAGCACTTGGTGCGCCAGTCTCTGGTGAGTCTCAGCAACGGACAGCCGGCGGCATCTTCGGCGGCGGACAGCGCTTCGCTGCTGCGGGCGGGCGATGACCAGCAGCAGCATCAGCATCAGCAGCAGCAACAGCAGCAACAGCAGCAGCAGCAACAACACTTGCAGCAGCAACACCTGCAACAGCAACAGCAGCAAAGGCAGCGCAGCAGCACCAGTCGGCTTTCCACGAGCGGCATCTCGAAGCAGAACTCTGGGGACAGCAGGAGTGGGCTGCGGATCCTCGACAGCAGCCACAGTCCGGTGAGCTGCGGCACCCAGAGTGTGAGCAGCACTGGTGGCCAGTCGGCGCTCTACGATGCCTGCCACGAGTACTCGCGCAGCTTGAGTGCAGCCGCGGCCGAAGGAGCTGGATCGCTGCTGAAGAGCCACTACAGTGACCAGCAGTTGGCCCAGCCGGAGCCAGATCCGGAACCAGATCCGGATCCGGAAAGGGATCGCGACAGAGATAGAGATAGAGATAGAGAGAGGGAACGTCGCCATCTGACCAACCTCAATCTAAATCTGAGCAGCGAGTACGACTACAGCGGCAGCGACAAGCAGCAGCTGGTGAACGAGACGTACATCTTCAAGTGCATCGCCAACAGTCCCTCGTTCCTGCGCACCAACAAGATCAAGGAGCAGTCCAAGAAGCTGCGCAATCTCTCGCTGAAAACGCGAACGGCCAAGAAGAAGGGCCAGATCATCTCGAAGTCGAACGCGGTGTCGGATAACTCGCTGCATCCCGGTGATAAGTACTTAAACCTTTATCTGGTGGAGAAGAAGCACTCGCTGCAGCCGCAGGTGTCCACGTCGAGTTCCAGTCCGCATCCGCAGGCCTCCTCGGCGCCGGCCAGTTCCACCTCCACTTGCACGAGGAACCAGCAGTTGCCCGCTCTGTCGGCGGTTGCTGCCCGCCAGCAACAGTTGCTGCTGAACGGATCCCTAAAGGGGAAGGGTCAAGGACAGGGGCAGGGTCAGGGTCAGGGGAGCAGGCAAACCCTGCCCGGCCATCGGGCGTCGGTGAGGAGCGAGAGTGGAAGCGGTAGCAGCCACACCATTCCGGCGACGGGCAAGAGTCCGCCGGTGCCGCACTCGCTGGCGGCCAAGATCAGCAGCAGCTCGGCAAGCGGCAGCAAGAACTGCAATCTGCTCAGCGCCAGCAGCAACTCATGCCACAAGCTGCACGCCCACGCCCAAGGATCGGGAGCGGGATCAGGATCGGGATTGGGTTCGGGACCCGGGCACAGTCACTACACGGCAGCCGCGTCGCCGAAGAGCTCGGTGAGCAGCAACGGACACCTGAACAAGTACTGCCTCACGGACCTCACGCGCCGCAAGGCCGAGTTCAATCGCCAGCTGAGCGCGCCCACGGACTACACGCACCACTCCTCCAGCAACGGGTCGCAGCAGGAGGGCTCCTCGGAGGCCAACGAGGGCCACGAGCCTGTTGGCGAGTCGACGATCACCGTCGCCAGTGCCGGAGTGCCGTATCCGCATCCGTACTCCTATCCGTATCACTACGCGCACCACGCCTCCTCCTCGGCAACTGCGCCGGCCAACCTCAAGGCGTCGCTGCAGCTGCACAGCTTCTCCGGGGGCCACCACCCGTGTCCCTATCCGGCGAGGCCCACGTCCACGTCGTGCACCAACAGCTTCAACCGGCGCCACATCCGCCGGCACAAGGGCAAGCTCGGCGATCGGTGAGTACTGTACAAGACAGGGAAAATCTACTAGTTCATAATAAATCCACCTTTATATCACAAAATAGTTAGGAAATTCGCAAAGAAAAATATATTCAAATAACTATCAACTTTTTTATTTGTATAAATTCTTGAATTTTAAAACAGGGTTAGTTAATTACAATATAAATCAGGAAGTGAAATAGTTTGTACATATTTTATCGCAATTCCGGTGCGGTTAGAATTTAAAATTCCTTTTAAATTGATTGCAGTTACTGCTACTTCATTTGTATATTTTATTCAACAACTGACAAGGTCTAAGTCAATTTGTTTAGCTTTAAAGTAGCAGAACAAGCCTTAAAAATTGGAAACAAAACTTTCCTAAAATAACAGCAAACATATGGGGGGATTTCTGAGCCTACGGTGACTTTTTCCTCAGTTTACCTACTATAATTCCCCGAAAAGAGAGCGAGCTATTCAATACATTACCCCGGCTTACAAGTGGGAATTACGCGTATGCAAAACATCTGACTGTCTCTTACCGGTTTTTTTGAGTGCTTTCTGCCTTTTGCCCGCTCTGCTTATCGGCGGGCATTTGCATAATTCCATCGTCGCAGACCGAGATTCCCACTCCGAATTGCCTTTCGTCTCAGTTCGCGCAATAAACTTCTAATGGTCGTCGAGCAGTGAACTTCACGTTTGAGCGGATCGGTCGAAACAACCAAAAATTGAAAGGGTTCAAAAGTCTACAATCGGTGTGTGAAAAGTTTGAATATATAATGTGCTTATAAGTGCAACAAAATTAGCAAAAAACTATAAAACTACACATTATTAAGTTGAAGGTTTTGAAATAAACCTTTGTAAGCCTCTTTCATTAACCAAATAACTCAGCAGAAAGTTGTGTACGCTATTAGTTTCCATTTCTCGTTTAAGAGGTAAAGTTTCAAAACGAAATGTTTTGTTGAGGCAATGGTTCCAAGTTCCACAAGTCCAGATGGAATAACCAAACAATGGTTCGTCATTGTGTGATTGCAAATCGTAATTGAATCGATAACAGCACTCTTTCGTTTCTAAACGGAAAAGCGACGCGGAAAAGCGGCTCCATTATCAGTTTGATTGCGAGAGCTAAAGTAAACAACGATTCAATCGGTCGGCGTGAATAGCATAATTCTATAATTTGTCGCGAGTACACAAATCCGCAAATTGCGACCGAGAACGAGACCCAGACCCATAAAAAAAAACCATTTGAGACCTGGTCAGCGTTTCCTCCTTTCCTGACCAGTGATATCCAATCCAAACCATTTCGATCCGAATCCCCCAAGAATAGAATGCCGCCGCATACATTTGCATAAAAAATCCAGACGTATTTGCGGATCATTGTTTATGTTCCATTTGCTGTTTACTGTTTTCGGATAGTTTTTCGACTCGTGTATATTGTATTGTGTGGTTTTATTGGCATCAATTTTTGTGAAGACAACCAACCGGGCAGCGAATTACAAGCAGCCATAATTTGCGTCGCCGCTCGTCGCGAAATCAATTAAAAGGCAGCACAAATTCGTTATTTATTTATTGTGCAACGGCCGCGGGGTTCAGAACAGGTTATCAAGTCGCCACAGCATCAGCAACAGCTTAATAAAAAAAAGTCTGGCAAGAAACGAAAAAAAAAAAAAAAAAAAAAAAAAAGAAAACAAACTAGTAGCCGTAACAGTAAAGTGAAACGGAAAAGATAAAAAACAGAACATTGAGATAAAAACCAGCGTCAAGTGCACGGTGTCAATATCTCAATTATTTAATTAGGCAATTGCCAGCCAATTTCGGTCGTCTCGGAAGCAAACTGCAATTCCTGGGCCAATTGGTATTCGAGGTAAGAAGAATATCGCTCGGCCGGCCATCAAACAAACACAAACAAACACACAGAAAGTAAGAATACAACAAAAAAATTATACGATCCATGCCCACCCCCTTTTTTTCGGGTCTCGAGGACGCACACGATCCGAACCGATTCAATTCCGATTCCGATTCCGTGCCGATTCCGAATCGGAGTCCGAAATGCTACGAAGTCGAACCGCCCGCCGATCTGGTCTCGTTTTTTTTTCGGAGTGTTTGCCGGCGATTTCCAGGCGGCCTGCGAGTCTCGGCCGCTAGTCGCAAAAAGTTTGCCGCTGTAATCACTCCAAGTACTCGGTTCTACTCGATACTCTATATAGAGCGCGCCTCCAGACTTCTCCGATTCTCGAGAATCGGCGAAAGCCGTGCGAGCTATTCTGTGTGAGTCCGACCGCGCGAGTCATCATCCATCAAATCAGCGGAAAACATCTGCTCCAGCACGTTTTTAGTTTCGGTTTTCGCTTCCCAGTTGCCGACCATAAATATGTAGTTTTGAAATGCAAAACACCAAACAAAAACACCGTGAAGTGAAATGAATTGGAAATGGGAACCGCAATTAAGAATTTGTAGCCCTCAAAGTGATTTGATTTGTGTAATGCAATAGCCGGCGGAAAATAAACACTGAGCGGTTGGTTGGTGGCCGAGCGTAGCAATAACAATAACTAATAAATTCATTAGGCTAATGCCAATGGCGGCCAAGATTAAATTAAATCAGCTTCATCAGGCTTAATTAAAACGAAACTTTCCCATTTAAAAGTACACTCAATTGAGTGTGAACGGGCGAAAGAGAGCAGTAATAATAGCAATAGAAGCACCGACACAATTACGAAAAGTATTATAAATATACGAAAATATCAAATATAACCTAAGCTCAAACCAACGTAACCGCGAGCACGCGTCTCTGCCGGAATTTAACAATAGGTCCGCCGTGAACGTGAATAATAACCGTACCACGCGATTTGTCGTTCAGTGTTCGGGGTTCGGTGTTCAGTATTTATTATTTAGTGTTTGCTGCTCCAAAAAAAAAAGAAAGAAATAAAGCAAAAAAAGCGCAAAAATACCCAGGGTGAGGAGAAGGGGTCTGAAACTGGCCGGGGTATTCCAGTTTCTCTGGGCTGCCTCCCCGGAAAACCTTGACAATCACCATCCAGTGGGCAAGGTGAGGGCAGCAGCCGTCGCTCCGATTAAACCTGCATTGTGCGTGTGCCGCAATTAAAAATAAACAAAAATATCAAGAAAAACTGGATCGTTTTGGAGATCGTAAAGAGGAATACCCTAGCAGCAGCATACCCTACCTGCTCAATACTCATAAAAAGTTTTAGTGATATCGTGGTTTACAAACATTAAAGGCTTTTCCGGTTACTAAGAATCTACAAAAAATAAAAATAAATAAATTCAAGCTTTCAGGATTCATTGATATTTTTATTTTATAAATTTTTGTAAGGAACAAATAGTTTGTATTATACCAGAAAAATTAGGTACATGTTTCAGAAGGACCATAAACTATGTAGATTTAACAGATTTCATTATTCATAGATACTTTGCTTGAAATTTCAATGCTGGGGAACTCCCCAGAAGAGTAATACCCACCTAGAGTATACACAATAAATTTATTTAACCGATGCGTTAATCGACACCAGCCCATCCCGCCCACCTTGACAGCCCATCTGCGTAGTTTCACTTTCATTTTGGGCTGACCAGCACACATATGGCATAATTTCGTGTAACGGAATTTTCCGAGCCAGCACTTCCGTGTTTACAGATTCCGACATTCTCAATGCCATTTCAGACTGCTGAGCGGGGATAGTGAGGAATCGGTGCGCTGCTCCTACTGCTCGGTGCTGAATGTGAACGAGAACGACCTGCGCATTTCGTTCGAGAACACCTGCACCGACTCCCTGGTCACCGCTTTCGATGATGAGGCCCTGCTAATATGCGACCAAGGAACCGAAATGGCAAGGACAAAGGTTTTATTAGTACTACTATCACGGGACAGACACATATATCCTTTGCATATATAACACTTAATTATTACAAGACTCTGACTTTGACTGCTTAGCAGGCAACTGGATTTGGAAAACTGAAAGTCTAATGAGATATCACTTTTATCCACACACACAGGTACACTTTGATGACGTGTCGTTGTACGGCACTCCGAAAGAGGAGCCCATGCCCAACATACCGATCGTGTCGGAAAAAGTCTCTGCGAATTTCCTAAAAAGTCAATTGCAATCATGGTTCCAGCCGACGGACAACCGACTGGCCATGAAACTGTTTGGCAGCCGAAAGGCGCTGGTCAAGGAGCGAATACGTCAGAAAACTTCCGGGCATTGGGTCATACACCCTTGCAGTTCATTCAGGTGGGTTCTGAATAAAAAATAAAAAAAATATTTAAAATAATTTATAATAATACAATACCCCTTGCTAATCAACTATAATCAATCTCCTTTGACAGGTTTTACTGGGACCTTTGCATGCTTTTATTATTAGTAGCAAATCTTATTATCCTGCCAGTCGCAATATCATTCTTCAACGATGATCTGAGCACACGATGGATTGCCTTCAACTGCCTAAGTGATACTATTTTTTTAATAGATATTGTAGTCAATTTTAGAACAGGTAATGCACACTCAACCCAGCCAACTAACGAACAAGCCCCCCCCACCAATTTTTTTCCGAAACCCCCATCCAAAAATACTGGTTCCATGTCCCAAAGTCTTCGCCCCCTGCTTAATCGAACACTTTTCGCACGAATGTCTGTTTTCAGGAATTATGCAACAAGACAACGCTGAACAAGTAATATTGGATCCAAAGCTTATAGCTAAACACTATTTAAGAACTTGGTTTTTTCTCGATTTGATTTCGTCGATACCGCTAGATTATATATTTTTAATTTTCAATCAAGTAAGTCAATGTATTTAAGAAACAGTACGCAACATTTTAATTTAAGATTATGAAATTGCAGGATTTCTCTGATTCTTTTCAAATATTGCATGCTGGACGCGCCCTGCGCATCCTGCGCCTGGCGAAGCTGTTATCCTTGGTCCGACTGCTCCGCCTTTCCCGCCTCGTGCGCTACGTGTCCCAATGGGAGGAGGTCTATGTGAGTACACCCGGCTCATTTTGGCAACGCTCGATCCTTTAGTTCCTTCTCGTTTTCGTTTCCTTCAGTTTCGTTTCGTTACCGTTTCATCTTTAGTTTGCATAACAATGTACTTACTCCCCCTGGTTTTCAGTTTTACGACACATTTGTACAATATATACACAGAAAAAATATGTTTGTTTTGGTTTCTAATTCCTATTTCTTTATAAGCTCGACGCTTTACATATATTTGAAATTCCATGAAGTTAAGGTTTCAAGAAATACAACAACTGCCTTAAAGTATGCTATGTTACATTACCTTATAAAAATGTGTTGAAAAGACATTCAGTATTCAAGTATTTTACTCTAAGTTCAACTTTTTTCCACTTTTATTTTTTCTGTGTATATATGTGTTTCAGTACCCCGTTTCGTCATTACCTTTTTGGTTATAAGTCAGGGATCCTTGATCCCTGATCGACCCTCTTTTTCGGTTTGAATTTCTGTTTAGTTTGCTCCAAATTCTCGACCGTAAGATCAGCATAACTACCCGTTCACTCCACACCACAAAAACAGATTCGAGGATCTAGGTTATATCTAGTCAACTGCAGTTAGGCTTAGCACAGTGGTCAGTGGTCAGGGGAGTTCGGATATTAATATATTATGAAACCCCAAAGTGCTCACTTTTCTTTGTTACATGTGTACGTACATGTGTGTGGCATTAAGAACTATTGAATAATTGTGGATGGCGCGCAGTAATGTTCAAACTATGTATTTTCTTTCAGTTGTTATCTGGAACCTCTGTGTCTATGATTTCCGTTAAACGTTTAAATCCTTTGCGTTCGATTACCAATCGTTTTGTTTACCAAGTATGATATAACCTCCCTCAACCTATGTGTGTCTATAAAGTCAATCAAACATAGAACCAGACAATCGCTGTACCATAAGCCAACTCAGATTGTAAATTATACAGTTGTGTGACCCCGATGTTTGTTTCGTGTTGTGCGCCTGCTGCGCTTCGGGTCCACAAGACCAGATCCTGATAAATCCCCCAGGCCGATTACTGCAAGAACATACCTATATATCACCCTACACACACACCCAGACACTAACATATTCGTAACACACTCAAATCGAATCGAAAATGTATATTTTTTTTTGGGTTTTTTCTCGAACCATCTGACGCGCTCGCTAAGCTTGAGAACTCGTTCACTTGTGCCGCGGGAAGATTCCTTTGCTTTCTTTCACATTTCTTCAGTTGAGTCTTCGATTTATCGCTTCTGTTGTTCTGATATTCTATATATTCGATTTAAGATTTCCTATTAATTTCTTGCCGACTTTGAAGCACTCAAATCGATATTCTTCATTGCACTTTGTACAACTCTTTGAACTTCTTTGAAGGCATTTCCCCAACTCAAGGGCTGGGGATTGCTTTTATCCTATGTCTATATCCAAAACCGAAACTCCCACCCACTCCCTTAATCCCCACCCCCACTTCCAGCCACACCACACCCCCTGAGATACGTACAAGTACAGTTCCTTTAGTCCTATGTAAAACATTGCCTAAAATTGGAAACCACCGTATATTATGATTTATGTTTATTTTGTTTTTGATGCGCTCAACTTAAGCGATGAAAAGAAAAGTTTTTTGCTAAATGCGACTAACAACAACTTATGATGCTTATGAAAATCAGTTTAAGAAAAACAAACAAACAAAACAAAAATAAAATAAACAAAACAATACAAAAATCCAACCTAGCTGAATCAGGGCCTAAAATACCTGTGTATATATGGTTTTTAGATTCTGCAGAATCTACAGAAAAAAAGTGCTGATCGCAGAGGGAGAATGAACAGAAAAGACAAAGATGGCTTGACAAAAAGCAACCTAATTCTCAAGGTAAACCATCCAATAAAAAAGTAACAACCCAAAAATCAAAATCAACAACACAACAACTTCAGTATATATTGATAAACAAAAACCAAAAGCCTTGATTGATTGAAATTATGATTATGTATTATTGGCGCAACATAACTCACGTTTTGAGGAATGTTTGAGCCAAAATTGAGTTTTAGTGCATAATTTCGTTCGATTGTTCGTTCGTTCGATTGTTCGTTGATCATGTTTGCTTGATTTTAATGTTCGTTCGTTCGTACGTTCTGTAAATTTTCTGAGACTGCCTTTTTTACATATTGATTGATTGATTGATTGATATTGTCATACATAATCTCTATTTCTCATGTGATGCATAATGAAAACTCGCCAAAACGAAAAAGAAGAAGAGAGTTTAGCCCAAAAGCAGCCAAAGAAAAAAACATGTTTTCTGATTATGAATCTTCGGTGCCAAACCGAAGCTCTTTTCGTGCTCTTCACACGACGTAGAATAAGTCAAAAGGATAATGTAATATATTTCGCTAGATTCCGTAGTTTTTGAATCCATGCATGAGCATGATCGGAAATCCTATCGTATTGCTAAATCTATCATTGTGAACCGCAGATTAGCTGGGTTATATAACGCTGTGAAGAGCATGAAAACGCCACAGATCTCAGGATATATTACGAAGTCGAATTGTATAGTGTGTTGAATGCTTTCTGCTTTCGAAATATGAAGCAGCACAGATCGAAATGTTACCACTGTAAAGACACCAACAAATATGCACTATACCATATAGTAGCAAAAGTAATGGCTGCTGTTGCTTTCGCTTTAGGTTTAGGTCTTAGATCCGGACACAATGACACACATCCAATATAGTCAATCGATCTGAAGCAGGTAAACTGATCCAACGACCAATCAGATCGAACACGAACACTGTACTATATCTAGCCACATACTACTCGTATTCTATAGCATACATTTGTGGGCCCGTGCCAAACGCTTTCCACATATCCTAACCTATATCGTATCTATCGTACTCAACTTAACCTCACTTTGAGCTCAATGCTTTCTGCTTTTGTACTGCGCGCTTTCCGCTCGAACTCTCTCTTGCTCTCTCTAAACTACACAGAGAAAATCGAAATTAGTTACAGAAATGTTTAAGCTTAAACATATAAAAGAAACTTTAAAGAAATGTTTAATTTTTTCAACTTTAACAAGATCTGTTTTTGATTAAATCCATTAAATCTGTGACAATTTTTTTTCTCTGTGTAAAAAATACAACTCTGTTTTGATGCCTCTGCTACCGTTACTTGTTTTTTTGTTACTGTTTCTGGTTTGGTATTGGTTTCTCTGACATTTTATTTCTCAGCCTTCTTCCCCTTCTGTTGTACAAAAGATTTCAGCAAGAGCGCGTAAAAAATAAAAGAAAAATAAGCTTTTTGAAGTGACACCCACACACACACATGTACACGCACACACGCAGCTACAGCCACTGAATTCTTGAATGCAACAATCGTTATTTTATTATCTTAATACCGCTCCCTTTCTCTGTCTCTTTCTCTCGAACTCTCTGTTCCTGTTCCTGCTCTTGCTCTATGTTTTCGTTTACCGTTCGTTTGATTTCCGTTAATTTCATGTGTAATTTCCGTTGGTTTGTTTACCGTACTTTGTACAGAATTACGTAGTTCAATTACTAACAACTGCGAAAGTCAAATAAACAAAAACGCTTTCATTGTAAAATACGAGTTTCGATTTCGACATTTCGAACGTTTGAACGGCTTAGTGTCCGTAATTATGTTTAACAAACGTAAAACAAAACAAACAAAAAACAAAAAAACAACAAACAAAAGTAAAGATGAGCACTTGTACCATAATTTAGAAGCTGATTTTGCACCCATTCGAATTGTAGAAATGGTTTGAATTTGAATTGATTGAGTTTGAATTGATTGCCCAGGTTGTACACTGTACACAAAGTACACCCAGTACACCGGACACTGTTGTATTGCCTAACACTAGACTAATCTTATCTTATGTTATCTTATCGGATGTACTACATATACCTCAACTCTGCTCCGATCCGATGATTTGGAGACCCAGGATTCCGAGTATCCGTTGCATACTTATCGGGCAGAGTGGGGAGTTTGAGTAATTTCTTGTTTAATATGGCTGTGGTTTGGTTTGTTTTAGTTGCTTTGATTGGCATAACGCAATAACTGTTATATTTACTACCGGTAGCTGGAAACGCCAAGAACGTCACCAAGTGCGCCAAGTTGCAAACAAATTATTCCAAGTTCTAAGTTTCATTTCCTCGTTTGGGTTTTCTTTCACTCGTTTACTTGAGACGTTTGGTTTTATATATGTGGAACTCACACCCATATGTAACACACGCACACTTGGACACATATACAGACACAAACACAGACACACACAAACACAAACACAAACACACATACACACACACGAGCGGTGTTGGGCTTTGGTTGATGTGCACTCTTTTTGATTGACCTCTCTGGTTGCAGTTCCTCAATATGGCCTCGGTCTTCATGAGGATCTTCAATTTAATTTGCATGATGCTCCTGATCGGCCATTGGAGCGGCTGTTTGCAGTTCTTAGTGCCAATGTTGCAGGGTTTTCCATCCAACTCCTGGGTCTCCATCAACGAGTTGCAGGTGCGCGCAGATCGGTAAACCCCATCTATCTGGTATCGAGCTATCTAAATGGGCTGTTCCATTGCAGGAATCGTACTGGCTGGAGCAGTATTCGTGGGCATTGTTCAAGGCCATGTCGCATATGCTCTGTATAGGCTACGGCAGGTGAGTAAATGTCCCCAACCACTTGGATTAGTTCTTCTTCATGGGAAGAGTTTACTTAAATTGTGTAGGTTGTTGGTCACCTAAGATTGGGATTCATGGTTTTTAATAAGATAATGCTATTATAGAAGTAACATTGCTAACACCCCTTTCTTTTCCACAGATTTCCACCACAATCACTGACAGACATGTGGCTCACGATGCTATCGATGATATCCGGGGCCACCTGTTACGCATTGTTCCTCGGTCACGCGACCAATCTCATCCAGAGCTTGGACTCAAGCCGGCGCCAGTACCGCGAGAAGGTTAAACAGGTGGAGGAGTACATGGCCTATCGCAAGCTGCCACGCGACATGCGGCAGCGCATTACGGAATACTTCGAGCATCGGTACCAGGGTAAATTCTTCGATGAAGAGTTGATACTTGGCGAGTTGAGCGAGAAACTGCGCGAGGATGTCATCAACTACAACTGCAGGTGGGCGATCTGTCACTGGCCAGTGATTTTATAAGTGTTTTGTACTTTCAGCCAATTAGATAGAAAATTGTAGGATTAGTATTTTGCTTGTGTTCTCATCAAAAAGATTACATCTTGCTAAACTCGAAAATTGTAATATTTCACAGATCCCTCGTGGCGTCAGTGCCTTTTTTTGCTAATGCCGATTCGAATTTCGTTTCCGACGTAGTTACCAAACTGAAATACGAAGTTTTCCAACCAGGCAAGTTTCTTACTAAATAATTCGATTAAATGTACAACTGATTTAATGATTAATTAATTTGTTTAGGTGATATTATCATAAAGGAGGGTACGATCGGTACTAAGATGTACTTCATACAGGAGGGCGTGGTGGACATTGTCATGGCCAACGGCGAGGTCAGTTAATAATACAAAAATTAAACCATAAAATACAGTAAATAACCACTACATTCACTAGGTTGCCACCTCACTATCGGACGGATCTTACTTCGGTGAGATCTGTCTGCTGACCAATGCGCGTCGAGTGGCCAGCGTGCGAGCCGAAACCTATTGCAATCTATTCTCGTTGAGCGTGGATCATTTCAATTGCGTTCTGGATCAGTATCCGCTGATGCGCAAGACCATGGAGACTGTGGCCGCCGAGCGGTTGAACAAGATTGGCAAGAATCCGAACATAATGCATCAGAAGGACGAGCAGCTGAGCAATCCGGAGTCGAACACGATTACGGCTGTGGTGAATGCCCTGGCTGCCGAGGCGGATGACTGCAAAGATGAGTAAGTTGGCTGGGGAAATCCGAATGTTTACTAAAAAATATGTCCTTGGTGATATAAAATAGGTCTTAATTGGTTTTTCTTACAAAAATGTTATACTATTTATTGCTAAATGTGTTTGTTTGTTTTATTCCAGTGACATGGATCTCAAGGAGAATTTACTGCATGGGTCAGAGTCGAGCATTGCTGAGCCGGTGCAGACGATACGCGAGGGTCTCCCGAGGCCGCGGAGCGGAGAGTTCCGCGCCCTGTTCGAGGGCAACACCCCATGACACTGAGGAACGATGACGAGCGGTGCCGGCGGGCACCGGGCATCCATCTGAAGCCAGCGGCTCGGCTCGCTGGCCACTCACTCACCCAAAACCCACACCCATACCCCACACAGGACCCCACACTCACACACACACACACACACTGCGTATATAATAATTTAGTAAAAGGAACCCCAAGACGCGATAAGAGTACACTAAAAAAGAATCAATTTATGGTAGACACTCTATATATGCAATTGCGATTTAGTAGAAAACGTATTAAAACAAAAAAATCCAAAAAAAGTAAAAACAAAAAACAATTACACAAAAAATGTCCTCAATAATTATTCATAATTTCAGCTCCGCTAACTGTGATGACTTTAATATAAGAATCGAAAAAAAATTAACAAAAAAAGAGAAAACGAGTACATACAGAGATAAATTATACGATAGAGAGAACTCAGCAGCCAGCAGACAGATCAGAAAATCACGACCCACAGCCATAGAAGATTTGCCACCCGAACACCTCACTTCACACGCCACACCAACACACACACACACACTCGAACACAGAATAAATACTGACATATAAAGTAAATCTACATATAAGTTTTATGCCCACGATATTGTAACGATAACGAAGTGAATAGACTTTTGAATTGCTACATAGGCGTTAGTCCTATGGACCTACTACAAGAACACACAGCCACACACACGGAGGCACACCTGGAGCTGGTCAGGTGGGGAGGTCAAAGGTGACAGGTATCAGGCATCAGGCATCAGGCGACAGGTGACTACAGTCAGTCAGACAGACATGCATCCACTTATGATATAAACGAAGCGAAGCGTTACAGCATACCAAAACATATTTATGCGCGTAGCTATTATGTACTCGAGCAACCAACAAACAAACAAACAACCAAACAATTATGTATTATTGCGATTATATAGCATATTTAAATACGCATTGCAAAAAGGGAAAACATAACTCAGCAATATACAAAACAAGAAAAGAACCCAAGAAACAAAACAAAATGAAAAGTATTTAAGCAAATTTAACGAATGCGCATTAGTAGTTGAACTATTAGTTTTTCACTCACTAACAAACAAAACACCACTCGACACACAACGTAGTAGAGAAGCCTCAACAAAAAACAAAAGGAATAAATATATTAAAAACCAACCTCAGGGTGCCGTCGTTTCAGCGGTCACCAAAAAATAACAAAAAAAAAAAACAAAAAAAAAGAACAGACAAGAAACCAACTATATACACAACATATATACAAAACATAGACAATGTTGTCTTTTATAGGGAATTGTTAAAGCGCCTCAGTTACATTTCAAGTATTTATTGCGGGCCTGCCGCCGAGCAAGATCATGATTTTCCATTAAGGTTCAGAATTTTCGTTCGAGGTACCACATTTCGTTGCGAGCGAGATCTCTTTTGCAAGTGGTTCGTCTTTGAGTCCTTGTTTGTTTTACTTTCAAGCATAAATCAGGCGAAGGACAGCGACTTGTTGAAGGATTTATGTAACTTAGTATTTTATTACACGTAAACTAATAAAAAGAAAGCAGAAGGACAGCGTTTGCCTTAAAATAATATGTAAACGAGTTTTATTGAAGTGCAACTAAGAAACATAAAGAAATTAATATGACATTCCATGCCGATAAGTTGGAGTATAGAAATGGTCTTAATGATCAAATTACGCTATAACCGAATATCTAGTAATCTATATACTTATGTAAATTTATGCCGTAATGCAGCGTCGAGCCCACCCGGAGTCAATGAGCGATTTGTTTAGGTTTTTTACTTGTTCGTCGGTGTTTGGATCCACCAGCACAAGATACGCTGTGTTGTTCTGCAAAAGAATTGCGGTTTGTCCTGCTATAAGCATCTTATTTATATCATAATCGGCTTACCTCGATAGCTTCGACCTTGGCGCAAAGTATGCGATAGGAAACCATCTTGTAGAAGAAGTTAACAGCTTCTGCCGACCAGGACGGAGCTTTCCACTGAGTTATAAAGGCCAGTCGACCAGCCAACCACTGCGGCGGCAGCGTGGCAAACTCCTTCAGCAGAAACTTTATATCCCTGGGGGTGACACACATTTGGACCCCAGTGTCGATCAACTCTACCTCAATGGTCTTCCTAAAGTTATCGGGCCGGTGCTTTACCACTTGGGCTCGTTCCCACGCACCTGAGTTACTGGAGCGCACGGCACAAAGATGATCCTCGGTGATCAAGCTCAGCGGCATAGTGTACTTGTCCCCATTACGACTTTCGTAAAAGGTTCTGTATAGAAATAATAAGAAATATAGGTTCATTACTAGTACATTTTAACCAATCAATAAGGGCTTACTGCATGTTGGAGGTCAAGGCCTTGTACTCATTGAACTCTTCGTTATATACCCAAAAGTTGAAGTGGTGAGGATTGTCGACCTTTACCAACTGGACCTCAATGCGTTGCTCCAACTTGATGATTGTCTCAATATCGCGACCAGGCAGTTTGTAATCAAATCGAACAGAGTCCAAAGGGTAATCGACGCCTAGAACCCGCTCGTCCTAAAACAAAATAAGCCTTTAAGTACATGATGATTAGTTACAGAATACAAATGGTTTATACCACAGCAAATGCTGGAAAGGCATTTTCATCGTCCCCATCATCGGAAGACTCATTATCAAAGAAGGGCTCTTCGGGGCCTTCAAGATCGATAACCTCCGGTGTCGTAGAATAAGATAAAGATTTGTAGTTATGCTGGGAAACGAGATCTAGCTCCTCTGATGAATTTCCTTCCTTGACAATAGTTGCTACTTCAGGTCGATGCTCCTGGTCTTCATCTCCAGAGCTAAATAGATCTTTAACCACTTCCTTAACTTCAGACTCATCTAGTTTGTTTTGCAGCTTGTCTTGGTCAACAGTGAGAGTTTCCTCCACAGTGAGGTTTTGAAAAGAATCCACAATTTCTTTGGTTTCTTTATCCAGTTTTGCATTTGCCTGTTTAAGCTTTTCAGGAGTTTGCGGTCTTTGTGGATGAACATTTTTATTTGTCAAAGACTTAGGGAGCGAATTTTCGACCTTAAGTCTCTCAGTTTCTGGAAAGTTTTTCTCCTGAAGTAACGGATTAATCTGGGGACGATTCTGTTCTAGCGGCCTATTATTTTGTGATTGAGGTGTTGAATTGTTCTGCGTTTGTGGTCTTAGAATATTCTGCGATTGGGTTCTTGAAAAATTCTGCATTTGGGGTATCGCAACATTCCGCCATTGTGGTATTGAAGCATTCTGCGGATAAGCATATGGATTAATCATCGACAGGAGATAATAATAGTACTGCAGCTGGTAGAAATTATAGAGCACCTGCCGCTGTCCGGCGCAGATCATGGCGTTAATATCGGGGTAGGCAACCGACGGGTGGGCGGGATACATAAGTCGATTGTAGTTGGGATACGAAACAGGAATGTGCTGATTTTTTGGCGCCTGATACGTTCGTGATGTCACCTGGGTAGAGCTCATTTTTCTTACGCTTTCGTTTATAAAGGTTAGATTGGAACGTTCCGAGGCAAAGCAATATTTCGGTTTGTGATGCCCTCGACTTCTAGATCTGTTGTTGGGCTTCTTTTGGCATTGCACTAGCTTTTGGATGTGCGCTGATTTGGCGGTTGCTACCGCTCTTACAAGAGCCATGGGTCCATGACCCATTACCTGGAAATTAATCGCAGTTAACGTTGTATTTGTTTGAGGTGAGGTAAGGGCATACTTGAACTGTGTCTGGAATCGAGCGGAGAAAGGATTCGGCGTCCCTGAACCCCAGATTTTGGTAGGGCACATTGCAGCCTTCTTCGCTCCGGTAATCGCGCATCAGCTTTTCGATCGTCATCTGTCCGGGTGAGGACACCACTAGCGAATGAATCACCTTCTTAACAAGGCTCAGAACACCGCGTTCCTCCATGGCTGATAAGTCCTTTAATTAACAAAAATAAGAGCGATTTTTACAAAATGTTGCTTTTTGGCGATGCAGCGCGACGCTTCGAATTGAAGTTTTCGGTTAACAGTAAACAAGGGTTGACAGGCAACAGCGAACGAAAATATCGATTAAATATGGATTCATTTTTTTTGTTACAGAATATAATGAGCTATTTTAATATATTTAACAAACGCAAATTTTTATTAAATATAAATGAATTAAATACACAATGAATATGCCCGGCAATAATTTATTTGAAAATAGATATCGATGTTTATAGAAACTTTTTATAGTGAACATCGTGTAAATTATGGATAAGACCGGGTTGCCAGATACCAACCTTAAGTTATCAACTTGCCTTACCCACAGTTAAAAAAGTTAGTAACTGAGAAAAAAACAAATAATAATTATCGTTTTACCATGTTACATGTTTTAAGATAGCAAAGATCAGAGTTGCCAGATCGATTAACACTACGTTAAGCAATTTGGCGCCACTTTCAAAACCGGTTGCGCCATATGGCGGTGTTAGCTTTCGCCTCAGTTTTTTTTATGATGTTTCTTAATGTAATTCTATACCTACGACAGACGTCCTTCCTTCTGAAACTCAAGTAGCCGAAGGAAGCTACAAGTTCAGCGTAAGTTCAAGTCACATGTGGGGCTTTGATGGAAGACCACCAACAAATGGCATGTTATTTTTTTTTTTTTTTTGTGTTGAGCTAATCTTTGACTCGTAATTCCATAGTTTTATACAAGTTTTTAGCTAGAACTTGGCCATTTAGATTTGCAATTGCGAGACGTTACAACATCCGCTTACAACTTGGGCGGTGGGCTGATAAATCAAAACTGACTAAAAACCCGCCCAAGAAATGGAGTTTTTCCGGGAAGGCCGTATACCCAGCACTTTCCACACATGACACATGAACTTGTCGGAGACAGTGGCTCCCATTAATAATTTTCACACGACCGGCAAAGGGGCCTTGTGCCATGTAAATTTTACAAGTCCCTCCTCTTCCACATTTTCCGTGTTGCGTAAGCTGATACGTTTGGGTTTTATGCAGCAGCATAATTATATTCTTTATATTGTTTATGGGGAAACAAGAACTGGAACAACGACAACAACAACTACAGCAGCAACAACAGCAGCGGCAACGTTTTTGTGGTTTTTGTTGTTACCGTTTTGGTCACTTTACAAATAGTCGAGGAGGAAAAAAGCTCGATGGGATCTCTGCAGTTGGCTATGAGCGGGTGACTTGGCAATCAAACCGGTTGTCCCTGCTCCATGGCTCTTTGGCGTCTTTGGCTGTGTTCGTGTGTGATTTATAGTTACGCACAAGCGCGCAAATCCAATTAGACGAACTGGCTGACTGGCTGGCTGGCTGGCTGACTGACTGACTGACTGAGTGACTGGCTAACTGACTGACTGGCCAACTGGCTGGCTGGCAATCCGCAGCATGGCCCGCAGCAAATGCCGCCAGGTTCGATTCGATCTGAAGATCTCGATCCGAGTTCCCCCAGGCACGTTGCCACAGTTGTCATTGGCCAAGAGCAAAATATTGGCCCAAACGACGCCATAAAATCCTGAAATTGCAGCATCAACTTAATAGATAATTTCTTTTATTGAATCTTTAATATTTTAAGAGCTTACCAACTAAAAATAAGAAACAGAATACTTTACGCCTTATCTAAAGCATAGTAGATTAAATTTATTTAAAGAATAATCAATGAAAGGTATTATAAAAGAAATTGAAATTTATAGATGAGGCTCGAACAGACAATTCATTTAGATTGAAACAGAGCAACCCTTTGATTTTCTGGTTTTTCTACCCCCTGCCGCTACCCCATTTATCTATCTTTTACTGTGGCCAAAAAGATACTATACCTACATATGGGTCGGGAGACTGTATCTGTTTTTGATGTTTACATCATCGCCGATGGCGGAACTTCAGTGGCCCGGCCACACAAATGTCGTCCGTCGTCCGTCGTCCGTCGTCCGATGTCCGTCTTTGTTGCATTTTTCGAAAATATACACATTCGGAGAGCGAAAGAAAAACGAACTGCAGCCGCGCATCTTTATCTAAAAATTGAATTGAAATGTATGTCATAATACCTTTGGCATGCCGGCCAGTTGCTTGACATTAAAAATGCGATGCTCCTCCCCCTTCCTTCGCGTCCCCTTTTGGCCAGAAAAAAAACCACATATGGCTGAATGCAAATTTGCTGCCATATGGAGCAGAAAAGCTGATGACGTCGTCGTCGTCTCACTGAAATTGAAATGCAACTCACATTTGGGCCCGCTCCTAGTTGAACATTTTGTGCTTTTCATTTGGTTTTTTTTTCGCAAAAGGGCCCTGGTGTTTGGAGGTTGCTGTTTTTATTGTTTTTATTGTTGTTGTTGGTGGTGGCGTTTCCCACGTTAAATGGGTCTCCAGTGCGATATCGCTATATCGAGATCTGGGTCCCCGTAACCGATGAGGGAGTGTTCCACACACGTTCCGCACACCTGAATGCTTTAACAGATCCAACCTGGCGACGGAATCGGAATCGGAGTCCGGATAACGAACCGATAACCTTCGGCTGATTTTTGGGGCTTTTCCTATGGAAAGTCAAGCCGGTCTACGGATTTGGTAACAGTCGCCGGACAATAGACCGAATTTGGTTGGGGCCGGCAAGGGGGAGAAAGAGCAGATTGATTGATAGTCGCGGCACATTCCAAGCTTCCCTTTGAGTGCACTGCGAGAAATTATTGGTATAATTGGTTATACAACAACTCCATTATTAGGGAACACTTTACTTCATTACCGAATGTAATATTCCGTTGAGATTACACCCAAAATGTATTTATTTTTGCATATATGGCGAGGGAAGGTCTGCATTACTCATCGCTCATATCTACTTAACTAATATTTGATGGGGAACCGCAACTTTTTACCGTGTACACCCCCTCCATAAACGTGTTTTCGCTCCCTCCCGTTCGCACTTTGCCCAGTTTGTAACGCTCTTGTGTCTTTTGCCAAAGCAAAGCAAACGCGATTGGATCAACAGGCCAAAGCGATGATTAATTGGGAATGACGACTGGAGGTGCGAACCTCCCGAGATTTTGGCTTGGGAATGGGAGATTCTCGGCGGCGGTGTGCCATGCCATTGCAGATGGGTCAGATCCAAAAACAGATCGTCTAAAATCGTTCAATGAACCAATCGGAAATAGACACAAAACCGAAGAATTATGATCGCAGTCTGGAAATAAACACCGTTGTTAAACTATGGCCATTGATTGGGCTTTGTTCTCGGCGCGGGATTCTGGCCAAGTGATATTTGCATGTTTGGGCCAACCTTTCGCTTGTACCGTTAAATCTGCGCCACTCTCTTGACACGGCCGTAAACAATGAATTAGCCAAAAGCAGAAACAAAATGCCTCATTAGCACCTGGCTTGCGTGCGATATGCGAGAGCTTTCGATTTAACGGTTTGCTCATGCCCGATAAAATGATTGAAGCCAAATTGGATTTGAGCCAAAGGGTTCAAGTTCGACTTTAATTAGGTTCTAAGCTGAAAGCAGAATCGTGTAACAAATTTAACTCTTACTTCCTATTAAAGTAGTTCTTTTACTTCCTTATTAAAGCATTGAACAATGTCTTGTAACTTTGATTCAATTTCCAGTTCCGAAATATTTTTTGTAGGTACAAATTTATCCAAGTATATAATTATAGGGTTAAAGGAGCCTTCTAAAGAATTATACCTTCATAGTCAGCCAACTCTCCTAAAAGGTTTGGAGAACATTTTTCTAAGAACCTTTTCTTTGAACCTAACCGAACTGAGCGAAACCCTAAATATGTGTTTTGAGTTCCATCAATAATCTTTCAAGTAGGTATTATTAAGTTGAACTTGTAGAAAACGTGTTAGGCATTTAACAAGTGCTGAAATTAGATCATTTAAAAAAGAATCAGATCGCTTGTTTACTTACGAGTATCTATATTATCTAGTACATTGCAAGTATGAAGCTTAAGTTGTGAAACGAAGTTATCTTTTTATGCAAAACCATATTGCTAATGCTTTTTGGAGCACGGAATCGTTGGGATATTGCATTTGGGCTGCATTTGCACAAGCTGAAAAGTTTCTTTTGGATCATGGATCATTAAGTTTCAAAACTGATTTATTTAGGCATCGTAAAAAGTTTGCTCAAATGTAATAAATATTGTTATTTTTGGTTAATTAGTTCTTTTGACGCTTTATTGGTTTTCAAACGCCCCGAAATTTGTGTTACACATATTGGGAAACCCATAAATATCCCTGTTGGCGGCAGGCAAAAACGTGCAGTTTTCAAAGAAACAATCCGCATTGTTCGAAGAAAGGTTTTTTGGTAAGGAGTTCAAGTTCAGAACCCCGGCTTCGTTGGTGGTCTTGGGTTCCATGCCTCGTCTTCTGGTTCTCCGGAGAGCACACACTCTTAATTAAAATCAACTTGCGCTGAAAATGAAAAGTGCAAACAGAACATAAATCAACTTTGAGTGAATCAGAATCAGATTCAGAATGGGAATGGGTATGAGAATGGGTATGGGAATGGGAACTGGAGTCCTCAAGATGCCCGGACCTCTGGTGAACTGGACCCAACGGCCTTGCTTATCAGCCGTTTTCCCTTGCTTTTCTCATTCGCTGGCTCTTTTGGCTGCCCGTCTTGCCACACGATCTTCTTATTCCCTTTGTTTTCTTTTTCGGGTTCAGTGTGTTTTTTTTCTGGATTTTTGTTCGGTTTTTGGCTAAGTTGCAGGCCATTTTGCCGCAACAGGTTCTTGGCTCGCTTCTTTGGCTCTCTCGCCGCGAGCCTTCCAGGCCGCTTCCCGCCCTCTCTCCCGCTTCCAGTGTCCAGAACTGGACAACGGCAACAGGTTCTGAGCGCGGAGAGAGTGCGCTCTTTTCCTCGCTCTCCCACTGAGATAAGTGACTTTCAATACGAAATACAAATATACCTGTTTGCTTTGGCTCCGCTTGATAAGAGGCTCTAACCCCCATTATTTAGCACTAAATTTACCACTGGGTCTTGGCCCCCTCTCTCTGAAACACGCACACACTCGCGTGAGTCGCAGGTAGAGCTACAACAACAGCGTCTCAAGACACTCTCTCCCGCTCTCTTTCTCCGGCTCTCAGGTGGACTGATTTCCAGCTGGCTGTTAACGTGGCCTAATCGTTGAAAACTAGGGTATGCTAGACTGGTAAGAAGGTTTGTAGCAGAGGCCGAAATCTGTCACACTTCCAATTAAGACTATAGTACATAAACCTTTTCTTCTGAAAAATACTATATCATAGAAATCGTTGCCTAGTTATTGGCGTGTACTTAGGTAAAGAAAACACATGTGGGGAATAATTATAACAGTTTTCAAAATTAAAGTCAGAAACATTTACTAATTATTTAACAATTTATTAATAAGCTAACCATCTAAGATAATTTTATGCCAAGATTAAATATGAGCAGAGTTCCACATTATGTTTTCTTATTTAACAATAACATATTCTTCTGAAAATCTCTTTAATAAGTATCTCCAAGTCGTGTGACTCAACTGCATAAAAAGAGGTCTGCGGCATTTTCGCAATCTGAGAGTTGGACAGAGCGGGAACGAGCACGAGCGATTGGAAGAGTCATTTGCGGCACAGCACACGAGCTTTGCCTGATCGTCAGTTTCAGTCTTCTTTTGGCTCTCGCAGCGTGCAGTTCGTGAAGAAAAGCGAAAAACCCAGGGAAACTCAGAGCGTTGCATGCCCCGCGTTTCGGGCTCGTGTCCGTGTACTTGTGTACCTGTGTACCTGTGTGACGCGTGTGTGTGTGTGTGCTAGCTAGCTTGTGAGTTAACAACAAAATTAAGCAACCCAAAATGCACGAAAAAATTTTATGCAGTTTCTACTCAATGAAAATGCTGTGAATAAGTTTAATTAGCTCTCAAGCTCGCGTAAAAAGCAAGAGAGAAAAGTCGTAAAAAACCAAAGAAACAACAACAATTAGTGGCCCAAAAGCACGAAACGGCATAAAAGGCGACAAAAACAAAAGGTGTCGTGTAAAAATGCGCCTGAAAAATTACAAAATTCAGCAAACATAAACAAAAATTAAAACCGTGTACAAAGATCAACCTTCGGGGCTTGAAGAATTCTTCCGCCTTAAAAATAGTTCTTGCCAGAAAAAAAAGGTTGAGTGTTGTGGCTGCTTTTGCCTTTTAGCGGGTGGCAAGAAGTTTCAGATTCTCCCTCTTCTTGATCTTCATCGTATTCTTCTGTGTCTTCTCGTTTTTTTTTTTGTGGCTGCCCCAACAAGTTTTCCCCCCGACAACAGCGATTTTTCCAACCAGTTTTTGGCGCTTGCCATTTTCCGCGCTTCAAAACTTCTGCCCCCTTCTTCGGCTTCTTTTTCTTTTCCTTCTGCATGTGAGGACTCGAAGAAAGAGTCGGGAGAAAGAGCGATAGAAAGAGACGGGGATACGGGCAAGGTGGAGCTCAAGAGCAGCTGCAAATTTCGCATGGGTCAGTTTCAAAGACGAATCCATTCCGATCTCGTTTCCATTTCTACACCTTTGGCCATAAACATGGCTTAGAAAAACCCCACTAACCTCCTCCATTAAAATTGGTGTCGGGCAGTACGTGTTTTGGATTATTTTCGACGGGCGCTGTTCTTTAAAAGAGCATTTGCGGTAAGAAACTTAATTCACAAAGCAAATGTATCTTTCAACCGAAATTGGAATTGTGGTTCGTGAAAACGCCGAAGAGGTTACATAAGCTAATGCACAGAAAAGATTGAGAGTACTTGAAGCCAAAGGTGTTTTCTTCTAGACTTGATACAGGAGTGTTAGAACTGGGAACAAAGAAGGTTGAAAAACACTAATGCAATTGAAAAGCTGATAAGGCAGGTAGAGTCAACTAAAGGAAAATAGAAGCAATTAGGTTAGCGATACAGAAAACTAATAGAACTCAACTTGAAGTGGAAAACACTGATGCTTAAGAAAGCGAAGAAATTAGGATTCTCTTGAAATGGAAATCCAATCTTAGAATAATATTACTTTATTTCTCATAAATAAATTTACATAAATTAATTAAATGTTTGCATGCACATATATGGATTGAAATAATTACTTCAGCTGTTAGACCACCGTTTAAACGATCCACTTTCGTCGTAAACAGATTCGATATAATTTAAATGCAAAGTTTGGCCTGAATTGGCCTAAACAATAACCGAAGCAAAGTCGCCAAGGCAGTGGAAAAATTTGCATAGCCAACAAAGCTGGAGGAAAACAAATTCTCGAGTGCTAAGAATTCCGAGTCAGATTCTGCCAGCGATAACGGATGATAAAGAGCCGGAGAGGCAGAAAGAAAAATAATTCAAATCCCCTTCTGCCAGGTGACATTTCTGCTCTGCACTGCAATCCAGGGAAAGTGGGCGTTGATGGGAGAATGGGCGGGTCTCTCTCGAGGGGAAGGAACCCTGGGCAGGCGTAGGGTTTCCACGTCGTTTCCCTGTGACGACTTATCAACTGTCCCGAGGGAGGAAGCGGGGATCGGGGGGATCCCATAGCATCAACATCAAATACTACTCAAGAATTTCAAAGCAAACTTGTTTGCTCAACTTGCCAGCGATTTGTGGGAGGAATGGGGGTTTGCTACACCGAAATAAAGTTCCATTAATTGTTATCTGAATGCTAGAAAATATTTGAATTTACTGCGAGAACCAATTAATAAATAGAAGAATCCGTTGAACGTAATTGATTTCTATTAGAGCAAGTAATTCACTTAGAAATATCTTCTAATATCTAATGAGCAATTGTTATTTTCCTCTGTGTAGCCAGGAAGGTAGGTAGGTGGATCTGGTGGTTAAGGTGGAGGTGGAGCAAACCGAGTTCAATACACTCGGCGACTCGGCATTCAGTGACGATCGTTTGGCGTTTTGGGTGTTTTGAACTCATTTCGAAATGCGTAAAATTTGTATTGCCTTTCGGTCATTCTTTGTGCGAGTTTCGTTTGTGAGATTGATTAAATTATAGAGATGTGTTGTCGAGCGGCAATCGGTTTGCCGATGATCTATTTAATTAGGAAGGCAAACATCCGCGGAATGCGCTTCGAGGCGACCTTGCCTTATTTGACGACTGGCTTTTCTATCTTTTCGAGTTGTCAACTTCATTGGCAACCCGTTTGTGTCTTTCTTTTCTGCTTTTTTCCTGTTGCCTCATTCCGTGGAGAGTTTTATCTTATCGGACACTGGTACCAGCTTGGCAGGCTAAGACTAATTATAATCTTATCTGTCACAACTAAGTAGTGCAAACATCAGTGGAACTGTAACCGAAACAGAAACAAAACGAAACATCACTCGTCGAGAATTCGGTTTCGGTTTTGGGATCTGAGTTCCCCCGTTTCGGTGGAGCTGTAAATTCCTCACATAATAAGCCGAAATTTCGGGAAAACAACATGCAAAGTGTTTTCCCAAATTGCGCAAAAAAAAAGGCTGTGTGTTCCCCTCGAACGATTCTCGTCTCGCGACAGCCCAGCTAAGCAAATAAACACTGGGGCAATGATATAGGGGAGAACACCGCCGGAGGAATTCAACAAGCTCGAAAAGTAACTTCCCGAGAAATTGCCATTTCATCATTATTTGAGGTAGAACGGGATGCCAAGTGGGAAAAGATTTGGCCAAGGTAAAAGCAACAGCAGTTGTTTAAGAAGCGATCAAACTTTCACGGACTGCAGGAATACTTAAGAGGAATTTCATAAGCCATCGGCGGACTTTCAGAAATAAATATTGTTCTGGGGATTATTATTTAGAGTTAATACTTGTGCTCATAAAGTTTATTTGGCCTTAAAACTATTCGGAGCCACTGCAATGAAGTATTTAGAAATTTAATTCTTAGCTTTCTTGAGTTAAATTGGTTCATTGCAGATAAAGTTTAAATTACGGGAAGTTAAACATAATAAGGTAAACTGCCTTATTAAATTCAAAAACTTGTAATCACAACAAAATAATAGCATGGTGTTCATTTCTAAAAATATAATTTCAGTAATAATAGTTCTGTAGAACTTACCTTTCTCTTTCTTTTCTGGGGTTCCTGAGTTTTACAATTTATATTTGCATTCCATAGAGTGCGAGGAATTCGCTAAGCAAATGTTTGTGCCCCATACCACTTGTGGATATCTGTATCTGTATCTGTATCTGCTGCCGTCGTACGGCAGATACTTTCCACCTTGGGCCAGCATCTCGGCGGTGGAAGTGATAAGCGACCAACGAACGACCTTGTTCCCGAAGCCAACGACCTTCGGGGCTCGGCAAACCAATTACAACTTGGCCGGCAAACAAGAGATGTAGCATCCTGCTGCGAGATTGTGATCTGGGATCAAGGATGTGGGTTCTGCGATCCGAGATCCGAGATCCGAGATCCGACGGAAGTAAGGTGGAACAATTGTCGGGATCAAGGGATCTGCTTAGGTAGTTGACAGGATCATAAACAATTGCCGCTCGAAGAATGAGTTTCCAATCTGCACTCTCTCCCTCCCTTTCTTCGCGCGCTCATGCTGTCTCGCTCACACCGCATGGGGTTTTTTTCGCGAGGGTTTCTTCTTCGCTGTGTGGGTGCATATTCATTTGCAACTACCAAGAAGCGCGGCTTGGGAATATTTTTTTCCCATTTATTTTGCCATCTTTTCGTTATTTGCTGCAAGCGAAGCGCAGCGGAGCACTAAAGAAAGCGTTGAACTTGCCGCAGGTTGCAATTGCGCCGATGTTGCCAGGCCCTTTTTTGCGGAAATCCAGCGAACGAATTACATTTAATTGTAAATTTATGCGTCTGCTTCCGTCCCCCGATTTTCCCCGCCCCCTTTTCATCCCACGATACTTCTTTCACTTTGGGCTTAGTAGTTTGAATGCCGCGCGATCTTCACCTTTGTGTGAATGTTTCTGCAGCAGGTTGTGTTGTGTTGTGTTGTGTGGTGTGAGAATCGACAACATTGCAGTGAGTCGACAATGTTGCAAGTGCACGGGGGAAAATCTATTGAGCGATCAAAGCTTTGTCTTGAATAAATAGGATATTATTTTTTAATGAGAAAGAAGAACCAAACCCTTTTGAATTTTATATAATAGGAAATATGGCAAATGACCGCGATATAATTTATTATAAACAACAATTATCTCATTTTGCTAAATTGGTTTGACATCTTTGTATAATTTAGTTTCAAGCTCGTATTTTCCTAGATGTTTTGTACTACCAAATTGAGATGACAATCTGGTTTATATTACACGTAAAGCCCTGGATTTTTCCCAGTGTCTCTGGCAAGCCAAAAAAGCAACGGCAGCCTTGCCAACACCTCCGCCCAGGTACATAATCATAACACATAACCGGGCAGGTAACAACTTCCATTCATCTCCGTGGCTGCTTTGTTACGCTTGTTAGTAGCTGACACTACACTCCGGATTTACGACGACCTTTGGGCCCTCTTTGCATGCTATCAGCCAGTCAGCCAGTCAGGCTGTCAGGTATCTCACTGCATCTCAATCTCGAAACCCTCTTTTTTTTTCGGAATACCGACCAACCGACCACCTATGCAGCGGGTAATATTTGGCAGATACTTTTAGGCTGATAAGCAAACACTTGTCGGTGAAGTGGAAACAGGGGTCACAGTTCATGAAAAGAACCGAAGGTTGCCAAAACAATATCCCAGTGATTTACAGTCCCTTCAAGAGAATCTCGCTGCGGAGATTAAGATATAAGATATCGGCAGTCAATAGGAAACGGCTTGAAAACGTATTTAATGCGCTGTTTTCTTTGGTCGTACAAGTATCTTCCTGGATCTAGCGAACATTGTTGTTAATAGAGATCAGTGCGGGGTTTTAGCCATTGGTGACCTCGCCATCGATTGGCTGGCAATAAAACCCGTTCTGGGGACTCGAACTGGGAGCTGCTAACTGGGGATTGGAACTGAAAACAGAAAACTGGGAACTGGGAGCTGGGAGCTGTATTATTGGGACTGCATTCGTTGGCCGGGGTGTGTGTGCTCATTTCGCTGGCGCCACTCCGATTTTGCATGTTTTCCGCAATCATTTTTTTTGTCATTTTGCATTTTGAGGTGGAATTTTTATGGCCAGCAAAAGTGTCTAATTTCGCTACGGAAAACCGAAAACCAAAAAGCGAAAAGCCACTTCAACGGCAACAGCAATCTACATGCTTGTCGACAAGACAGACACTCTCGGAAATGGCCCAAAATCGAAAATCTCTTTTCGGCGACGTTGAATTCTACCCAAGGCCATAATTAACAAATTGGTGATTAGCCGGAAAGCTCTCTTGGCCGAAAGCCGGGAGTCCGGGGGGCATGAAAGTGCATTTAGCAATGTCATTGCACTCCTGGAGCTGCAACTTCAGCAGATTTATCTGCCACGTACTTTGCCCCCATCCCGAAAACAGGCTTCCTCTTTGGGGGCTTCTTGCCTGGGCCTAGGTCTTCTGCTCCTACACAGGGAGAAAATGTGTGCTAGCTTTAAATATTAAAATGGTTTAATCCGAGAAGCCTCTTAATACTTTTTATAAATGATTCTGAACAAAAAGTGAGGCAGTAAAAAACTCAATAATATATCAATACAATATTTTATACAATACAGTATTTTATTTAATGATTTCTTCATGTGCTTTTATTTATCATCTGAGTTTACAAAAATGTACTGCTGAGGTTTCTAATAATTATTTAGCAAGTCATGCAAATGGAATTATTCAAAGTACGTTAAGTTTTGCTCCTGATACTGAAAGGACTATCTTTCGGCGAGTGTAGCTGGGTCTTGGTTTTGTGTCTGGGTTTGTCAACAAGCCTGGCAGAATCCAGTTTTGGCCTAGGAGCCGCAGTCGAAGTCGAAGTCGAAGTCGGAGTAGGAGCAGCATCAGTCGATGGCGAAGCCTCTGCAGTTCCAATTCCAGTTCCAGTTCTTTGGGCCGGCGATGCAACATCAGCAGCAGCAGCAGCAGCAGCAGCAGCAGCAGCAACAGCTCATAATTATGCATTAAACACTCGAAGTTTACGGGCCAGAAGTGGCAGCTGCAACTGCGGCTTTAATGGACATCAATTTGCATGGAAACCATACAGAAAACGATGACATTTGAAAGAGCCAACTGCGTGGGCCTTTTCTGCTATATGCAATATGCTATATGCTGTCCGAACCGAACCGAAACGGAACGAAACTAAACGAAACGAACGAAATGCAGTCGCCAAATCGCATTTGAAAATGCACAACAAAAACTTGTTTATTGGCTTAGACCCCTTAGCGTCGCCTCACTGCATAATTTCCCTCTTTTCCTCTCGTCTCGTCTCGAATTATATCGCATCGTCTCGTGGGTCAATGTTATGTAAACCTGGTTCACTTTTTTTATACATGCTCGTATATATTTTCTTCGTTTTTTTTTTTTTTTTCGTATTTTTACCACACACATAATACGCTCAACTTATTACACAAAAACCCAAATAACTCAACAAATATTTACGGACGCAGTCAACAGAAATCGATTCAATTTTCCTCCCCGCCTCTTGCACTCTCTCTATCCCTCTCTCTTTCCCGCTGGTGTATATCCCTGTCTCTTTCGATCGGCGTCTATGTGGATTCGTCTTACTGGTTTTGGCTGCACTGCATTCCAAAGATGCGAGTTGCGGACCGGACCCGATAACAGAAATAAAAGTGCAAAGCAGCCACATCCAACGGCCAACCAACACGAAAAAATGTCGCCAGACCAAATTAAAATAATTTAACACATATAATTTCGTGTATTTTTCGCTTACATCATAACTCTTGTCGAAAGGTGGCCGAAAAATGAGATTGAAATGAAAATCGGGCAGCTCTAATCGCAAAATAACATCAGCACAAAAAAAAATGAAGGGGGAACAAGACTCTAAAGCAACTCCTGGCCTAAAAAAGTAAACAATCTCTGGTGGCTTACATATTTTTAAGATAGATTAGTGTACTGGTTTTGAAACAAGTGTGAAAGTAAATGTAAAGCGAACGTTTTATTCGGTGAAGAACGAATTATTCCGCGATTTAACCCACCATAAACCCAAATCACTTGCTGATATTATCAACTTCATAAACCTTGTCTGTCTGACCCTTCTCAAAGGTGGCCGAAAGATGAGATTGAAATGAAAATCCGGCAGCTCTAATCACAACAAGCGATCGTCAACGACAACAACAACAACAACAGCAACAGCGAAAAGAGACCGAAAAGAAAAACTAAATGAAAATGCGCAACCACAAGGAAAACGGAAACGGTGGCTCCGAAGTGAGCGAGCCAAAGGCGGCCGGGCAGAAAAGCCTGGCCAAATTGGAGCCGGAGAACAACAATAAGATTTCGGTGGTGTCCAAGCTCCTGCTGAAGGACAGCAATGGGGCCAACAGCCGGAGCAGCCACTCCAGCCACACCAATAGCAATGCCAGCTTCAGTTCCGCATCGATTGCCGGTTCTGTACAGGTAAGTCTCTATCCCCCCTCTCTTTCTCAGTATATCTACCCCTCTCCCTCTCACACTCACTCACTCACTCTATCTCTGTGTGTTGGCCAACCGGTTTCGTATTCGGTTTTCTTTTCTTTCGACCGTCTGACTTGTGGGCTTCTTGTTTTTATTATTCTTGTTAATAAATCCTCAAAAGCGCGCAGAATTCCAATCGCCCTCAGTGACTCAGTGACTCAGACCCGCGGCCCCAAAGAAACCCGGCTCTTTTCGGTGGGGAACTGCTCTGATCGCTTGAAATGAAACAAAAGTGAAGGCTGGATAATAAATACGGCGGAATACAAAGCAAACAAATGAAACGCAACGAATCGGAGCCGAAAAGCCCACGCACAGTGGGTTTGGAGGTCTGGGAATTCGATTTTCGATACTCGAACGGACCACTGCAGGTTCCTAATTGAATTATGGCTCTGACCTCCATTTGCATTGCCCAACCCCGGGAAGTTTCGTTTTCGATACTCCACATCCAGCTTCCCATCCACTTTGTGTCACTCAGTTGACCAAAAAACCAAAAAAAAAAAAAAAAAGAGAGATAACTTTCGGAGGAACGGTACATTTACCACTTGGCCAGCTTTGTTTATTATTTTTTTTTTTTTTGGGGTTCATCGGGGGAATCCGTTGATCGATCAGGCGAACGACCACTCCCCATCGCTCCTCCTGCTCCTCCTCCGCAGGATGAGAGTTATTAATTGGACAACTGGCCATGAATGAAGCCGTAGGAATGTCGACTTGCGTGTGAAGTGGTTTTCTTGCTGCCAAATGAATGAATGAGTGTCTGTGTTGTTTTGATGCCTTTTTTTTCTGCTTATGCGATAAAGTTGTGGGGATTGATAAGGAAGCTGTACAAATGTGGCTCAAGGTGCGGTTCTAAAAATAAAGAGGTTTGCTAGCCATTTTCAATGTATCTTGTGAGGGGTGGTCATAAATCTACTAAAACAGCTTATGAGGAAATATGTTTAAAATAATTTAAAATCAGTAAACTTGGCAAAATCTGACAAACAAATTTTGACCATCTCCGAATTGAAAAATGTTATTTCACGATACTTAGGAATTCCAACAAGCATTTAGAAACATGCCACTTTGGAATCGGATCAAAATTGACAATGCTATGGGTTCTGGAAATCCAGTTTTGAATCACTTCTAAAAAATCCATTGCAATTTTGGAAAAATCTGACATGAACATGGGTCAAAATTTCGACCACCGTAAAATGAAAAATTTTGAATGCAGGATGCAAGGATGTAAGGATGCGACTACCAACGTTTAGAGATATGCCACTTTGGAATCGGATCAAAATTGACTAAGTTATGGCTTCTGGAAGTCCAGTATTGCGTCACTTTTATGACAACAATAGGAAACTAGGAAAAATCTGACACGAACAGGGGTCAAAGCATCGACCACATTACATTTCAGTTGCTTAAAATGAAAGTAAGCTTGTACATATATATAATACAAGTTATATATCTCAGCTTTTCGCTTATTAAATACTAGTGTCTTGTGGTGCCTCGCCTCGCATAATGGAATAATTACTTTTAATGATTGCTTTGTGGCTGCTAAATTCCCAGAATAGTTTTGGATCTTCCACTTCTCTTTTTGGTTGCCCCCAATGATCCCATTCTCCCATTAGAGACACAAACAAACACACGAGTACATATAGTATGTGTCCGGTTCTGTTTGATTTGCCCCGTCACCCATTAACCTTAACTGAATTATTGTGAGCCAGGGCCGCTATGTAATCCCATTGGCCGCCATTCGATGCTCCACTGTGAATGCCACACATTGTAAAATGGATTGGTTTGCGTCTAAAATGCAAAATAATTTACCAAATTAACGGTACCATTATCAACAGCGACGATCCGATCAATCAAAGTGAATCCGATCAATTAAATGTTGCCTCCGAGCGTGGCACAAAGAGTCGAGGAAAGCGAGAAGAGAAATGGGCGAACGGAGGAAAAGAGGTTATGAACAGAACGGACCAGAATGCTAAGAACATAGATCGTAGATGTTGGTACACTTTAAAAAAATGGGTAATATTGGAAACTTAGAAATGTTAACTCAAAACAGATTGCAGATTGTAAAACATAAAATAAAAATTATTAATGTTGGAAGTAATTAAATAATAAAATAATAGATCCTGTTCTTATAAACATATTTGGGTTATGATGATTTTTAGGAGTGATCTATATACTTCTTATATTAAAACCCAATCAGTTCTCCCATATTAATCTCTAGTTTTCCCCAGTGCAGCTGATCGTGCTGATGATAGCTGGGCGAAGTTGGAGAAATGTGGCTGAGAATTGGAACAGCATTGACCTTATCACCGAAAGCTCCGTCTGCAGGGGGCTGTTGATTAATCATCGCCATTCTTAATTGTGGCCCCATCTTCATATGCCGATTGTTATCATCTCCGCGCCTTCCTCTTCGGCTTTTGGCTTTGGCTTTGGCGAAATGGCCAGAGATATAGTGTGTGCTTTCCATAGCCTTTGGGCCTGGCTTAGAAGCTTAGAAAGAGAATGGCCGAGCCATGGCGATGGATCGATAGATGGATCGATTCGCGGATCGATGGACGATGGTGCAGGCAGGTTATTGAACCGCTTTATTCTCGGGCATTTGTAACGTTTTACGTTTTTTTCATCTTTTACCCCGTATATACGAGTATATTTCGAGCTCTTCCACAAACGCTAATTACTGGCGAGGCGCACGCTTTAGTTCCAGTTATTAGACAAGACTATCCAGCTGGCTTCTAACTCGAGTACTCTGAGTATACTCGTACTCATACTTGTACTTATACTCGTAGTTGTACTCCATCCATTGATGGTGGTCGCGAAACAACGCCCCGTCGATCCTCGGAGCTTAGAACTCGTTTTCGGGGTCTGGCTGAGATACTTTTGCATCGATTAGGCCACATTCCACGCACCTATATCGCGCCGCTGGGCGTTGCAATCTCTTCGGGCGGCTATTTATAGCTGCAATCGAATTAATTGTGGCCACGCCCCACAGCGTTAGTGCCGGAATCTCTCTGACAAAACAAACTGTAATGGGCCAACTTGGTAATGGTTAATGGTTGGTGGGCAATGGGCAGAAGGTAGCATAATGGCCAGTAGGCAGTGGCCGAATCGCTTGACGAAGGTCGTCGCTGTCCATTCTTCAAGTCTTCTTCTCTTCTTTGCTTTAGATGAATGCGCAGATTTCTAAAGAAAAATATTTTGGTTATACTATATATGTTAAGATTTTTTCCTCTCTTGTGTTTTTACTTTTTTGCCTCACAGAGGTTTTTTCTATCTTACTTCTTTTTTTCTGTCGAATCAGCCGAAGCACTTGACGCTGCACTGGAATCTTTTTGTTTGGTGTGGTATATGGTATATGTAACTCGGTAAAGTTCAAGTGTTTGTTGGGGCTAAAGCTGAATAGCGTGAGCTGATCAGTTGGAGCCAGTGGGGCACCTTAATCGTCGCTTCATTTCCGCGCCGAGCTTTCCTTTTAGCTGCGGAAATGATCGCATATTTCGCCAAAAGAGATCTCGGGAAGCCGAACTAACCCATCGAGTTGCACAATTAGGGTCGACAAAGCGGTTTGGTCTACATTTTAATGGTTAGCTGTTTAGAGACTCGAAAAATTATAAGAAAAGTATATTTTTATTCTTGCGAAATATTTGTGGCGCCCCCGGGATGACATTCTTTTAACTGTATTTGTTTTTTAGAACCTATACAACCTTTTCTGAACATTATAAATTTTCCAAATTATATATAAAAATAAGGCAACTGTTATATTTTTATTATCTTTCTACCTTTTAAATCGTATGAATTTGTTTTTTTTTTTTTGGTATGAGAAGTAGAGAACATTTTCTTGTCATTTTCCCATTCTATTATAATTAGTGCAAGAGTGCCCCTCCATCGCTGTTCGCTGGCATTTCCTCGACCTGTCTTCTATTTCATTTTCATTTCCAATGCCTGTCGAACGCTTCAAGCTCAGCTCGCTTCAAACTCGGCTCAGTTCGGTTCAGCCCGGCTCTTAACGCTCATTAGTTCTCTAAGTCCGCCAGTCGCAACTATCGACTTGTTTCTCACACACCACACAACACACGCCACATAGGAGGCTTGAGCTCTGCAATTAATTAATGCCAACAGTCCGGCAGCAACATCAACAGCAGCAGCAACATCACCACCAGCAGCAGCAACAGAAACAGCAGCAACTTGAGCAAAAAGCAGCAACAATGCCGCCTGCCAGCGCTAAATTCTAGCCAGATTCCAGTTAAATTGTTTTGGTTGTCTTTGAACTCGAACCGCCGGCTTTTTAGCTCTGGCTTCTTCCCTTCTCGCTGTCGATGGTTTGCATTTTTTCAGCAGAAAGAAATGAAAAAATATAACAAATAATTGTGCTGCTCTTGCGACAGGTGCACACAACACAACACTCCTTCATGTGGCATTCTGGCATTCTGGCCCCGGAAAAATGTAGTGGAAAATTTCACCTATGTCGCTCCGCTTGCGGAATCCATTGTTCCGGGCCCGGATTGGATGCTCGGCTCATTGTATTCGTATGCACTTCTTCTGGCCAACGGGCATGAAGATTTCTTTATGAGCGCGCACTGCCTTAATTAATTAGCGGGCCAAGAGTGAAAATGCATGTGGCCAGGTGCCGTTGGCTCTCCTTTGCTCTTCTAGCCAACTTCGATTTCGTTTTCCGCTTGGAGCAGCTCCAAGAGCTGGCTTCTTTTTTGTTGTTTTTTTTTGGCTAGTTCTTGAACCCACACGAGCAAGAAATTTCACTTTTGTTTCTCCTCCAGCAGCGGCAGACAAAGCGACATTCGAGCCACGAAAACTTTTGAGGTCAACAGCGAGAAGCGGAGACGCAGACGCCGAGAGACTCGTTCCCATTTGCCGGAGATTCGGAGATTCGTTGGCCGTTTTGGCCAAAAGTGGCCGCAAGTGAAGTCTGTGGCTGGACCCCATCCATTGAAATTCTTGCCATCGAACTGCGCGATGGTAGCTCTCCGCAATTTAATGCCAACTTAGAAGCCTCGAGCTCGTCAAGCGCCGACTTGCTGACTCAGAAGACAGCTGCCCTTTCGATCCAGTTGCAATTTGGCCGAAAATAAACATGATTTGCCATTTCGATTTTCTGTGTCGTCATCCGCGAGGATCGAATCCTCAGCGCTGGAAAAACAGAAAGTGAGCGAGTGAAAGATTTTCGGCTTTCTAATTGGATCTGTGTGCTGGTGACGATTTCTCGATTTTCTGCGATTTTTGGGTTTCGGTTTCCTCCGGCGGCGCGGCAATTCGCCTGGTCAGTGGGGCTTGGCTAATTAAGGGCCTCGCAGCAGGGCTAATTATGGCAAATATTTTCCATCGGCATATGTGTGAAAGTGAGTCCAAGAAGCGCAAAATGGGAACCAAGAGCCAAGATCAGACAGCAAACAGCAGACAGCACTCTTGGCTTCATCCGCACAGTTTTTGGTTGCGCTCCGCTGCTCGAACTAAACAAAGTCGGCCCGAACTGGATATATATGCATATATAAGCTGCGATATGTGTACGTACGTGCTTGTTCCTCTGACCTTCTGGAGCTGGCATTCTCCCGCATCTCGAGAACCAGTTGGAGTTGCAGCACTGAGAATTTGAATGGTTCTATAGTATGTAAATAAAATGGAAGCTTTTTTTTTATTGAACCCTGACAAAATGCATTACATTCTATATGAGAAATATGATATTAATAGTTGGCAATTCCAATCAAATTCAAATTTGTTGAGGTAATCAATCAGAATTATTATTGCTCTTTGTGATTACTTTAGTATTTTCTGAATATAGATCCAAATGAATTCCAGCATTTTTCTCTGTGTATCTGGGCAATTTATTTGTTCTTGTCGCAGGCTCCTTTTTGGCCAGGCCCGTTGAGGTTGAGCTGCGTTCCTCGGTTCCTCGGCTGGCCATGTTCGTTCTTATTTGCTGCACGCCTGAAACTTATCACTGGCCATAAATCTAGCCGCATGCCAAGCGGGGCCAAGTCGGCATACCAGACCGCTGGACACGATACGATACGAGCCGATACGATGCGATACGTGGCTAGTGGATGGATGCCAGTGGCGCCAAGTCCAGTCCCAGACCCCACCAGACCAGCCGAGAGACCAGGCCAGACCAGACCAGACCAGAATACACTAAACATGGCCAGTGGAGGAGATTCGGTGGACCAGTTGCCATGCCATGACCATTACCAGTTCTCGCTGACTTGGCAGCAGTTTCGCCAAAGTTATTAACGCCACAAGCGGCCATTGAGGTCAAGGATGCCGCGGATCCTGATCCCCGGCATAAATCCATTTCACCGCATTCACCGCATTCACCGCATTCACGGCATCATTGCATAAACCCATTCGCACTAATGAGACTCACCCACCGCGAGCTGCCAGAAATTATTACTAATGAACCGCAGATTCACTTTCATCGGTGTCCCACTTAAAGGGATTCACCGCCAGTCGACCAGTTGTATGGTTTTTTGGTTTTATGGCTGCCCGTTCGTCTGGCTTCCCGAATGTCCCACTGTCCCACTGTCCAGTTGTCCAGTTGTCCGGTTGTCCGGTTGTCCGGTTGTCCGATCACTTGACAGCTGGCGAAAGGAGTCGAAATCGAAGTGCCAGACGTCATCGATGCGGCGTCCCGGCCTTTCCCCGCCTTTTCCCGCTTTTCCCCAACTTTCCCCGAAAGTGTGCGGCTCGTCGGGACCTCCGAGAGCTCTTGCCACTTTGGTTTTGGCCCGCAAAGCCGAGAGCTACGCAATCTGCGGCGGTGGAAACGGCGAAATAAGTATTCAAGCTACCGGCCATTGAACAGTGGTTAAAAAGGAGTATCTCGTGATTGAAAATGGGTCAACCAAACATTAAGTGGAGTCTTCAGAAACTGAAGAGGAAGTAAACATTTTAATGGGAGATTATTATTTTTATCTTACGTTTAAGGAGTTATAAATCTTGACATTATTATTTAGAATGGGAGTTACTTTAAACTTTTGCTTTAAACTATTTTAACAATTCCGAAAAAAATATGTTAAGTGCGAGATATAAACTAAGCTACAGCTTATTTGGTTTTTTTTTTTTTTTTTATTTTTATTTTTTTTTTTTAACGCGCGTAGTCCCACGGCCCACTTGCGTTAAAAAAAAAAAAAAAAAAAAAAAAAAAAAAAAACTAAATAAGCTGTAGCTTAGTTTAGGAGTTCGTTATTTATTTCCGAAATGTCTGTTCTCTTTTATATAATATTTTTTACTGATCCCTGTTCAATAAGTATTGTTAATCATTTATTTGTAATAAGGTTAACCAATGTGCGACCACTTTTGGCCTGGCCCGCACTGCCGTTTTGTGACTGTGTCCAATTTGGGCGCAGATTGACAGCGATATGCGTTTAATTTGACGATAAATGGCCAATATAGCACGCAAGCCAACTCGAGGGGAACTCCAGGCGGGGTGGGAGGGGATTGACACAAAGGACTCCGAGTTTATTTTTTTTGGGGCTCTGTGCAATTCAATTCTAATGCTCGAGGCCCGCGGGCTTCTCAGACTCCGACTCGTTCGTGCTCTCGCCAATTGCCAAATTCAAATCCAAATCGCAGCACGATCCAGCTGAAGCTAAAGCCAAAGCCAAAGCTGAAGTTGAAACTGAAGCCGAGAGGTTGAAGCTGGAGTTGAGTTTAAATTTGAATCTGAATCTGAATCCGAAACTGAAGCTAAAGCTCGGCCACGTTGGCAACTGACACGTTTGCTCGCATTTTGATTGCAATTTCTTTTCTTTCGGACGGACGACTCTCCGCTGGAAAGAGTCAAATTCGTGTTGGCCATTAAAAGCCAGCGACAATGGAAAACGCAAATCAAAATAGCTCCGGCTGAGAAATTTACAAATTTTCCTCACGAAATCATTGTGGCCAAACCGAAAAGGAAAAAAAATTAAACTGATCGGAGACACGAAAATCTCCAGTTGACTTGCATTCTCGCTGCGAATTCCGCATCTTTTGCGAGACATGTGGGCGGCTGTCAATCTGTCTTAGTCTCTCTTTCTTTTTCGTTTTCCGTCTCCTTCCCTTTCGCTGTTGCTGTCTCCCTCCATCGCATGGCTGTCTCTTATCACGCGACGGAGAACGTCTGACAGTCTGACTAACTGACCTTCTTGGGGCGAATGAGTCAAGCGCTCCGTTGATAGCCAGCGAAATTCGCAAACAAGTCTACCGAATGCAATCCAAAGAGTCTGACTAATGCCAAACAGTGGAGCTTCTATAAACGCAATTTGCTTATCTAAAGATATTTATATAACATCTGCTTATGTGAACACTTATTAAAACATTATAAACAACGGTTAACAGTTTGATTTAATCCCAAAAAAAAAAAAATTAAATTAAGTCAGTTGCTTGGAAATTCCCACTAATCGTTAAAATCGAAATAAATGATGTATTGCATACTCCACATTTTTCAGACACAATCCATCATTTTGTCAGTGGTAACTAAAAGACCTAGTTAAAATACTATTAAAATATTTTCATCAACTCGGAGAAAGATATATTATATTTCTTATTTATTCAATACTGTCAATGACTGTCTCCTGTAAAATAATCTTTTTTGGGGAGAAGGGCAAACAATTTATATGAACCGAAACTGTTCACCAAATAAATATTCGCTCTTGGCATTTGCTTTACCTTAAATGTGACTTTTATCCCGCTAGGCTGACCTGGAGGGTTTCCTCTTTATTGATATAATTTTAATGGTTCTACAGATATTACGCATACGCCCAGCTGACCGCAGTCACCTTTCCCCAGCGGTTTCCCAGGCAATTTGCCCGGCTTTTCCTGCTGGCGGCAACTGCGAGCACTTAGCACAATTCATCAAGTGATTTATTTAACACGCGCCGAACTTTCGGACGGAAGTTTGATTTCGCCCGTGGCACGGGATCATTAAGAACCCCACTCCATCGAATCCAGTGGATACAGTGGATCCATCGCATCCAGCGGATCCAGCTGTGACCCACTGCACCAGTTTGGGTCGCCGTCTTCGGATGGGTTTTCCATCCCGGACCTCAGCCCTGGCCATTGATTTATGGTGCTGCCGGAGCTGCTCATCCAGAGCAATTTCACATGGGCGCACAGCTGTGGCCGATAATTATGGGTTTTCGGCCCGAAAGGTTTCTCTAGGAATAAAATGGGCCAAAACAACAGAAAAACAGAAAAAAATGGTTGGAAAACGGCGAAGGCAAAGTAAAGGGCCCCGTGGGACAGTTGCTGATTTAAATTCGTGTTAGAGAGACAAAATAATTACGGCAATTGGACAGGAGAAAAAACCCAAAACCGAAAACCCAGGCGAACTAAACTTAACTGAACTGAAATGCTGAAATGAAACTGCACGACGATCGACTGACTGACTGACTGAATAACTGACTGAGTGACTGACTGGCTGAGTGAGTGAATGAATGACTTCACTCTTGGATCTTGGAGTCTTTGAGATTTGGTCTTGGGAACATTCGGAGAGTGGCTCGGAACCATTAAAATTCTTGCCGATGCGCCCAGGGCAAAAACCAAAAAAAAATAAAATAAAAAGAAAAACAGTCAAGAAAAAACCGAAATTCAAGCCGGAGAGGGAGAAACAAACCTCAGACCTAAGTAGTTGACCCAGAAAACGATTCTATTGCATATCGGCAACTGTCAGTCATGTGATTCGTTATTATAATCATTATATGTATTTGCCATTAAGCATTTATGATTTTCTGATTTATTTCAGCTGCTTTTGTGGCGCCAAAGTCAAAAGACAATCAGCAGCAGCTGCCCACGTAGCTACCAGCTAAAGTATTTATATATATATATAAATATATCTTTAAAAAAAAGCCCTCCACAATCCCCAATCTCAATGCAATCGAGACTTGAAGCCAAGTCAGTCAAGTGGCTTAAGGCTTGGTCTTGTAACGATTCGTTTTCATTTTCGTTATTCGTTATTCGAGCGTTAGTTTTATTTCCATTCGACTTATATTTTTTCCCCATGTGTTTCGGCTTTTCTGCTCGAGTATTTACAATTCGATTTGGCTTACGAGAGTCGCAGGCGCAAACATCCAAAAATTAAGTATACGACACGAGGGCTGGCAAGCAAATTGACTTGATGAGCTGACGAGAGGTGGCAAATTTCGGGTTGAATGCGGCTGAGTGGGAGTGTCATAAACTGTGATCACTTCGCTTATGAGTGGCTGGCAGTAAAAACAGAAACTGTGACTTGTGCTATTAAAAGTACACCTTTTTAATTGATTTTATGATTTCATGTTGTACAAAGTAAAAGTATGACTTTGGTTTTATTTGGGCTAGGCAATTTCTCACTTCAAATAAATCGTTTTGTTTATCTATGCAATTAATCAATAGAGAGATTAAACAATGATTACTATATCAATGTGTTATTAGCAAACTCGTATAAATCAATAAAACCCAGCTGATAGCAATAAATGAAAAGAAAAGTATACAAACTAATTAAGGAAAACGTGTGATTCACTCTGTTTGTGAACGAGCGATGATTCGAAGAGATTACTAACCGAACTACTTCCTGTTTGCTCCAGACTGCGTCAATATGTAATCTCTTTTGGGTTCAACGGCTTTAAATATTTGCTTGCCAGAAATGTGAAATACCCGTGAATTCAGCTAACCAAATCACTGTTTACCCAAGACCGAAAACCCAAACCCAAGCCCAAGCCCACCAGTGATTATGTTATTGATTCGCTGGACTCTTTTTCGGTAAGCAAATTTTCACCCAATCCAGTGAACTTGATCACCGAATCGCGACTGGAAGGCTGGGAGCCCTGCTCATGTGGCTCCCCTCGATCCCACAGAAATCCACTCGATCCGCTCGATCCGCTCGCCTTGTGCACACCATTACTTAATCCGGCTTATTATGGACGCTCCGCTTGCCGCTTGTGTCTGCATCCGTCGGTAAACCATTTCCCCTCCCCCTCCCCCTTTTCCCTCCCCCTTTGGGTTCCCTCCCACAAAAGTAAGCCCACTGCTGGTTATGTACATAATATATATTTGCTGCTTTGGCAACATCGCAAGTTTCGGCTGTTGCCGCTGCACTTCAAAAAATGTTTGCTCGCCGGCAATTGCATTGCCTGCACTGCAATAATTTCCACTTAATTATCTAATGAGCGACCCAAGTCGAAGAAAAAACAGTAAGAGAGACTCAATCTCCGACGGTCTATTGTCGAATTTCTTTGTCTGGCCAAAGCCAAAGTTAAAGCCGAAAAGCCAAAAAGCTTTGACCGTAATTATGGCCACGGATCATTTGCAAATGTGAGCTATCTGGTCGCATAACTAATGATTAAACCATTTAAATGCCCCGGACTTATGCAACGTCTCGATTTCTCTTGTTTTGCAGGATGACATGCCGCTCCACCAAAACAGCGGACAGATGGGCAGCCAGCACCACCAGTCGATGGACCAGTGCGGCCTGACCCAGGCCGGACTGGAGGAGTACAACAACAGGTCCTCCTCGTACTACGACCAGACCGCCTTCCACCACCAGAAGCAGGCCTCCTATGCCCAGTCCGAGGGCTATCACAGCTATGTGTCAAGTTCGGATTCCACGTCGGCCACGCCATTTCTGGATAAGTAAGTTGTCGCGGAAAGCCAGGGGGAGCACACTCTATTTGGAGTGCACAGAGAAAAATAATGCCTTAAAAGAGAGAGAATTGGTTGAGAGTTTACAGTAAACGAAATTAAAACTATAAGCTGATTCATTTACTTTAAAAATGAAAGGAACTTCACCTTCTTATTAATCTTACCTTTCCAATAGTTAAAAAGATAATGATAATAGAACATCGAAAACATAATCCTTTTCTTAAATGTAATGTAGAACTTGAAATGGCTAATTTTCTTATATTCCAATGAAAAGCAAAACTTTTTTCTATATCTTTTACTATCTGTTCCCCCCATTTAATGATTAAATTTCGGTGTAATTTTCTCGCCGTGTGGCTGCATTGCAAACACGTTTTTCCTCGCACATACTCGCATCAAATGCCGAACGACAATTATGAATTTTATTTGTACACTAAAAAACGCCATAAAAAATTCTTGGTAACGCAAACACATGAGATACAGATACAGCCGCCGTTGGAGCTGAGAAATACTAGTAAAACCGAAAACGAGCAGCTTAAGCTCGCCACTCTCAAGGTCTTCTTGGCTCCGTCTCCGGTTTTAGATCTATTTTCTGTCTGAATGTCTGTCTGTCTGTCTGTCTGTCTGTCTTTCTGTCTGTCTGTCTATCTGTTGGACTATCTGAACTTGCCCCAAGTACCGAAGAGAGTCCGCTTGTGGCTCTATTGCCCGATCCGAAGGCTAAGCGAGAAATTCAAGTAATTGCGGCCATGCGAAAAGCAGAAAACCAGAAATCGCAATAGCAATCGCAAATTTCTGTAGCACGCAATGATTTGCCAAAAAGAGCCCAGTTCGAGATACTTTTAACTCGGACTTTAACTCTAATGCGGTTTCCACTGCCCAATGGCTGTTGTTCTATTTGCAGATTACGTCAGGAGAGTGATCTTTTGTCGCGGCAATCGCATCACTGGTCGGAGAACGATCTCTCCTCCGTTTGCAGCAACTCCGTGGCGCCGTCGCCCATTCCGCTTTTGGCCAGTCGCCAGTCGCACTCCCATTCCCATTCCCACTCGCACTCGCATTCGCACTCCCATTCCCATGGCCACGCCCACCCATCCGCCCTCTCATCCAACTCCAGCAACAACAATACAAACGGCAATAGTAACAGCAACAACAATAACAACAACAGTTCGGAGAGCACTTCCTCCACGGAAACCCTCAAGTGGCTGGGCTCCATGAGCGACATTTCCGAGGCCAGTCATGCCACCGGCTATAGCGCCATCGCCGAATCGGGTAAGTCTTTACCACCGAGAAGAGATATAGCCAAGATTGTCAATAAGTAGAAACTGTATGTAAGAGATCAATTCAAATAAAGTACAAGTTAATTTCGTGTGTCAATTATTGTAAATATGAAATTGAAATGAATTAGTTCATTTTCCGTTTTCAAGATTCAAACTATTTTTATCATAAAACATAATAGTTCTTCCATTGATATTATCACTTTTTGTGTATTGAAAAATAATGAAATTTTTTGTAGTAAATTTAATAAATATTTATAACCAAATAAACATGTAAATGCTTTACAGTAAACCATTGACAATCGTGGCTATAAATTAAGAGGGGGTCACAGTGGCAGTTGGAGTTCCGTTTGGGGGGTGAATGGTTGGTTGGCCAATTGTAATAAGAGAAGGTTGCCAAAAATGCTGGGCGACTGGCAGCCCAGCAGCAAGAGGCCAACCCACTCCCCCACGACCTTGGCTCACTGCTGGCCCACTTTTACTTGGCCCGACGACTCCTTTTAGAATGGCCGAGGACACGCCCTGAAACCATTCTGCCTTCCCTTTGCAGTTTCCTCCTCGTCGCAGCTGATTGTGCACAGCTCCCGGGTGCTGACCCCCAAGCGCCATCATAGCGAGAGCGTGCTGTACCTGCACGACAACGAGGCGGCGGTGAGCTCGGCCTCCAGTTCGCCCACCGAGAGCACCTCCTCCAAGATGATCTCCGAGGAGGAGGGATCCCCACCCCCTTCGGCGGTGGTGCAGCCACTGCGCATCCAGCACCGGCACAGTCCCAGCTACCCGCCGGTGCACACCTCGATGGCCCTGCACCACTTCCAGCACCACCACCAGCAGCAGCAGGCGAACCACCCGCAGGAGCACCAGCACCCACCGCTGCACCACAGCAGCCACCAGTCGAAGCTGGGCACCCAAAGTTCCTTGCTGGAGTTGTCCTCGCCGGCGGAGAAACCTCGCTCCTCCGTCCTGGGGCAATCGCACTCCATGGGCGACCTCCAGCTGCAGCAGAGCCAGAACCTCGCCAGATCCGCCGACCAGCAGCACAAGTCGAGCATCTCGGTGACCATCTCCAGCAGCGAGGCGGTGGTCACCATTGCGCCCCAACCGCCGGCGGGAAAGCCGAGCAAACTGCAGTTGCAACTGCAGAGCAAGTCGGAGGCACTCAGCTCCAGCACACCCAACATGGGGGAGCAGAGCCCCACGAACAGCATCGACTCGTACCGCAGCAACCACCGCCTCTTCCCCGTGAGCACCTACACGGAGCCGGTGCACAGCAACACCTCGCAGTACGTGCAGCACCCCAAGCCGCAGTTCAGCTCCGGGCTGCACAAGTCCGCCAAGTGAGTATTCCATGGGGTATACTAAACTACATTTCAGAAAGCTATGAGGTAGAGAAATTTATTGGAATACCATTGAAAGAATATATTATATTATTTTATGAGAAAAGAGAAGAGAAATTGAACGAATTTATTATACTATTTTATGAGAAAAGAGTAGAGAGATTGAAAGAATATATTATATTATTTTATGAGAAAAGGGATCATTTCTGCATAACTATCCAGTGGATTCGACATAACACTTTATCTCTAAAAATAGAAGATATATGCAATACTGATGAAAAGTAGGTTACAAATATGCAAAGTAGAAGCGTACTCAAATCTTTTTCTTTTAAAAAGATCACAATGCTTGAACAAATTTGTCCCTTCATCTCATAGATAAAAGATCAAAGATAATTTCTGCATAACTATTTGGTGGATTCAACATTTTATCCCCAGAAACAGAAAATATAATACTGATGAAAAATATATTATAAATATGCAAAATAAAAACGTACTCAAAGCTTCTTTTTTTAAAAAGATCTCAATGCTTGAACAAGTTTGTTCCTTTAACTCATAGCTTTTAAATGGAGTATATAAATACTTGAATCACCTTACTAATTTTCCATTAATCCTTAACCAGACTTCCTGTGATAACGCCAGCGGGGGCCACTGTGCAGCCCACCTGGCACTCGGTGGCCGAGAGGATCAACGACTTCGAGCGCAGCCAGCTGGGGGAGCCGCCCAAGTTCGCCTACCTGGAGCCCAGCAAGACGCACCGCCTCTCGAATCCCGCACTGAAGGCCCTGCAGAAGAACGCGGTGCAGTCGTACGTGGAGCGGCAGCAGCAGCAGCAGAAGGAGGAGCAGCAGCTGCTGCGTCCGCACTCCCAATCCTATCAAGCGCTGGAGCGCAAGTCGCTGCCGAACAACCTGAGTCCCATAATGGTGGGTCTGCCCACGGGAGGCAGCTCCTCCTCCTCGGCCTCCTCGCGGGACTGCAGCTCACCTACGCCACCACCACCACCGCCGAGATCCCGCAGTCTGCTGCCCAATCTGCTGCGGCGCTCCAGTTCCGCCTCGGATTACGCCGAGTTCAGGGAGCTGCACCAGGCGCAGGGTCAGGTGAAGGCGCCCAGCATAAGGAACATCGGCAGTGCGGAGAAGATGTCCTTCAACGACTGCGGCATGCCACCGCCACCACCGCCGCCAAGGGGCAGAGTGGCGGTGCCCACCAGACGCACCTCCTCCGCCACGGAATACGCTCCCATGCGGGAGAAGCTGCTGCTCCAGCAGGCGGCTGCCTTGGCCCACCAGCAGCACCACCCGCAGCAGCACCGCCACGCCGCACCACCACCCACTCATGCCCCGCCCCCCGAGCGACCGCCCAAGCATCCCAATCTGCGGGTTCCCTCGCCAGAGTTGCCACCGCCGCCGCAGAGCGAAGTGGACATCAGCTACACCTTCGACGAGCCACTGCCACCGCCGCCGCCACCGGAGGTGCTCCAGCCACGCCCACCGCCGTCGCCCAACAGGCGGAACAGCTTCGCCGGGGCATCATCCACGCGCCGCACCGCCTACGCAGCACCACCGCCCACAGCGGTGGGTAACCCGGTTGCACCACCAACTGCAACCAAGGTGCCACCTCTGGTGCCCAAGAAGCCGACGAGCTTGCAGGTGGGTCGTCGTCTGTCTGCCTCTACTTCTGTTTATTAATTGGATTTTGATTTAATAATAATTTTATTATTATTATTCGATTGCAGCAGAAGCATTTGGCCAACGGAGGAGGAGGAGGAGGCGGCAGCCGCAAGCGACCGCACCACATGACTCCGCCGCAGCAGCAGCAGCCCATCCTCGAAAACGTCGCCAGCCATGTGGCGCCACCGCCGCCTCTGCTGCCCCGCGCCAGGTCCGCCGCCCATGACACAGTGATCGCCAGCAATCTGGAGAGCAACCAGCAGAAACGGTGAGTTATAGATAGTTATAAATATGATAATATAGAAAGGGTTTATAGATGGGATTGCATTACTAAAACACTGTATTTTCAAGGGAGTTTTAGGAATAGGAAAAGAAATTAATAATACTCTTTATAACAACCCCCTAATACCTTCCTTATCCTACTCAGTTTTTATTTGAGGGAGTATATGTATTCATTTTCAAACAAATAATCAAAGAATTAATTCAGTAGCTATTATAAATGTTAGATTTTAATTTATGTTCCCAAAACTTCCTAGTAAAACTAATAGCTTAAATTAAGCCAGTTAAACTCAAGTCAAGAATGAGGGTCAGCCTCCACGAAAGCGAAACACATTCAGCGCTCAGTAATCTCCGCGGCATCCGTGGGTTTCGACTGTTGGCTGTTGGCCACTCCCCGGATCCATTGTTCTTGACCTTATCGAATCCAATTAGCTCTGAATGGAGTGCGTGGCACGGTAGCCACGGAGAGCTTCGCTGATCTTGGCTAATGAGCCGCTTCCTTCGCAGGCTGGCCGTCAATCAGCTGTCGTCTAATGCTTAATTGGATTATGAAATACACTGCTCGCTGAGCAGCTCGACTTTCGCTTTCGACCCACTAAACCCCAGCGACTCCAATTGCCAATCGCCAAAACGCCAAACGCCAAACGGCAAAACGCCGATCGCTGGAACACTAAAAGCCAATTGAACTGCCACCTGAGCGGCTACAAAAATGTGTCAACCAAATAACGATTTATGTTTTGCTCCTTGGCGTGTGGGCAGCACCACTCCCCATAACCCCACATCCCCACTGCACCACTGCCCCCCTGCACCACTGGACTCCCCAAATGAACCACCCACCCCAGTCGGTTCTTTGTTCTGATTGTGCTGGTAAAAGCCAATCAAATTGAATATCGAAATTTATCCGCCCGGCGGGACAAAAGGTCCATTCTTGGCCGGGCTTTGCCGCCTTTACCGCCTGACATTGATAGATGAACGCCGGGCGGTTCATTAGCGCACCGAGCGCATAGTTTTTGCATTCACTGTATGGCATCGCACCCAATTTTCGGGCATTAGATAACTCAGAGCCGCACATTGAGTTCAAGCTGCGGTTGCACAGTGGTTTCTACTTTAAAGTTGAGTGGTTGCATGAGTCATACAATTTATTTGTTATTTTATTTGAACTTGAAAGAATGTTAGGTATACTTCCTTCAAATGCTGATTTAATTTTTACAAATGTGATTATAAATTTCACTGAGGGAAGTTAGATAATTATGGGGCCACTGTGCATTGTCCATGTTCAATAATTTCTATGGGCTGTCATGTTTTTTCCTCTGCTGTTCCTGTTTTGTTTTTTTGTTTTTCTTTTTTCGGGGTGCTTTTTGTTTTGGTTTTCTTTGGTGGCTCAGTTGACACCGGGCGAGACCTTTGCGGCACGATTTGTTGCAGCAGCAGCATCCAGCACGAGACAAATATTGACACAATTTGTGGCAAAGCTTTCGGGCTGCAGCCGACTTGGCTTGGCTTCGCTGGCAACTTGTAAATGGGCTTGTCAGAGGCTTCGTTGTCGTCGTTTTGGCCTGGCCGGGGGTTCAAATGCCGTTCACCGCGAACGTGCCTAATTTGCATTTTGAAAGTTTGGCGTGCGGAAAATGGAGCAAAGGGCAGCCATCGCTTGCATTTCTCGACTCACCGACTCACCTGCAGACACTTTTCGAGCGACTTCAATTAGAGCAGCTAGCTGGCAAAAAAAGGCAGCATTAAAATCAGGCAGAAATCAAGCCGAAAAACCCTGAGAGGTGTGCCATGTGTTCTCCTGACAGCCTCTAATTATCGCCTCGCACAGCCGTCGGCCGAAAAAGTCGGCAAAGTGCAGGCATTTGCCGAATTAATTCCCTCCTCGGCTATTTGGCAACACTCCAACACTCCGGGTCTCGGGCTGCATTATTTTCGAATTAAGTGCCAGCATTGAGCTGCGACCACAGACCACGCGTCGTATGCGCGCTATAAATCACTCATTCGCCGTGTTGCCGCTGCAAAGTCAGCCAAAGCCAGCAAAGGAACAAGCGAAACATAATGGCAAACGCCAAGGCAGACAATTCAATTTATCCAGCCGCAAGTCGCGACTGTTGCGATGCAGTTGCCTTGATTAGACGACGTCGCCAGCTAGCTTTCTGCCATTCTGCCTTTCTGCTGGCTTGCTGGCCACATTTAACAAAGTGTTTGCCATAATTTCTGCCCCCTATCGCCGGCTAAATATCGACAGTGCAGCCAATGATCGATTGAACTTTGCTCCGATGACGATGCAACAGCGGCAGCGACAGATTGGCGATGAGAACATGATCGCGAGTCCCAACAAAAGGTGATTGAATTTAATGGCTTCGGGGGCTTGGTACTGACAGATCCCCAGCTTCAGTGCCTATAATAACGAAGCTCGTTTAATCCGAGTAAAATCTTGATAGCGCATACAGGAATATATATATTTTGTGTACAGAACAGGAATATGTTTATACCTTTTATGGTGTTTACAAGGTTTCCTGGGTAATTGCGGTGTACAAAAAATGTTGCCTACTTTTGTGCGTTTGGAGGGGAAAATCTCTGGAACAAAATCCAGAGCGCTTTTAACTATGCTACGATTTTTGGTTCACTCACTAAGCAAAGAGAAGAAAATTTACTTGTTACTCTTAACGAGCAAGAGAATAGGAGAGAATTTTTTTAAAGAGCAATTGTTTTTTTTTTTTTTTCTTTATTTATTTATTTAGTGCAGAATCTGTACAGCAAATTAAAGTACTTAACAACACAGGTGTCACCAATGAGAAAAGTAAACCAAACCTCAGCATTAAGAAGAGGATTATATATAGTATTTTCTTATTGATTCCTTATCGTCTTGGCAAAGCCTTGCCTTTTGAGACGCCTCAAAGGTCTCGCTGGGAGTAGATTCCTAGCCAGTAAGCTGCGGTGTCTTTCTAATCTATCTCGGTATCGGCTTGTGTGTCTCCCAATCTGTTCTTCCACAGTGTGTAGATTTAGGTCTCTGTGAAGTGTCGTGCCACGCACATACCAGGGACAGTCAGTAATGGTACGTAGAAACCGATTCTGCAACACTTGTAACCTTTTGTAGTGTTGCAGAATCGGTTTCTACGTACCATTAGAGACGAATTTTCGTTCGACTTTCTGTGTTTTCGTTGACAATAATTTAAATCAATAATTTAACGATTTCTGCTATGTCAAAATAATTCGTTATTTTTTGCAAGGTTCATGGCTTTAAAATATATAAATTATGATAGAATAATAAATGCAGAAGATATTCTATTTTTCTTTTCTACAAGTAATAAGTAAATGTTCAAGAAAAAGATCATCCCAATACAACCTCTCAGTTAAAGAAAAGAGCAAGCGTTGAACATTAACGGACTGAAACCAAACAATGTGGCAGCCGACGAGACTCGGTACTACCTTGTATTAGCATGGCTCTGCCGGGTTTTATGGCCAACATCCCGCTGACGTTGCCGCAACTTCAATCGAGTGAAAACCACCGGCGCGTTCGGACGTTCGCGTGTGAGAGAAAAGAAATCAATTGCGATTGGGATTGCCTTCGAAGTTCGGCAATAAAAAATGTAAAACTCTCGTGACACTTGGCTGCATGTGTATCAATTTCAGTTGGCGGCCCCCACTTCCTGATCGCCAAAAGCCGAAAGCCGAAAGCCCAAAGGCCAAAATAAGGAAGTTCAGCTCCGCGGGTTCAAATGTTAGGCCAACAAACTGCATTGCATTTGCACAAATAACTGGCGAACAAAAGGAAGCAAGACATCACGCAAAGTTCGGCTTGTTTTGTTGTCATTTCGGGATTGTCCATATCTCTCTGCATCTCCGCGCGTATTTAACTGTGTGCGCGTGTGTGTGTGTGTAAGTGTGTGTGTGAGCCGCTTCCCCACCAAATTGGATTTCACAATACTGGATACCGTCTACCACATGAAAATGGTGTTCGGCGGCAAGTTTCGAATCAGAAGGTAAACACACTTTCGCACAACTCAATTGCCAGTTGAGTCGGCTGGTCAGTTACTATAGCATGATCTCAGCTGATAACGCCGGCTATTTAGCTATTAACGATCGCCATTAGTCAGCGGTGGCAGCAGGAAATTCTGCGAACTGCGCCGTTGGCAGAGAGAGAAATGTGACATATGTTCTAGGCATTAGCAGTTTGATTCGGTTTTTAATTGACTGAGCGTAATCAGATTCAGAGGAATTTAAATTTGTAAAATATTCATATGGGATTTATTTCAATCGAATGTGAAATCAGTGAAATGAAACCAATACAATTGTTGGCTTATGCATTTAATGTGTGAGAAATAATCGGATAAATGTTAACAATGGACACATTATAACTATTAAGATTTTTAAAGCAAATACTGTTTTGATTTAATTAATCTTGCTTTGAAGCTGATATTTAGTATGTTTTTTTTTTTCCTGAGAAAGTAGACTGCTAACAAATCGCAGATGGTTGCTAATGACCTAAGTTTTCCTTCGTTTTTCTCCCTGTACTCCAACTAAGCCAGCTTGAAAATGAAAACTTGACTTTTAATAAGAACGCGCGTCAGCCAATGGAGTATTTTATTTTTTCCCAAGATAAGCTTTTCTGTAAGTCGTTTGTTAACTGCATTTCTGTCTGGCTTTTGATCTGGGGTTGCTGCTGGGATAGTTGATCGTAGTTGTAGTTGTTGTAGTTGCTGTAGTTGCTGTAGTCGCTGTACTAGTTTGTGGCGACGTTGTCGGCTAACTTCAGTGAAACCATATTTAGCATGCTCAATGCCTAACGTCTCCGCTAATGACGACAGTTGTTGCTGGCTGCACAGCGAAAAAACCCATAACTCTAATAAGAGTGTTTTTTATAGTTTTTAATTATCTGCATACTAATTAGAATGTTTTGTGTTGGCCAAAAAAATTAAATAAATATTGGGAGGTGAAGAATTTATGCCAAGAAAAGTATTTTTTGATAAATTTATTTGTTTGCTTTTT